GGGGCTCTATCAGCACTTTATTGATAGCTAGGCCCATTTTACGAAATCTAAGATGGGGCCCTCAACGATTAGTTTAATTGTCGGATCTCGGGCCCTGACCTGATCAAATTCAATCATGTAACAGACCGCTGGTATTTAAAACTCCTTTTTTTTGTTTTTTAATTTTGTGGTATTTGTTTGTTTTTTTTAACAACTGGATTTGGAATTAATTTATATTTGAATATGAAACTAAGAAATCAAAAATCAAAAAAAAAACGAAAAAGGAAAAGATAAATTTATTTTTTTTGAACACAACCACCCCGAACACGTTGTTCACATCATGTATGCTTCTGGATCCCGATGCAATCCCTCTCTTTTTCTTCTACCCCTCCCTCTATCTCAGCACCGCCACTCTCTCTATTTCACGCTCTCTCTTTCATTATGTGGTCCTTTCTAACCAGTACTTTCAACGCTTTAATCATTGTTCTTTAAGCCTCTTTACCCTTTTGGGGGGCTCTACCCAAAAGACCGCTTCTTTTTTTTTTTCTCCTTTTTTCATCTACTTTGTTATACTCCTCTAAATTGTTTGTAATAATTGCCATCGATGTGAAAAGAAGTTGGACGGTGGCGCAGGTGTCTAGTTAGTAGTAATTGAATGAAATTGGCCTTTTCCCCAATGCTGATGAGATTGAAGGTGCATTTACCGCGCGTTCAAGCAGATCTTGCAATTCTAGACGAGGGAGCGAGAGACCGGGCGAGAGGAGAGAGAGAGAGACTGAGGGCGGTGAGGCGATTTGAGAGACGAGAGAGAGAGGAGGAGGAGGCGCCCCGACAAGACAGACCCCAAGAAAAGGAAGATAGGACATTACTATTATTTATTGTGATACGTCTTTTCGTTGTACACATTATCACTCCCATACACAGCAACTCTCTTCTCTCCCCCACACATCTGAAGCAGTTTGTCACTTTGTTCACGTTTCCCGTGCGTATACACACCAATATTCCTCAGGCACCATACCCATCACCCTGTATCTGCAGCCGCTATGTACTGTCTCTTTTTGTATATGACAAGTAAGCAGGTATGACTTGACGATTATCACACTTCATTCGTCTACACAACTAATTTGCGACATTGACAGGCACTAGGTCAGTGTAGTTCAGGCACACAGCGCAGTACTCAAATTGGACATTATCCACCCCCATGCCGAAATTCATACCATCCAAGCCGACTCTTTCAACTTTCCATCTGACGTCCTTTTTTTTTTTTTTTTTTTTTTTTTTTTTTTTTTTTTTTTTTTTTTTTTTTTTTTTTTTTTTTTTTTTTTTTTTTTTTTTTTTTTTTTTTTTTTTTTTTTTTTTTTTTTTTTTTTTTTTTTTTTTTTTTTTTTTTTTTTTTTTTTTTTTTTTTTTTTTTTTTTTTTTTTTTTTTTTTTTTTTTTTTTTTTTTTTTTTTTTTTTTTTTTTTTTTTTTTTTTTTTTTTTTTTTTTTTTTTTTTTTTTTTTTTTTTTTTTTTTTTTTTTTTTTTTTTTTTTTTTTTTTTTTTTTTTTTTTTTTTTTTTTTTTTTTTTTTTTTTTTTTTTTTTTTTTTTTTTTTTTTTTTTTTTTTTTTTTTTTTTTTTTTTTTTTTTTTTTTTTTTTTTTTAAAAAAATTAAATTATAGGTCTAAGACAACTAAGAGAAGATCTTCATAGAAACCTAAATTAAAGAACCAAATCTAAATGTTCATCTCAACTAGATACGCTTTCAAGGGTCGGTTGAATAGGGCACATTCTGGTGGTATCTGGTAATCCCTTAAAACCTTTTTCTTTTCAGTATTTTTTTTCAAGAACAAAATTATTAGAGGAAAAATAGGGAAGGATGGATTATTAAATTATCTACATAAAGATGATTGACATACAACATATATTCCCTATGAAACAAACTACAAAAAGTGAACAGGTTCCAACTTTCTAAAATCTCACCGCAGAATTTCTGTTGTAATTTTCTGATGAACGCTTATCAATCAAATGAACTTGCAAGTCTGGTGGTTTGCTTAAAGAAGTATCATCGGGAGCAACAAAAAGTGAATTACGGCACTCATGTCCCTGTACAGGATCTGTTCTTGATTGCCGCTTTCGCTTATACGTTAGAAACACTTTGCTTCCTGACATTTAAGCTTTCAAAAAGAAATCTTGCTGCAATTCCAAACACTTGGACCGCATTTTTCACATGAAATTTGTATTTATTCCACTATGTTCAGTCTCATTTCAACACAGAAAAACCTGCATATGTTAAGGAAGAATATCCAATTAACTAAACAGCAAGTCATGACTCATATAGTTAATACAGTTATGAGTAGCAACACAATGATAGCTGAAGGGCAAAAGACGGATTTCGACTACTCTGAAATAGTGAATCACTATTACGAGGAATGCGGCAAACAAAATTTGTACTAACATCTCCACCTAAAACACAGGCAGTGAGGTACAAGCATAAATGCCATTTGCATATTAAAGAATAAGCAAAGCAAGAGAAGCTAAACGCATGCCATTCACAGAAATGTTTAAACTTCAGAATCAATTTGAATTCAAGTAGCCTAACGCATGCCATTCACAGAACCTTGTTATTGGCAAGACCATAGAAACTCCATGATAGGACAACTTCATCATTTCCTTCCACAGAAGACAGACACCAAGTCAGCAAATTTTGTATTTTTTTCTTCTGCGCCATGTCGTCAGTGCGAAGAGAGAAGAATATAAGGCGCGAAACAGGGAGAGGAATGGAATTGGATGAATTAAGAGTCTCATGATCTCTTCTTCTATGGACCTGACTTGTGCTTCACTGCTTCGGCTTCCCAATCTCAAATTTGCAGCTAAGTTTTTTCAAATTCGGGTTTTAGACTTCCAGTCAATCGCAGTGTTCGAAAAGTCGACTAGGCGGGCGGCTAGGCGGCTAGGCTGCTAGGCTGGCTAGGCTGGCGCTAGGCGGCTAGGCGGTGGCTAGGCGGGCGCTAGGCGGCTAGGCGGGCGCTAGGCGGCTAGGCGGTTAGGCTAGGCGGTGGCTAGGAGGCTAGGTAGTAGCTAGGCGGGCGCCTAGGCGGGTTGGGTCTTTTTTCGGTGCCGAACTCGGAGGAAGAAGCAGTGACTGCGAGAGAAAGTTCCGTTCTCTGCGAGTGCAAGCTTCGTGTTGTTCGAATATATTTAAAGAGTATAGCCGTTCGGCTATACTTTTAAATATTCAAATGTAATTTCAAAGTATAGCCGTGCGGCTGTACGGTTATAATTTCTATTTATAGAGTCGAGCCTTGCGGCTATAATGGAAACATATCATACAAAAGAAGACGTAACATCGAAAGGAAACGTATCATACATGGTCATTTCAGAATCCTCATGGTGGTTTTGGATTATTAAGCATATCTTATTACATGGGCTTCTTCTTGTTCTAGCAATAGTATGCTGATAATATTGGAGAAGCCTCAGGAATATGACTTGATGTGGTAGAAATAGACCAGCTTGACCAAATGAGAATACAGTATGCTGATTATTTGCTGATATGCTCTACGTTTTACTTGTTTGGCAGATTGGGGACCGAAGGTTGATGTTGATGTTTTTTGTTTTCTTGACCTTGCTTCAAATTATGAACCCCCAGATTCACTTGCGGAGTGGCTTGAAGCTGGTGAACAGCCTGTCCATATTGGATTTGATAGCCTTGTGAGTTTGTTGCAGCTTTCTCTATTCATGTTTAATATTATTTTCCCAGTTCTATCCCAGAGTAGCTTTGTTTGTCCTTACCCTAGAAAAATTACTTGTTCCTTCCCAATTAAAACAATCAACCAAAGCCACAATCTCCAAAGAGTGACCACCTTCATGTTGGTCCCCAACGAACAGGTTGTGGAGGTCTATTCATGACAGATGACAAATCGACCCTTTGGTTGTTAGTCGTTCAATATCTAATTTGACTGAGGCATGTCTAATACATGCAGAGTATACCTCTGAATTGCATAGTTAAGGTTACTTGATTGTGCATTTGATTGAAATGATAAATTGTCTTGCTTGCTAAATTTTTTTATCTGTATTGTATTAGCCTCTTGAAGAACCAGAGAACATGACCAATATTATTCTTCAAGCTCTGGAAATAACTGGACAGAGAGGTGTCATCAACCGAGGCTGGGGTGGCCTTTGTATTGTATTAGCATCTTGAAGAACCAAAGAAAATGACCAATATTATTCTTCAAGCTCTGGAAATAACTGGAAAGAGAGGCGTCATCAACCGAGGCTGGGGTGGCCTTTGTATTGTATTAGCGTACAATGAGCACTTGTAGCTGAGGACGTCTTAACTGATATGAGTTAGAAAAAACTGATACAAGTGCATATGAGTTAGGAATGATCGCAAGTAATTTATGTACATGCATATCATTCCTAGCTGAGGACGTCTTAACTGATATGAGTTAGAAAAAACTTTTCTACGTACATAAATTACTCCAAATATAATTGGAGTCTAAAATTTAATTTTAAACTTTAGTGTCCAAGAAATTCTTGGGTGCAAGTGTCATATCGTCATATAGTGTTACAGTCCACTTATATTATAACACATGTATTTATAACATTATATTTTAATTCATTATCCACCTAAATTATAGATTCTTTATGTTTTATTCATTTTTTTATTCGATTTACCCTTTTTTTAAGGACCTTTTTTATTATTAAGATGAGCGATAATATACTAAATTCACACACATTATATAAATACTATAACCAAAACCCATGACCTTTCTTAGAGGGGAACAATTGCGCTAAACCACTACATTAGTGGGTTTTTTGCATTCAATTTTAGCTTATAGTATGATGAATTTGCAATAAAGTGACCCAACACACATCTCCGATGTAGTTCTCTTAATCACTTAGGGCCAGTTTGGCATTGCTGTGCTGTGAAAATAATCGATGTCAGATTTGCTGTGAGAGAAATCAGCTGTGAAAGAAAGCAGTTTGACGTTTGGTAAAATTTTTGTTGAAAGTGTTGTTGGTATTGATTTTACGCAAAATCAGAAAATGATTGCTGCATAATCATTAAACCCAACACCTATTCGAAACTGATTCCTGCATAATCAGAAAATGAAAGCACCTCATTAGCTGCTTTCCTTATTGCTTTCTCTCACAGCAATTTTTAATAATAAGTGATTTTTTCGCAGTTTACCAAACAGGTTGGGCTTCTCAAAATTTTTTAAAAATCACTTATCACCCCAAATAAGCAATGCCAAACTGGCACTTAATCTACATATCCTTTGTAGTTAATCACTTAATCTACATATTCTGTTAAACTTTTATACACAAGGAACTCTTATCATGGATAAAAACAAATAATTTAAAGCCTGTTGCAAAATACCACCCAATAAGAGAGTTCAAGGAGTACATAAACCTGCCATGAAGAGGATATGCGGGACCCGTCATCATAGTTGCCCCAACTTGCTTCGGCCTTGTTCTTTCAAAAACAAACCTTGTCAATGCGTCTAGCCCGGATCTGAATTCAGACATTAATTTGTCCAACTGCATTAGAAAAACGTAGCCTTCAAGTTCAACACAAACAAATATCAATAAAGAGAGTAACAGATTTGAGTTCATGACCTACAAGGGAGAGATAAAAGAGATCAGTGAGTCACTGACCTGAATTTCATTAGTTCTCTCTAGATCATGTTCGTTGTTCAACGGCCGTACAAGCATTCTCCATCTGAAAATAGAGCTCGAATGGAGGCTCGTATCTATATTGGCCATTCATACTGTACAATTAGTGCCTCCAAGCCGCGCGGCGATACTCGGTTTTTCCCCTTTTTAAAAAAAATATATATATACTCAGTTTGTAGAATTTTTTTAAAGAAGAAATATTATAGAAAAATCGGCTATACATGGTTTTTAAGTTTTGTTAAAAGAAATAGACTAGCCGGTCGGCTATACTCGGTTTTTAACATTTTAAAAAGAATAGTATAGCCGACTGGCTATACCTTGCTTTCCCATTTTTAAAACGAAGTAGCCGCACGGCTATATGCTGCAAATATTTTTATTTTATTGGTTACGGCTAGTGGCAATACATAGATTCTACGAACTTGGGCTGAATTAACAATACAATCAAAGTCACTTGAGGCGCTTTAGTTACAATTTTACCTCGAAAGTTAAGTTACATAAACGACAACACTCTAAATCTGAACAAAATCTCAGTTGCCAAGAGACTTCGACAGTAAGAAAATCAGAATATAAACTTCAAGGGGTAAAATACTTATATATGAGAACTCATTCTGATTCTCAACAGGAAAAGAGAAAATCGAACCCAAAATTAAAACAACAAGTTTTGACAACAATAAGTTTCATAGCGGGTTTACATGGTATCAAAGTTTTTCTTATTTTTTTTTTTTTTCTTTTTTTTTTTTTTTTTTTTTTTTATTATTTTTTAAAAGTTTTTTTTTTATTTTAAGATTTTTTTCAACCAAAAAAAAAAGGTTAACTTATATAATATATTAATGTAAATATATTTTAAGTATAAGGAAAATGATACATGATCAAGCAAAAAAGGGAGAATGTTAGAGAGAAGGTTGCTAGCATTCCTATAAAAATAATAGGATTACAATAATTATTGTAGTTGATGGCACACATATCCAAGAAGCTACAATAGAGAAATACAAACATATACAGTTTTATTTCTCACAGCAACATTCAACTGGTGGGGAGGCAATAGTATTAGCCCCATCTTACTGGTCAAAATATTTTAATAGTATAGCGGCAAGGCTATTCTATATAAATATTTTAGAATATTTTAATAGTATAGCCGGTCGGCTATACTATGTGAATATTTTAATAGTATAGCCGAGCGGCTATAAGGATTTTTTTTTTTTTTGAGGCGATCATAGATTCTACAAACATAGCCATGGGAAACAGGCGATCATAGATTCTACAAACATAGCCATGGGAAACGAAACTGCCACACGCTACTGTCAGTGAATGTTCAGAGATATCCACAATTTTTTCTCTGAAGATGTCCACTAACCGCGTGATCTGAAAATTAGAGCAGACAAACAAGATCTGGTACAAGGATGTACTAACACAATAAGATCGTCTTAAACAGTGCTCATAACCGTCAAACTAGAAAAGAACTCTGTTTTATCCCCAGATTATCACATACAATACAACAAATATAAGGTAACATGAGACCTTAACAAATTCAAAGAAATTGCTAATCATGCACCAAGTGCATATGAACCCAATTACACTGTCAAACTTTGAGAGAGTTATGAAACTTGTTCCGTGTGAAGTGGCCGGCAACTGTGCCACAGATTATATAGGGATACAGAAATATGGCAAACACAAGCGAAAGAGGGATAGGAATTAAAAGAAATATGAACCTGAAGAAATGGGGGAAACAATATCTCTATTGTAAGTTAGCTCGTCCAGAATTATCTCCACCACAGGAGTTCTGCACCAAATCCAAAAAGTGCATGTATTTTCAACAAATAGAATACGGTACATGAGAGAGAGAGCGAGAGAGAGAGAGAGAGAGGGAGAGAGAGAGAGAGAGATAACTTTAACTCTCACCATCAGCTCTGGTAGTAGAACCTTGCATATCTGCAGCACTCGTCTTGTACACATCAAGCTCCGTTATCTGAAAAGGACCGAAATCAGTGCCAGTGCACAAACTGATTCTACAGATATTAGGGGCTCACCATGCAGGTATGCTTTCGTACCTCAAGTAAAGAAATTGCAGCAGCAGTATCAAAATTTTCAACTGGTTATTGTGCCGTAGAATTCTTTGAACATATCATTTAATCGTTGCATCCAGCATAGGTTTGATACAGTTTACGCATAATGGTCAAAAGAAATCCTTCATCAAGCTTTAGTAGTTTACTTTTCTCGACACCTACAAAAGGTAACTTGAAATTGAGGGCAAGAGTCGTGGTATAAAAATCACTTAATAACCAGTGGACAACAGGTTCTTCAGTATTCATGGTTTGAAAGAGAAGGGGAATACCAGAAGCATGTTGAGTAAAGACTCTCTCAGAACTACCCATTTCATGGTATCTGCATATACTTAGATATCAATTTAACTTCATAGACACTGTTGCATGGTCGAAAATCTCCTTTAAAAACATGAACTAGGTATTGAAAAGAAGATCAAGTAAGACCAAAAAATATGGGGAAATTCACATTACCATTTTATTTCTTTTATTCCATCAAACAAAGATCATGAAAGAAGGTGATGAACATGTGGGATTTGCTTTGAAGTCTAAAACCCATATGATTGAATTGGTTTCTCCAAGTATTTTGGATAAAATTATACCGTAACGTTGGCCTTACGAACGATGATGTGGTATGATAACCCCATATAAGTTTAGGCCTTAAAAATCTTGTTCACATGATGACACACAACATAGGCAGAGGAAATTTTGCAACTATAACAGTCATTGAAACCATTAAATTAAGTAGCCTCGAGATCCGCAGAGAGGATAGGATTTCCATCAAGGTCTTCTGAGACAGAAATCATAAATTCCGCTACATGCATGTACCCTGTTTTACATCCCTCAAATCTCTCATAATCAATGAGTATTGCAATCTTGAAAGAGAGAACATGCTACTAGCTATATAAACTTCATGTTCTACAACAGTAGCTCTCATGGCAACAATCAAATAACACATGTGCTGACAGATACCCAAAATGATCAATCTCCATATTATATGTTGAAACTAGCAATTTAATATCTATAAAGTATAAACTAATGCAACTAGGAAAGTCCTTTTCTCTTAATTTTTTATTTATTAAATAGTCTAGCCCCACGGCTATACCTTAATGTAAAGAGTATCTCCGCGCGGCTATACTATAGTTTTTTCTTAAATAGCATAGCCGCGGGCCATACTTATTTTGACACGTGAGATCCAGAGTCTTTTTTTTTAAAAAAAATTGTATAGCCGTGCGGCTATACTGATTTTGACGCGTGGGAGCCTGATCGCAAATTTTTTTAATCGTATAGCCGCTCGGCTATACTCGGTTTTTTATTTTTTCATAAAAATCCTATGGCCGCCCGGCTGTACTTGGTTTTTAAATGTTTTTTAAATAGTACAGCCCCGCGGGTACACTTATGTTGACACATCAACGATCCTCTTTTTGAAAATAGTATAGCTGCGCGGCGATAATCGGTATTTTTTATTTTAAAAATAATATAGCTGCGCGGCCATAATTATTTTGACACATGATTTCTAACAGTCCTGTCTCTGGACTAAAACCAGTGAGTATCTTTGTGCCTTACGATGTAACTAAAAACACTAATCACAATCACATCATTGAGTCTTATTGAGTCTTATTTACACAAGGAACCATTGGGTAAACACGTAGTACTTCTAGACCTCTTATTTACTCTTGCTTGCCTCCAGAAGAGCAACTTTCGAATGAGCTCCAGATATGGATAAATTTAATCCCTCCAAAGCTGCTCCATCAAACCTGCAAGAGCAGTTTCCCATGCCAAATACATATATATATATATATATATATATCAGTATATCAATTAAAATGTTAAAGACATCGGGGGCAAGCCACTGTTGTTTACCTTAAGAACATTATCAATATTAGCATCACTAGCATGGCAAGCTATTCTCAGCTTCCTTTCCATGCTTTGTATACCATTTGAACATTGCAACTCTGCCTCCATATATGCATTCCTTTTACAATCCTGCATGAGTAGCCAATTTAAACGAATAAGGCCAGTATACAAGAGATGAGCTAATAAGATATACATATCCATATATACTGCAACAAACTATTTGTTATCACAAAGAATTCAATTATATATGAGGCAACAACAAGATTCTTATCTTTTTCTTCGGGATTTTTGGGACGGTGAAAAGCAGACTTATACACCTCAAGAGCATAATCATATGCTGTTCAGACACCCATCTTCTTCGACACTCTGCAGAGTAAGATTAACACATCTACTCTCTTCAGATAAGACACAGGGCAACATATATTATTTATGTAACCTCAATGAAACGGCACAAAGAAGCTAACCAAGACAAAAATTTATATAGCACGCATCCAATTCCAGTTGGTTGGTCAACTGCATTAGAAAAACTTAGCCTTCAAGTTCAACACAAACAAATATCAATAAAGAGAGTAACAGATTTGAGTTCATGACCTACAAGAGATAGATCAAAGACAACAGTGAGTCACCGACCTGAATTTCGTTAATTCTCTGTAGATCATGTTCGTTGTTCAACGGCTGTACAAGCATTCTCTATCTGAAAATAGAGCTCGAATGGAGGCTCGTATCTATATTGGCCATTCATACTGTACAATTAGCGCCTCCAAGTCCAACATACGTTATACATAGAGAACATAATTCAAGAGTAGCAGTGCTCAATGTGCCTAGAATGTCATAAATAGCTAACAAGCGTAACCTAAAAGCAGATAATGCCAGTTTAACAGTACATGTATGAATTGGCAACCAAATTCTTGAAAACAAAAGGTCAAGATGCACTCTCTCTCTCTCTCTCTCTCCCCTACCAAAATGCAGAAAGACGGATTTCGACTACTCTGAAATAGTGAATCAGTATTACGAGGAATGCGGCAAACAAAAATTGTACTCACATTCTCCACCTAAAACACAGGCAGTGAGGTGCATCACTGCTTCGGCTTCCCAATCTCAAATTTGCTTTTAGACTTCCAGTCAATCACAGTGTTCGAAAAGTCGGTATACAGAGATAACATAATTCAAGAGTAGCAGTGCTCAATGTGCCTAGAATGTCATAAATAGCTAACAAGCGTAACCTAAAAGCAGATAATGCCAGTTTAACAGTACATGTATGAATTGGCAAGCAAATTCTTGAAAATAAAAGGTCAAGATTTCTCTCTCTCTCTCTCTCTCTCTCTCTCTCTCTCTCTTAAGAGGAATGCGGCAAACAAAAATTGTACTAACATTCTCCACCTAAAACACAGGCAGTGAGGTACAAGCATAAATGCCATTTGCATATTAAAGAATAAGCAAAGCAAGAGAAGCTAAACGCATGCCATTCACAGAAATGTTTAAACTTCAGAATCAATTTGAATTCAAGTAGCCTAACGCATGCCATTCACAGAACCTTGTTATTGGCAAGACCATAGAAACTCCATGATAGGACAACTTCTTCATCATTTCCATCCACAGAAGACAGACACCAAGTCAGCAATTTTGTATTTTTTTCTTCTGCGCCATGTCGTCAGTGCAAAGAGAGAAGAATATAAGGCGCGAAACAGGGAGAGGAATGGAAATTGGAATTAGATGAATTAAGAGTCTCATGATCTCTTCTTCTATGGACCTGACTTGTGCTTCACTGCTTCGGCTTCCCAATCTCAAATTTGCAGCTAAGTTTTTTCAAATTCGGGTTTTAGACTTCCAGTCAATCGCAGTGTTCGAAAAGTCGAAACTAGGCGGGCGGCTAGCGGCTAGGCGGCTAGGCTGGAGCTAGGCTGCTAGGTGGGCTAGGCTGGAGCTAGGCTGGCGCTAGGCGGCTAGGCGGGCGCTAGGCGGCGCTAGGCGGGCGCTAGGCGGCTAGGCGGTCGCTAGGCGGGCGCTAGGCGGTTAGGTGCTAGGCGGTGGCTAGGAGGCTAGGTAGTAGCTAGGCGGGTTGGGTCTTTTTTCGGTGCCGAACTCGGAGGAAGAAGCAGTGAATGCGAGAGAAAGTTCCGTCCTCTGCGAGTTCAAGCAGTGATATATTTAAAGAGTATAGCCGCGCGGCTCTACTTTTAAAACATTCGAATGTAATTTGAAAGTATAGCCGTGCGGCTGTACGGTTATAATTTCTATTTGATGCGGATGATAGGTTTCCTTTGGATGATACGTCTTCTTTTGTATGATACGTTTCCATTATAGCCGCAAGGCTCGACTCTATGTGAGAGTTGGGTTTTGGCATGGGAGGCAACACTTTCCATTTCATTTCACCATCCAGCATATAAGCATCCCCGTAAACCACCTGAAAACAGAACAACTGAGGCTATAAGAGACCATGTGAATAATTATTGCCACTTCTTCTGTTCATCATGCCAAAGTAACTGTGGCTATGGTGACTAAGTACAATCGGAGATTGTGTTCTAATGAAAACACAATAATACAAGCCCTGTTAGAAGATTGACCCTCTTGACCACCAATAAGAAAGAGGCGATCACTCATCACAACACAAGCCCTGTTAGAAGATTGACCCTCACGGTGAGAAAACATTAAAATAAACCCACAGGATTTCAAGTTGCTGAGAGGAAATTTTTCAAGTGAATGAAATTGATGGTAAAGACAAACAAACCTATGTGGTCCCCCACGGGGAATGGGTGCTTCTTTCCACCACTCTTTCTCCAATGCTTGGCCATCCTTCACAGCAATACTCCAGTGATCCACACTAGGCGTATGGCGGTTTTCTTTGCTGCCACCCATCACATGGAGTCTGCCTCTCCACAATTGAGTTGCTGGAGCATACCTGCAAATTATCATGTTAAATCCTATCATCTAATATAGCTGTCAAATTTATGGATTACTTCACATAAATTTCAGCCACTAATATAACTCTAATGGAACTTCATTAGATCAACAGTTTGAGAGTCAAAGGAAGAGCATTCTTGACTCTACTCTTAACTCTTTTAAGCACGTCAAAGAAAAGATTTGTTTCTTTCCCAACTTTTACAGCTACCAACAGTAGAGCACAAGGAATAACGTCAATAAGAAAATAGCAATTTCTGGAGTTTACATGGTCTGCAAAGTTATTTGATAGAAGGTAACCATGCAGATAAGAGAAGATATCATCGGACTCAGTAAACCAAGTTAAGGACTAGCATGTTAAGAGTAGATTGAGTAAAGAAAGATGAAGCAAGAGGTATAATGTATTTGTACAGTGTAACATGCAACACGAATAACACAAAACCTAACCAAATTAGATACCTGGGGGAAGGTAATGGAAGCATACTGCTCCATTTCTTTGTCTCTGTGTCCAGCACAAATATACGAGCTGTAGGCCCTCTGCATTGGGGACCATATTGTCCTGATACCACATATATGTATCTTCCATCAGTGGCCACTCCTAAATGCGAATGCGCCATCTCTTTTGGGATATCCAATCTTCCCCCCCATGTATTGTCAGTGAAATTGTATAAATCAACATGAGAGTGCACCTATAACACAAATGCATAAGTGAAATAGTGAAAGTAAGATCACATTCAAACTATTGAATTGGTTTAACTTCATAAAGCATTCCAACATCTTATGACCACCAGTTATTAATCTAAAAGAAGAGCGCAATAAGTAAAATACAAAACTTCAAGCAAAATAGATGAAGGTGTTAATAACACCCTGCTCCAAAGTGCTCCAAACTCAAATTATACATGAATATCAGACAAGCAAAAAAGATAGACAAAGATCCTCACATGGTCAATTGTGCCATATCCTGCAAACACGTAAAATATATTCTTAATCTGTATTGAAGAGCCATCGAGACGAGGCACCGGTGTGGGCCTCATTTTCTCCCATGTTAACTCAGGTGCAGCTATATCAGCAAAAGTTCCAGATAATAATCTCACCGAAGCATGTTCCTTTTTGTCTTTGAAACTTCCTTTCTACATATAAGAAGAAAGTTCGTAAATCATAATTCATAACCAACCAGCAACTACCAAAATGCCAAACAAGAAATGCATTTGAATTCTCAATATTTCAATTACTTTGGGCTGAGAAAACAACATTCCCCCTTAACTGGATTGAAAAACGATATTCTGATAAGTTTTCTAACTTTCCGAAATCCAAAATAACATAAAGTATAAGAGTAAACAATAAGTTATCCATTTTTTCTTAAAAATTTCCTGTTAACCCAGAGATTCCATAGGAAACAATATGCTTATATCCCAACAACAACAAAAAAAAAAAAAAAACAAAAATAAAAACACCAACACAAAAGGGAATTTTAAAAAATGGGCATTACCTGGTCAGCTTCATTGGCGGTGACATTTGGTACAACCAAGGTCCCAGATTTGTCAAGCGCCAAATTGGAAGAAATGAAGGAATAGGCAGAAGAAGAATAGGAAGAAGAAGCCCAAAGAAAATCTGCAACGAGGGCACCTCCGAGCAGACATGCGCAAGATGTGAGAAATACCCATTTTGCAGCAGAAGAAGAATGAGTGTGATGTTGGGTAAACCTGGACATTTTTCATCCAAACCCATAACGCGGAGTAAACCATTTATAAAGATAAGGGACTGCTTGAAATTGAGAGAGAAGAAAATAGTTGCACTGGAATTCAGAGGAGCAAAAGAGTTGGGCGCCAATGGTTTCCATTCACTTTCGCTCCATGTGCTTTAGCTTACTGTTTTCTGGCTTTCCTTTTCTAAATTAAAATTAATATTTGTATGGTATGTTTGCTATTTCCAATGGGTTTTTCTATGACTTCGACGCCCAACTGTCAAGAAATAAAATCAAGGGCAGGGCTTTGATAAAAAAAAAGATCAAGGGCAGGGCAGTACTCCGCATATGCCAACTGTTGTCTGCTCATGGACGCGTTTAACTCCGCACCGCGTCCATATTGGGCCCACACTGTACCACAGGCCTCGGTTCGGTCCAACTGTCTAGTCCTTTGTTCGACAATGGCCAAGCCCAATTTTGATCAATAAGCGAAGAGGTAAAAAAAACAAACATCAAGGCACAATAAGGGCAAATCAGAACACGACCTTCCGGTTGACAAATAAATCAGAACGGAAAACCATTTTAGTAAAAAACATTCATTGTTTTGTCCTAAAAAACATATAAATATGGTATCTTAATAATTAATCATGACTTAGAAAAGTAATGATTTTCAATCGAACAGTGAATAATTTGTTAAGATTTTGTTACACACACCCCGAAGATTTTGTTAAGAGACACAAGACAGTTGTGTGGTATATATCTTTCCATGGTCCGGGATAAACGCCGGTACATTTAGAAAGAAGACTGATGAAGTCTGCTTCGAGAAGATCATGAAGCAAAAGTTGAAAAGCTAGAGGTGAACTTTCAATGATCCTAGAACCAATGTCTTATTTTCTCCATCATATGATTACAAAGTTGATCAGTGATTGAAAGTGCCTATCTTTGTCATGAAAAACAGGTGAAGAGAATAGCCCTTTTATAGCATTAGTTCAGCAATCAAAGAAACATGTGAGCTTACATGTGCAATGTAAGTGCCACTGCTGGGAAAGACATTTATCTCCTCCCTGCCTCCTCATGTGACACCCGAGCATCTTTACAGAAAAAGAGAAGAAATTAATGGAGATTCTTCGTTGAACATGTCAAGATGTTGCATGACGGTTGGGAATTCAAATGATTGCCGAGTATCCACTGCATGTTTGTAAATGCTGCATTGCTCAGGCTTTAGGTGCCCAAAATTGTGGGACTGTATCCATGTCTCCAATAAAGAAGGAAGATATAGAACTTGTATTTTTTTCATAAATCATATACGGGATGGCAACTTTTGTGTCTGCGTGCGTGTGTGTGTAAACCTTTCACCCGGGGATGCGTATAATGTCTGTGCTTAAACAATTAGTAGTGCTTTAGCAAAGCATGTGAAAGTATTGTATATAGTGGCTGTTCCTGGAAAATATAAGCATCAGTTTTGCTCACTGCTATATGTCGATTACTGCAGGGTTGTCTAAGCACCTGCCATGTTCCATTACAGGTAATGGTTAGATGATCACGGCTATATAGTTTCTAGGAACATCTGGAAACCGCTTCAGCTAATGGAGATTCTACAGATGATTCATTTTTATTCTATTGTACAGAGAATTGTTTATTCTTTGATCCTTTTGTTGCAGCCTCGACAAAGAACTGTTTAATTTCCGACAACAAACCACTTGTTCAAATCTACATCAAGACGTACTCAACTAACTAGGATTAGGTCCAATACGTAGTACATTGAGATCAAAATCATAATCGTAAAATGCTAGATTGAGTTACGTGAGTATCCAAGCCCAATAGAGTAATAAGTGCCCTAATAGGCTTACGTTCGAGGCTTGAGAAAGGTTTTTGGAACAAGTTTGGAAGTTAGGGTTTTTGGTTTGAGACTTGGATTTCGGGTTTGGAGGCTAAAATAAATTTTTGGAATACTAAAATAGTTTTTCAAGTCCATAAAATAATTTAAAATAATTTAATACGATTTATTAAGTAATTTCTGAAATTAATTAAAATATTTAAACTAATTATTCACTAAATAAATAATAACTAAAAACTAATTACTAATTAAAGTAATTAAATAAGACTAATATATTACTTAAGTACAAATATTAAACTAAACAAACTAATTTGTAAGAAATTTTTTTTTTAAAAAAGTAAACAAAAATTAATTTAAATATTTAAATACTAATTATTCACTACATAAAAATAACATAGGTATATTCAAATATATTAAAAACGGTATAGCCGAGCGCCTATACTATTTAAATATCCGAATTTGCTTAAGAGTATAGCCGCGCGGCTATACTCTTTAGATATAATATTTAAAACGTATAGCCGGTCGGCTGTACTATTTGAATATAATATTTAGTGCGTATAGCCGCCTGGCCGTACAATTTAAATATAATAATTAAAAAATACAGCCGCGACTATGGCCATTTCCCCAAGTGCTTAAAGCATGGAAGAAATTTCCAGTGGAAAAACAGATGCAACAATAACTCACCAGGTTTCTTTGCGGACTTCCCAGTTTCCCTTTCACCTGTACAACCATTGGCTGGCTCTAGTTTTGCAGAATGATTAGAACCTCCATGGTCCTGGGAACAAAAACAAATGCAACAGCGAAAAAAAGAATTGAAGAATAAGTTTCTAAAACAATTGGTCGAAAATTAAAAGAGAAACTGATTGGTACCATGGCATCCGAAACCGTCTCTCCGCTTCTTTTATGTTCTTAGCAGCTACAGACTCTGCAATGTAGACACCTTGCTCACTGGAAAGCAAGCCTTCAGCAGTACGAAAAATCTGAGACAACATAAGTGGAAATTTTGTATAAGATCAGTTATTGATGACCACATAATATAATACAAAACACTATCATATTTGTTTTTCTGAGACAATAATATTAAATTTATGAAGAGAAGAGAAAGGAGTAAAGGATATATGGCCAACAGACAAAAGGAGATAAACAAAACGAACATACTGTGAAAATTTTCTATTTATACAGTATAGCCGAATGGTACCGCCGATCGGCTATACCATTCAAATATTGGAATGACCATTTCCCCAAGTGCTTAAAGCATGGAAGATAGCTTTTTCAGTATTTCTCGGACCTTCCCACGTTTGGATGCCTCCTTTATCTAGCACATCAAAATGATTGTAATGCGACTAATAAATTCATAAAAGTAAAAAACAAAAAGAAATTTTCAGTGGAAAAACAGATGCAACGATAACTCACCAGGTTTCTTTGCAGACCTCCCAGTTCCCCTTTCACCTGTAAAACCATTGGCTGGCAATACTTTTGCAGAATGATTAGAACCACCATGGTCCTAGGAACAAAAACAAATGCAACAGCCAAAAAAAATTGAAGAATAAGTTTCTAAAACAATTAGTCCAAAATGAATAAGTTAAACACAATGTGAATTGATAATGTTACTGGTTCAAATGCATTCCTGGAAATTAATGAAGTCCTACCAGTGGGGATAACAGACAAGTCCAAATAAGGAAGTGATCTGCCTAAATGAGGGGTTTCTGTTGCTTTAGGATCAACAATTGATAAAACTTGAGCTTCATCTCTTATCAATGCATGGGTTTTTCCTGGTTTACATAGAGTTGCAGCTTCAGAAGAGGAGTCTCTAGTTCACTACTTTTTCTTAAATGATCCATGCAAAGAACTTCAACATCCATTGCACTTTGAGCACTCTGGCCAAGTACTTCTCCAGCTTGTTGCAAGGCGTCACTGCCTGTCTTTTCCTCATCATGAAGTTGTTCTTCTTCATGCATCAAACTGTCCTGATGAATGAAGTAAGCAATTAAAATATAAGAAACCAATAAGTTCTGAAGTTAATGTGAACCAACAGTTTAGTTCAGCGGCAGCAGATCCAGCACAAGCATATGTAAAATCAATGATCCGTAGCAAAGAAATTAGATCGGTGATTACAAATTACATATACAGAAATGAAGTATCAGGTTAAGAATGCACATAATAGTGGAGTCAGTCAGCCACCCGAGGGCAACTAAGCACTAACAATTATGTACCTTTTATTCTGACCTTGTTTTTATACATATGTATTATTATAGAATACATGTAAATGAGAATGTATTTTCCATGTTGCATCTTATTTTCTATTTCTCATTTCACATGATTGTGTTTGTGCTCATAGGCAGATACATTATTTCCAAATTGACAAAAGATAGGGCTTCAATTACATACCTCTCTGGAGTGCTTCAAATCTGCTTCATGATCTACTGAGCAGTTTTCAGGGGAAGTTTCTTCATAAGAACTGGTATTAGTACAAACAGAATTATTCAATTTGGTTATCAATGAGCAGCTATTTTCCACGTGCGGTGATTTCATTTGTATATTAGACTCATCCATATCCTTTTTTCTTTTATTCCTTCGGCAGAAAGTAATCAATGGGGTGGTCAACTTGTTTCACGCAAGCTGAATCACCACCTAATTTATCTAACTTATTTCTAGAGAATGAATCAGTGTCTTCTAAGTTTAATGTATTCAATCTTGGCGAGCTACCATCACATTCAGAGCTGCTTTTTCTTTCAAATACTGCTGCTGCTGCTGATGATATTTGTCTTACAAAATCAGCAATAATTACAGCGGAATTCATCACCAATTGAGAAACTAACCTCCCTCCAACATTATTATCATCAACCAATGCTCCAGCATTAGCATTTGAAGATGAGCCTAATTTCTTGCCACTAGACTCATTCCCATATGCATCCCTTTGGGAAGGAACCTCATCAAGACTTGTCGGAACGGTTTTAATTGGTATTTGTCTTGTGCCGGACACTTCAATGTGTCTCTTTTCCTTATGGGGCTTATCTAGGCATTGGAGATGATACGACTGAAGGCATTTTCCACAGTGCTTCAGGTTACCCCCAACACAGCACACAAAACAACATGGCATACCTGCAAGAAAAAGAGGCAGGTAAGACAGAATATAGCAATGACCTTAAAAATAAATTATAGGTCTAAGAAAACTAAGAGAAGATCTTCATAGAAACCTAAATTAAAGAACCAAATCTAAATGCTCATCTCAACTAGATACGCTTTCAAGGGTTGGTTGAATAGGGCACATTTTGGTGGTATCTGGTAATCCCTTAAAACCTTTTTCTTTTCAGTATTTTTTTTCAAGAACAAAATTATTAGAGGAAAAATAGGGAAGGATGGATTATTAAATTATCTACATAAAGATGATTGACATACAACATATGTCCCTATGAAACAAACTACAAAAAGTGAATAGGTTCTTACTTTCTAAAATCTCACCGCAGAATTTCTGTTGTAATTTTCTGAGTAACGCTTATCAATCAAATGAACTTGCAAGTCTGGTGGTTTGCTTAAAGAAGTATCATTGGGAGCAACAAAAAGTGAATTACGGCACTCATGTCCCTGTACAGGATCTGTTCTTGATTGCCTCTTTCGCTTATACGTTAGCAACACTTTGCTTCCTGACATTTAAGCTTTCAAAAAGAAATCTTGCTGCAATTCCAAACACTTGGACCGCATTTTTCACATGAAATTTGTACTTATTCTACTATATGTGCAGTCTCATTTCAACACAGAAATCCCTGCAACTGTTAAGGAAGAATATCCAATTAACTAAACAGCAAGTCACGACTCATTTAGTTAATACAGTTATGAGTAGCAACACAATGATAGCTGAAGGGCAAAAGACGGATTTCGACTACTCTGAAATAGTGAATCACTATTACGAGGAATGCGGCAAACAAAATTGTACTAACATTCTCCACATAAAATACAGGCAGTGAGGTACAAGCATAAATGCCATTTGCATATTAAAGAATAAGCAAAGCAAGAGAAGCTAAACGCATGCCATTCACAGAACCTGGTTATTGGCAAGACCATAGAAACTCCATGATAGGACAACTTCATCATTTCCTTCCACAGAAGACAGACACCAAGTCAGCAAATTTTGTATTTTTTTCTTTTGCGCCATGTCGTCAGTGTGAAGAGAGAAGAATATAAGGCGCGAAACAGGGAGAGGAATGGAATTGGATGAATTAAGAGTCACATGATCTCTTCTTCTATGGACTGACTTGTGCTTCACTGCTTCGGCTTCCCAATCTCAAGCTCAAATTTGCAGCTAAATTTTTTCAATTTCGGGTTTCAGACTTTCAGTCAATCGCGCTGTTTGAAAAGTCGGCCTAGGCGGGCGGCTAGGAGGCTAGGCGGGCGCTAGGCTCCTAGGTGGGCGGCTAGGAGGCTAGGCGGGCGCTAGGCGGGGGCTAGGCGGCTAGGCGGGTGCTAGGCGGCTAGGCGGCCGCTAGGCGGCTGGGTAGTAGCTAGGTGGGCGCCTAGGCGGGTTGGGTCTTTTTTCGGCGCCGAACCCGGAGGACGAAGCAGCGACTGCGAGAGAAAGTTCCGTCCACTGCGAGTGCAAGCTTCGTGTTGGTTAATATTTAAAAAGTATAGCCGCGCGGCTGTACATTTAAAATATTTGAATCTAATTAGAAAGTATAGCCGGACGGCTGCACGTCTATAATTTCTATTTATACCGTCGAGCCTTGCGGCTATAATGGTGAAATATTGTATTTAAAGTTGATCGGCTATACTGTTAATATATTGTATTTAGAGAGTATAGCCGCGCGGGTATACTGTTATAACATCTATTTGTGCATGCATTAAAATAAATAAAAACTGTGATACTATTAATAAGATCCAGGAAATAAATTATTCTTTCTTCATCTTTTTTTCCTTCCTGGATCAACGAAAACTGTGGGTGTTCATCATTCTTAAAATGCTCCAGTCCTTCAAACTTGCGAGCAAGTTCAACCTGTTCAACATGTAATAAGTGGTAAATAGTGAAAGCAGAGCATAACACTCCTAACATGATTGACATTGAAGAATTATAAAAAAATTGAAACTAGTTCATCTTGCTATGATAAACCACATTGGTGGTTGCTCTATAAGAATTTAAATGTCAAAAAAAGATTTTATCCTTTCAGATTATATTTAATATCGCATCCCTTTGAAATTATACCCGCATGGTCCTTATAATCCATTTACCTGACACCTTAAGGTACTTCAAAAACTATCCCAATAAGTTCACACATTACCCAATTGCCACTCACACTGCTAGTATAATTTCGGATGATCGTATTCTTAACTACTCTGCTTAATAGTAACCTATTTCTATGCTCAATGGTAGTGGATATCATGTTATTTGATTCCCTCCACTCCCCAAATTTAGGGTTCGTGGGAAGTGGCTTGTTACTTGGGCCTTAATTTTTGCTCCCACACTGATAATGTTGCAGAAGCCTCAGGAATATGATTTGATGTGGTAGAAATAAACCAGCTTGACCAAATGAGAATACAGTATGCTGATTATTTGCTGATATGCTCTACGTTTTACTTGTTTGGCAGATTGGGGACCGAAGGTTGATGTTGTTGTGTTTTTTTTCTTGACCTTGCTTCAAATTATGAAGCCCCAGATTCACTTGCGGAGTGCCTTGAAGCTGGTGAACAGCCTGTCTATATTGGATTTGATAGCCTTGTGAGTTTGTTGCAGCTTTCTCTATTCATGTTTAATATTCTTTTCCCCAGTTCTATCCCAGAGTAGCTCTGTTTGTCCTTACCCTAAAACAATTACTTGTTCCTTCCCAATTAAAACAATCAACCAAAGCCACAATCTCCAAAGAGTGACCACCTTCATGTTGGTCCCCAACGAACAGGTTGTGGAGGTCTATTCATGACAGATGACAAATCGACCCTTTGGTTGTTCAGTTGTTCAATATCTAATTTGACATAGGCATGTCTAATACATGCAGAGTATACCTCTGAATTGCATAGTTAAGGTTACTTGATTGTGCATTTGATTGAAATGGTAAATGTGGTCTTGCTTGCTAAATTTTTTTTATGTGTATTGTATTAGCCTCTTGAAGAACCAGAGAAATAACTGGACAGAGAGGCGTCATCAACCGAGGCTGGGGTGGCCTTGGTAATTGTAAGTCTTGATTCTTAAAAAAAGATTACTTTCAAGCACATTTTATTCTTATGCTTCTTTACATCTGAAAGCCTTCATATATTTCTCTACTCAGTGGCAGAACCAAGTGATTCTGTGTATTTAGTGGACAATTGGCCCCATGATTGGCTATTCCAACGATGCTCTGCTGTGGTAAATTTCAATGCTTTTAATTCTTTTTAATTTGGTTGGGATTTCACTGCACTGGTGTTCAGAACGTCACATGAACTTGATGCACCTTTTTGTCGTTTTGTTGTTTTGTTCCCCCCTTGGATAAATAGGCTACTCCCGGTTTCTCACTGGATATGAAAAAATTTCTTAGGTGCATCATGGGGGTGTTGGCACAACTGCTGCTGGTCTGAAAGCTGCGGTAACTGATAATGCTATATTCTTGGGGAGTTTACATTTGTAAATGATTCAGTTACTCAGGGCTCATATTCTGTGTTCTTTTTAGTGTCCAACCACAATTGTACCATTCTTTGGGGACCAGCCATTTTGGGGGGAGATGGTGCATGCCAGAGGAGTAGGTCCTGCACCCGTTCCAGCTGATGAATTCTCGCTTGAAAAGTTGGTCGATGCCATACGCTTCATGTTAGATCCAAAGGTATTTACCATTTTCTTTTTAAACTTCCAAGCGATTTACACATAATTTGTCATTTCTTGAGTGTAAACTTATCACAAGTAAAACAAATATCATTCCAAATACAAAGCACTTGCTGCCATGATTACTTTCATATCCAAATTCAGATGTAAAAGCCAGATACAAAATACATGTAAACATGAAGGAAATACAAAGTCCACCACAGTTCTATCATAATTTAGTGATATTTTAAATTAAATGACAGTCCCGTGGCAAAACAAAACACCCCCATCTCTAGAGACCAAAGCAACACACAACCTTCACGCCACACAAAACCCGCTTCATACTTCACTTTCTATTCTATTTTCTCATAAACCAAACGGAATAGTCTAAAAGCAAAGTGATGAGCACATAATTATTACATGTGATATCCCTTAAATGATATTTGTTAGTATCTTATTTGTTTAATTTTGGACTAATTGCTTTGATACGTGGGTATGTGAGGTGTTGTTGTTACAAGGATGGCATAATCAACTTGGACTATGCACAATAAACATATCATGGGCATTCACGTGGGTTGGCAGCAAGATGATGAAAGGCAACCTTTTGGAGGTTTGCACATGCCGAAGGAATGCAAAGAGAGAGGTGGTTGGCCACCAAAGGAAAGATAGCTCCAGCAAGATAAAAAGCATGATGGGATAATGGTTTAATCAAGCATGTTGCAATCGCACTACAATAAGAGCAGCTCCCATTCCTATAAATAGATCATTGATGCAGCTCCAACAGACACCAAGCTCACAATCTTCTCTTGAGCTCTCTCTCCTTCCTCCAATTCTTCTAGTTTTAATTTTTTTAGTTTTATTTTATGGGAAACTAAGGCTAGGGAGAAAGCTTTTAATATATGAGTATGTAATTTTTATTTGTTTGATCCAGACTTAAGTTTTAATGTGAATTTGTAGTTTTTGTTCAAATGGATTTGTAGTTTTTCTTTTTAATTAATTGATGAATGTTTGATAATCTATTTCATGGGTTCAATCATGTTTTTCCCATTGTGTAGTAAAAACTTTCATGCTTTTAAAAGATGAGATAATTACTAAGATTAATAGAATTTTGACGAAGATTATTTTTTGATAGTTTGTTGCCAATGGTACAAGTTATGCTTAGAATACTTCTAAAGGAAATTAAAAAGAGCTTTAATTATTTTGAACAACCACAATGGAAAATATTTTGTGGATCAAATCAATAAGAGTTGCATGCTTATGTTAAAAGTGGAATCCCGATGCCTCAGTGTTTTAATCAATTAAATTTTCTTTAAATCAAATCCTGTTTAAATCTACTTCTCAATCACAATTGTTCTTTGTCAACTCTGTTATTTCTTTACACCACTGTCTGTGGATACGACACTCGGACTTCCGAGCTACACTACTATATGACACCTCCCCTTGGGTTTTGCAAAGTGGTACTAACACAAAGCATAACATATGTACATACATTCCAATATGTAACCAAGAATACATATCTATGAGTGTGTCTCGATTTTGAAATAATAATCAATAAATACATTGAACCATGAAGATTTCAGAAAATGAAAAGCGAAAGTGTTTGAAAATAAATAAATAATAAGGGAATTTACAGTGACATTCCGAGGAGATGGAGATGGATCGCGCCGCTCGGAGAAAACCCTAGCCTTAACTTGATCCACGAAGAGAGGGAAAATTCAAAGTGTAGGAATTGAAGCAAAAGCGAAATCCTACACGTGACCTAATGGAATTTGGTTGAAAATCTTCAAATGTACTATAGTTGTCACTAAATTAAGTCTAATAATGTCATTGCTAAAAGGCCCTGTAGCTAATGTATTAATAGCCTGAAGTGTAACATGCATCACTGTAGGAAGATGCAGGACAAAGTTCTTCCATGTTTTTCCCCCTCATATTGGTTGTGCCTATGTGGTTTAGCTTCTATATCTGTCCAGTTGCAGGAATTGACAAATAATGCAGCAGAGTATGCTCGGTTATGGATAAGGCGGGGTAAAAGAGCAACACGTCAAGGTAAAATGCTCAGGAATGACATCAATTGAATGAACTCGGAATTTACCTTCTTCTTTTTTATTATTATTATTTTTTAAAGGGTTATCTCCATAAGTTAAATCTCTTAGTCCTCTATAATAGGTATTTGGATGACCATTAAGAATATCCTCAATCAGATTTTCCATTATTTTGGGTGAATACTGCCTGACTGATATTACTACCTTCAATTTATTTCAAAACTCTTTTCTTCGTTGTCTCATTAGACTATTTTGTATCCAATTTTTCATCTGCAGAGAATACAACGCGAACTTATATATCTCATAGCAGAAGGGAAGGGTTGTCAAGTGCAATGAGAAAAAAACTGTCATTGGGTTTAGTTCATAATTACGATGGATACATTTTAGAAAGTAAATTATTACACAGACAATTTTATACCCAAAATGTTGGTGGATCCCTATTTTTTGTTGTTGTATTTATGGGTTTAACACGTATTATTTCTTATAAATAAAATCCATTTTTTATTTTTGCCTAATGGGCTAGTAGCTGGAAATCATTAGAATGTGAGGTATTGGAAAGAATTTAAATTCTCATTCCTCAATATCACTGGTATAAATAAAATAATTGAAGAAATAACTCTATCATAATTAGCAAAAGTGGTATTTGAAGCCCTAAACCCTAAAATAACATTGACAAAATTGTATATTTAAAGGGTATAGCCGGGCTGCTATACTATTTAAATATATTATTTTAAAGGTATAGTCGTGCGGCTACACTCTTTGAATACATCTGAATATTTTAAAGGTATAGCCGTTCGGCTATACGCTTTAAATTCATTCGAATCGAACACGAAGCTTGCACTCGCAGTCACACGGCCATTTCGCTTACAAGCTTCAAAGACTCGGTCTTGAGCCTTTCTCTCTCTCTCAACTCAAGCTTCAATTTTTTTTCTTTCGTTTCGGCTGATGCGTTGATTGGATTGGACTGGACTCTCTATGAAAACAATCAAATGTCATTCAGCTATTGAAATCTCCACTAAGATAACAACTTTGATGCTATAAGGGAGTTTGGCGGCCTGGGCGAGTCTGGGCGTCCCTTTTTTTCCAAATGAAGAGAGACGAAGCTTGCACTCGCACAGGAATGTGGTGCTCGAGTGAAAAGAAGAGACAGAGAAATGAACACGAAGCCTGCACTCGCAATCCAATCTTCAAAATTCAAATACTCGGTCTTCAGCCTCTCTCTCAACTCATGCTTGGATTTTTTTTTCTTCAGTTTCGGCTGCTGCGTTGATTCGATTTTTTTTTGGGTGCTTTTCTGTTATTGAAGTTGGCAATGTCAGATGATCCAAGGCAGTTTCTTAGTATGCCAGAAGAAGCCCAGCGGATGGTTCTTTAACTTGAGGCACAGCTTGCAGTTTGGCATTGGATTACACCATGCCGGTCTGAATGACAAAGATAGATCTCTGGTTGAGGAGCTTTTTGCAAACAACAAGATTCAGGCATTTCTGTTTTACCTCAGTAAGCATGAGTCTTTCCTGAAAAACATCTTAGGAAAAGAGAATATAAAAAGATAATTTTCTTACTCTATATACTGATTAGGCATATGTATTAAATTATAGGTATTGGTTTGTACCAGTACATTGGCATGGGGTGTAAACCTTCCAGGTCATCATCTGTTCATTATTGAGGTAAGGCAAAATTTGTGCGGTATCTTTTTCATTTGGTTCCTATATTTACAAATGTTTCTAGCAGGAGTATATTGCAGCAACTGTTCTTCAGGACAAATTTACGTAAGTGTTGATTCTCTTGCAGGGAACAGAATATTATGATGGGAAAACAAAGAGATATGTTTATTTTCCAATATCAATCACAGATATATTGCAAATGATGGTTTTGGTCACACATGACTATATAGAATAAAAAATGGAAAGAAAGAAATATGTGAATCAGATTACATGCTTTTCTCCATTTATAATCAACAGTTGCTCAGATTCTACAAGAAAGATGAGAATAGATGTCCATCACAATCCGCCCGCCAAACAATCCATAAACACAAATCATATTACTTTCTGAATATTTGCCTAAAATATTAATACTAGGAATCAGGTTGTTTGGGGTTCTTTAACCTGAGTCTCAAAATAATTAAAAATAGTGGCTGTACTCGTTAAAAATTAAATATAAATAGGGTATAGCCGTGAGTCTCAAGTATCAGTGGGAGCTGCCTTCGGGGTAGGCCAGTCCACAGTTTCTCAGGTGACTTGGAGATTCATTGAAGCATTGGAAGAACGTGCCAAGCACCATCTCAAGTGGCCTGATTCCAACAGAACGGAAGAAATAAAGTCCAAACTTGAAGAAGCCTTTGGATTGCCCAATTGTTGTGGAGCCATAAATGGTACACACATCATTATGACCCTTCCTACCGTTCAAACATCAGACGATTGGCGTGACCTGGAGGACAACTACAGCATGCTCTTGCTCTCTTAGAGATCTCTAATTTGTCCACGCCCGATTCCTTCTCAACCAATGATTCTGAAGAGGAATATTTATTCTTGTGTTCCTTTAAAAGACTTTCTGGCTAGAAGACCATACACGATGGCATTGAAGCAAAGAACATAATTGCATTAACTCATGGGTGCGTTTCTAGTTTATGAGATGTGGCGTCTGCAAGCACATGCTTCTCAGGTGCTGTTGTACACACCTTCAAACAGATGGAATATAGGCAGCCAGCTGATCTTGTAGCCCTGCTAAACGAAAATATGCCTGTCTAGCCGGGCGGCTACACCGTTGAAATATATTATATTTAAAGAGTTCAGCCGCTCGGCTATACCATTTAAATAGTATAGCCCAAAAAAGCCCAAAAATGGCTATACGAGCTTTACAAGTGCTGTTGTACACTCCTTCAAAGGGTGACGGATGAACGAAAATCGGTGCAGGGAAAAAGGATGCCAGTATAGCCGATCAGCTATACCTTCTAAAAATATTATGTTTCACGAGTACAGCCGTGCGGCTATACCATTTAAATATTATTTTAATAGTATAGCCGTCCGGCTATATTTTTTTTTTTTTTTTTTAAGGCCAAAAATGGCTATATGAGCTTTATATTTTCCTCCCTGCCTGCCTCGCTTCACCGAATCACTTCCCATCAAAGTCCTCATTTGAACTCTCATGAAGTCTCCCAAGAAATCAAAGAAAAGCAAGAAAGATAGGAAAATTGAAGAAAAACTTAAGCTTGGTTCCAGTCGAGCCTAAAGCCCCAGACTCTGGCTGGTGGGATAGTTTCTTCAACCCAAGGTTTTTCTTTTCACTAAGCTCAATCTTCAATTACTCTGCTTCCTGCTTTTTAGTGGAATGCATTCAGATTACTTGTAGTTTTAACTAAATTATCTTTATGTTTTGCTTATTTTGGAAAATCTATGATGCACAGAAATCTAGAACAGGTGGTGGATTTTGTTTTGTAATGTTAAATTCGGTAATGATGTTCATAATTAGAGCTCAAAACCTATAAACGGTGCTTTTGTTCAGTTAGGTTGTTGAAAAAATCGGCCCAGGCGCTAGGCGGCCGCCTAGGCGGGTCTTTTTTTTTTTTTTTTTTTTTTTTTTTTTAGCTAAATTATGAACTCGCTTCAATTTCTAATGGCCGCTATACAAAAATTTGCTTTTGATTATGTGTTTTGCATCCTGAAAAGAGAAAGATGTGGTCGAAAAGTTATTACTAGAGGGAGCAATAGAGATTTTTGTTAGGAATCTGGTTTGGCCTAAGTTGGATGAGTAGTTGGAAATCCTGATTGAATCAGACTTGGGGAATATACAAACATAAAAACACATAGTCGGGCTTTGCTTGTTGTCATAGACTATGAAGCCGCAATTCACCTCTGGAAGGCTGACAAGTTTGACTTTGTTGTCTGCATGAGTGCCTATATCGACCCAGTAATTTAGCATGCAAAGGATCTCCTTATCTTCCCATTAATGAGTATATATCTTGTGCAAGTTTTTGTTCCAATATACGATACTTTACTTTGTACCAAACAGATATTACCTAAATTGACAAAGTGGATGTGAAAAAAGCAGGTGACTTGTTTTGTATTTGTAAACACGGATCCCATAACTTGATGCAAACTTGAAATAAAAATAAAAGTTACAGAGAATGAAAACGACATTGACATGTTAAAGGTAGCGTTAGCTGCTCAATTTCATTTGAAGTAATAAAGTTCTGCAAATATTCGAATAACAAAAGCTGGGATGCAAGCATAGAGCTCAAAGATTTACAGATAAGCCTCCGATATTCCAACCCACAAACCACTTTCACCCTACAGATTGCATCAATTGGTAAAGTACAAGGGCATCGCCAAAATCGAATTCCTTTATGATGCCTCAGCAATGATAGAGAGCTGCACAGACACTTTCTCGGCTACTGATTTGATCTCTTTCACTCGCTCATCAACTAACTGCTGGAGTTGCTCCTCCTGATTTGGTTGATTCTCATCTATCTGAACAGTACTAGCAGCTTCACCAGCTTGTGACCTGAACATCACAAATGACATCTCGGGTTCATAATTGCTTGGAACTTCAATCACTTACTTCCCACCAGTCCCAGAATCTTTTCTGATAAGATCTTCCTTCATGCGATTAGAAATAATTCCCACAAAATCATCCATATAGCTGTCCACATGATCAAGGCCGAGATAAAGGAAAACCTCCCAACACTGAAGAAACTGTTTCTTGTTGATTTTCAAACTTTTCCGGACATCCTCAATGACTCTAGTGTCTGGCATGAGTCGAGGAGTGTGTCTTCTTCGACAATTTTCCTTGCTTTAGTTGTGAAACTGCTGAGCTGACTGCATGCTTGATTGGATCGAACTTATGAAGGCGCAGTACATCAACACAAGTGCGTACATGTTGAAAGTAATTCAATGGTTCTTCAACTGTTAGGGCATAGACGTTTTCAGATATTGCAACATCATTGAAAACCTCAAGAAGGTATCGTCCAAAACCCTTGTGTTGATAAGGAGGCAATACCAATATCTGCCATCAACAAGCAGGCTTGTTAAAACTCAACAGCACCAAGATTGCACAAAAAATGAAATTTATTTGAACTACGGAAGCACCAAGCTGTTTCTCTAGAGCATGCATAACTAGCAACTGATATATACAAGGAGCAAACCTGACCAATCCGCAACCGAGAACTATATATCAGGATAATGGTAAAAACGATACACAGCTGTAAAACCAAGCAACATATTGTAGATTTCCCCCTGCTGATCTGTTTTCCTCTGGATCTCAGGACATACAACTCCCAGCTTGGATCCACAACATCAATTGGACTGCTACCTAATTCAAAAAACAACAATTGATGTCATATTCTTACACTCCCCCTTCCCATCTTTTCTCCATAAAAATAAGAAAATAACAGAGTGTTCTCTGATGAAGTGAGATAGGTGATAAAATTACCATCAATAAGAAGAAGAACAAGAGGAATCAAGTGACTGTAAAGGTATCCAGCATGCAATACAACCAAGCGAACAACCTGAAGTTGGCTATAGTATAGTACTTCCACGCGGCTATACTAGGTTTTTTCCTAATTTTATTTTAAAAATAGTACAGCCGATCGGCTATAACATAATTTTTTTTAAAATAGTATAGCCGGGCGTCGTTACTCGGTGTTTTTCTTAATTTTTTTAAAAATAGTATAGCCGATCGGCTATACTCGGTTTTTAAAAATATTCTGATGAATCGGACTCGAACTCATCACTACGAACATCTAGGGCACAGAGCAAGCCCGTTCCAGGTTTTGAGCAGTGTTCGAAATATCGGCCTAGGCGCTAGGCGGGAGGACACCGACACCAGGGAGTTCGGGGGGGCTAGGCGGCCTGGGCTGTTCTAGGAGGCTCCTAGGCGGCCTAGGCGGTTCTAGGCGGTGCTAGGCGGCCTGGGCAGTTCTAGGCGGCTCCTAAGCGGCCTGGGATGTTCTAAGCGGTTCCTAGGCGGCCTGGGATGTTCTAAGCGGTGCCTAGGCAGCCTGGGCTGTTCTAGGCGGCTCCTAGGCGGCCTGGGTGGTTCTAGGCGGCTCCTAGGCGGCCTGGGATGTTCTAGGCAGTGCCTAGGCGGCCTGGGTGGTTCTAGGCGGCCTGGGCGGATCTAGGCGACGCCTAAGGGGCCTGGGCAGATCTAGGCGGCCTTGGCAGGTCTGAGCTCCAAGGCGGGTCGTGTCCTTTTTTCTCCAAATGAAGACAGACGAAGCTTGCTAGTGCGAAGGAGGAAAGGTGACATAAAATAAGGAAAGGCATAAGAAATGTGGGGTTTGTTTCGTGTGGAGTGAAAGGAAGAGATAGAAAACTGTGTTTCTGTTGTTGAGAGAGTGAGAATTTGGAGACAAATGAAGAGGGAATGAGAGATTTATAATTCCTGGTGGTCTTGGTTGGGGTAAAGAAAAGGAAAGGATAAATTAGTCGTCAACACGCATGCAGGGAGAGGTCGGTTAGTGGTGGCATTGCTCACCAATGCCTTTCTGCTTTATTGATTTCTTTCTAGTACTAGAAGCCTAATGTTACTGTCTAATAAAGTCACATAGAAAATCCTTACATCTTCTGCTCTGCAACTACTTTTTTATTTATTTAAATATTTTGACTGTACAAGTGGCATAGCACTGTAGGGGAAGACACCTTCAACAATAATTAGTGTGGTATTCTGTAGCAATCCTCTTCAGGAATGTTTTCAAAATTTAGAGAGAATACAAGCTAATTTCACAGGGAGGAGAAGCCACAGAAAAGCATAACGCAGTGATGACTTTGATTGCACGCTATGCTTAATATGAACCTGTCACAACTCCTTGTGGGCATGAAATCCTTGTGGCCATGGGCATTTCATGCCTATTTCAGTCAATGGATCGAGGTGAGTGTTTTGCTGTTACTGATCCTATTTAATTGAGTTAGTCTATATCTTCTAATCCCTTTTTAGTCCTTGACTTGTGTTAAATTTTCCTAGGTAACAAATGTCCTTTGTGCCCAACAGTTCTTTTCATTAGTCCTAGAACATGTGCTTATAATAATTGAATGAGATGCTTGTATTATTTGACATCAGAATTATTGCTTTATGGTTTTCTATACCTGTGCTGTTTGTAATGGGCATGGCTGCGCATCCCCCAGGAGTTCCACCTATTATAGATTGAGTCTGGCATTCTCACTTTTACAGAGTATAACAATTAGTGGATTTGTGGTTCTAGATTTTGTCAGCATGATATGTGCTTTTCCATCATCCATTCAAACGAATATACTGTGAAAATTTTCTATTTATAGAGTATAGCCGATCGGCCATACTGCTACAATATTCTATTTGAAGGGTATAGCCGATCGGCTGTACATCTAAAAGTTTCTATTCAAATACTCTATTTATAGAGTGTAGCCGCGCGGCTATACCTTTATGGCAGCCTATTTAACCACGAGTATAGCTGCCCAACAATACCGTTAAATATTCTATTCAAAGCGTATAGCCAAGCGGCTATACGATTAGAATATAATATTTAATCAGTATAGCCACTCGGCGGTACTATATTTCAATAATTAAATAATACAGCCGCGACCATACTCTTCAAATATTGGCAGTAGCCATTTCCTCAGGTGATTAAAGCATGGAGGGTAGATTTTTCTGTATTTCTCGGACCTTCTCACGTTTGGATGCCTCCTCTTTTGCAGTCCTTCCTTTATCTAGCACATCAAAATGATTGTAATGCGACTAATAAATTCATAAAGTAAAAAACAAAAAGAAATTTTCAGTGGAAAAACAGATGCAACGATAACTCACCAGGTTTCTTTGCAGACCTCCCAGTTCCCCTTTCACCTGTACAACCATTGGCTGGCCATACTTCTGCAGAATGATTAGAAGTTTAGAACCAACATGGTCCTAGGAGCCAAAAAAAATTGAAGAATAAGTTTCTAAAACAATTAGTCCAAAATGAATAAGTTAAACCAATGTGAATTGATAATGTTACTGGTTCAAATGCATTCCTGGAAATTAATGAAGTCCTACCAGTGGGGATAACAGACAAGTACAAATAAGGAAGTGATCACCTAAATGAGGGGTTTCTGTTGCTTTAGGATCAGCACTTGATAAAACTTGAGCTTCATCTCTTATCAATGCATGGGTTTTTCCTGGTTTACATAGAGTTGCAGCTTCAGAAGAGGAGTCTCTAGTATCACTACTTTTTCTTAAATGATCCATGCAAAGAACTTCAACATCCATTGCACTTTGAGCACTCTGGCCAAGTACTTCTCCAGCCTGTTGTAAGGCGTCACTGCCAGTCTTTTCCTCATCATGAAGTTGTTCTTCTTCATGCATCAAACTGTCCCGATGAATGAAGTAAGCAACTAAAATATAAGAAACCAATAAGTTCTGAAGTTAATGTGAACCAACAGTTTAGTTCACCAGCAGCAGATCCAGCATGAGCATATGTAAAATCAATGATCCGTAGCAAAGAAATTAGATCGGTGATTACAAATTACATATACAGAAATGAAGTATCAGGTTAAGAATGCACATAATAGTGGAGTCAGTCAGCCACTCGAGGGCAACTAAGCACTAACAATTATGTACCTTTTATTCTGACCTTGTTTTTATATATATGTATTATTATAGAATACATGTAAATGAGAATGTATTTTCCATGTCGCATCTTATTTTCTATTTCTCATTTCACATGATTGTGTTTGTGCTCATAGGCAGATACATTATTTCCAAATTGACAAAAGATAGGGTTCAAATTACCTACCTCTCTGGAGTGCTTCAAATCTGCTTCATGATCTACTGAGCAGTTTTCAGGGGAAATTTCTTCATAAGAACTGGTATTAGTACAAACAGAATTATTCAATTTGGTTATCAATGAGCAGCTATTTTCCACGGGCAGTGATTTCCTTTGTATATTAGACTCATCCATATCCTTTTTTCTTTTATTCCTTCGGCAGAAAGTAATCAATGGGGTGGTCAACTTGTTTCACGCAAGCTGAATCACCACTGAATTTATCTAACTTATTTCTAGAGAATGAATCAGTGTCTTCTAAGTTTGATGTATTCAATCTTGGCGAGCTACCATCACATCCAGAGCTGCTTTTTCTTTCAAATGCTGCTGCTGCTGATGATTTTTGTCTTACAAAATCAGCAATAATTACAGCGGAATTCATCACCAATTGAGAAACTAACCTCCCTCCAACATTATTATCATCAACCAATGCTCCAGCATTAGCATTTGAAGATGAGCCTACTTTCTTGCCACTAGACTTATTCCCATATGCATCCCTTTGGGAAGGAACCTCATCAAGACTTGTCGGAACGGTTTTAATTGGTATTTGTCTTGTGCCGGACACTTCAATGTGTTTCTTTTCCTTATGGGGTTTATCTAGGCATTGGAGATGATACAACTGAAGGCATTTTCCACAGTGCTTCGGGTTACCCCCAACACAGCACACAAAACAACATGGCATACCTTCAAGAAAAAGAGGCAGGGAAGACAGAATATAGCAATGACCTTAAAAATAAATTATAGGTCTAAGTCAACTAAGAGAAGATCTTCATAGAAACCTAGATTAAAGAACCAAATCTAAATGCTCATCTCAACTTATGCTTTCAAGGGTCGGTTGAATAGGGCACATTCTGGTGGTATCTTGTAATCCCTTAAAACCTTTTTCTTTTCAGTATTTTTTTTCAAGAACAAAATTATTAGAGGAAAAATAGGGAAGGATGGATTATTAAATTATCTACATAAAGATGATTGACATACAACATATGTCCCTATGAAACAAATATCAAACTTGCAACTTATTTAATAAGGAACACCCAAACAAGATGAATGCAACGGATCTCCAGAACTGTTAAGGAAAAACTAATAAGGCAAAACCTTTGAAGGTGAACTACTTGCCCATTTTTAGAGAGGAGATGGTGGAAGATAGAAAAATAGAGAGACAAAAAAAATCAACCATGTAGGGATAAGATATTAGAAAGATAGTAGCGTTTTTTATATATATTTTTTTTGGATTTGTTATGTATTCAGACCACATTCAGGTATATCAACTGATATAATTCACAAACTTCAAGACACAACAAGATACTTAAAAGACTTAAACACAATTCAATCAAAATAGTCCAAAAGCATAAATGCATTGCAAGTAACATCAAAGGTATATATATGTTACCAGGTCCAGGAGCATCTTCAAAAGTGCGTGCGTCACAATGTGAGCAAGCGCAGATTGAATCCGATCATCCCCTTCAAGATCATCGACACATTCCTCTTGTTCATAAGTTTCCACCAAAACAGCAGGATCCACAAACGGGGCAGCTTCCCTTGCAATCTCAAGCTCAAATTTGCAGCTAAATTTTTTCAATTTCGGGTTTCAGACTTTCAGTCAATCGCAGTGTTTGAAAAGTCGGCCCAGGCGGTAGCTAGGCGGCTAGGCTGTCCCTAGGCGGTGGCTAGGCGGCTAGGCGGTTCCTAGGCGGCTAGGTAATAGTAGCTAGGCGGGTTGGGTCTGTTTTCGGCGCCGAACCCGGAGGACGAAGCAGTGACTCCGAGAGAGAGTTCCGTCCACTGCGAATGCGAGCTTCGTGTTGGTTGGAATATATTTAAAGCGTATAGCCGCGCGGCTGTACGTTTAAAATATTCGAATCTAATTAGAACGTATAGCCGTACAGCTGTACGGCTATCATTTATATTTATACAGTCAAGCCTTGCGGCTATAACACTGATAACGTTGCAGAAACCTCAGGAATATGATTTGATATGTGCTCATTATATAGTATAGCCGCACGGCTATACTAATATCTATTTGTGTATGTATTAAATAAATAAAAGGTGTGATACTAATAATAAGCTCCAGGAAATAAATTATTCTTTCTTTATCTTTTTTTACCACTCCCTAAATTTAGGGTTCATGGTAAGTGGCTTGTTACTTGGGCCTTAATTTTTGCTCCTACACTGATAATGTTGCAGAAGCCTCAGGAATATGATTTGATGTGGTAGAAATAAACCAGCTTGACCAAATGAGAATACAGTATGCTGATTATTTGATGATATGCTCTACGTTTTACTTGTTTGGCAGATTGGGGAGCGAAGGTTGATGTTGTTTTTTTTTCTTGACCTTGCTTCAAATTATGAAGCCCCAAACTGATTGGTACCATGGCATCCTCATACATCCGAAAACAGCCCTTCGCTTGTTTTGATGTTCTTAGCAGCGGCTAACTCTGCAATGTAGACACCTTGCTCACTGGAAAGCAAGCCTTCAGGAAATCTGAAACAACATTAGTGGAAAAAAAATTGAAACAAGTTACAGAACAAAAAAAACACACATTAAAAACACTAATATGTCCTAAACAAATTATAAAACGTAAATGGAGCACCGTTATCAGGAAAATTTAAATCTCCATAGATCCTGTTACAGCCCAAGAAAACTCAAAGATAAGCACGAAGGAACATAGCCTAACAACAAATACAGGAAAATTTAAAACAAAAATAGGAGTATCTCCGCGCGGCTATACTATTTTAAAAAAATAAAATAACGCGGTATAGCCGATCGGCCATACTATTTTCAAAAAATTAAAAAAGGTTATATCCGATCGGCTATACTATTTATTTATTTTTTAAAACAGTTGTCGCTATACTATTTAGTTTTGAAAAAACAGTTGTCCCCCTGGCGATCAGGCACCCACGTGTCAAAATAAGTATAGCCGCACGGCTATACTATTTATTACCAAAAAAAAGTTTGCCCCTAGCGATTAGACGCCTACGTGTCGAAATATGTATAGCCGCACGGCTAGACTATTTTTTAAAGAAAACTGGCGTAGAGCCGGTTGGCTATACTATTCAATGAAAAAATTAAAAACCGAGTATAGGCGACCGGCTCTACCTTCAGGAATGAAGTTTGAGCACTTGCATCACCACCTGAGCTGAGCTTCGCTACCGCTTCGCCCAGCTCCTACGCCTACCATGAACTTGAATCATCACGTGGCTGCTAAAGCAAGCTAAGCTTCACACGGCCCTGAGGAAGCCAAAAGACCCTCCCCTCTCACGGCCGAAGGCTCCGCAACACGTTGGAGAGCTTTTAGATCCCGCCCTAAAACGCCCGTTCTCCTAGAGTTCCGAAGTGATCCTCATTCTCACCGCAGCCTTCTTATTAAGCCGAAAGAAAGCCAGGCAAGAATCGCATTTTTTGGTAGTACGAAGGGGGAGCAGAATGGGTCATTGTTTCTTGGGATCGCTGACAGATTCTCGTCGCCGTCGTTTGTCTTCGACTTTTGCTACCAGATTGATTATAGCAAAATCTCTCCCAATCGATTCACAAACACCAGACAACTACTATGGGCTTCACCTGTTGACCAGCTCCACGCACTTGAGCAATACTTCCAGATGCTACTGGTTTCTCTTCAAAATCATCAAAACACTCCGGGAGCTTGCGGCCAAATGCTCGTTCAATAGTTTTCTTCATGTAGGCAAAGCTATGAGAGCTTGGTGCATAAAGAAAGAGCACCAACTATAAACAATTACGCGAATTCCAGTGCCACACATCAAAAGCGATTGAATCATCAGAAAATAATTAATTAATTAATTAAAAAATCCGCCTAGGCGTCTAGGCGGGTCTGGGCATTTTTTTTTCTTTTAGATTTTTATTTTGCTGACTTAGGTTAAATTTTTAATGCTTTTGTAACCCCCAGTAGTAGATTAAAAATAATGTATATTTCTTTAAATGATATTCCTTGTTGAAAACATCTATTTTCTATTTAGTGGCAATTTCTGACACGACTCGAAACCAGCACTATATATCCTAAACAAGATACGTAAATGGAGCATAGTTATCAGGAAAATTTAAATCCCCATCGATCCTGTTACAGCCCAAGAAAACTCAAAGATAAGCAAACAGATTACTGACATTTTTCCAAGACCCAAAAGATGCAAAAAGGGCCATCATATTACGCAGGAACATAGCCTAACAACAAATGATATACCCTATCTTTGCAATCATCTAGAACAAATGAACACATCTAGAATAGAGGAGAACGGGAAGATTCAGGAACATCAAGGTTACCAAAAAAGAACAGAATTCTATTTTATTTCTGTCTTTTACCTCTCTACTGTTTTTACATGTGAATTGTTTTTTTTAAACAAACTAAATACCGAAGGATTGAACCTTCAAAATGTATTGCAATTTCCAAAACAAACAAAACAAAAAAATGAATAAAGATCTAAATGTTCATGTCCACTTCTTGGGATTGGTATATTTTGGATTTTATAACTGTCAAAATTGTTTAGTAATCATAGCATTAGCACTGACAAGACCTTCTTATGGAGCCATTAGCCCCTCAGTCAGCTTTGAGAAGCAGTGTTTGCATCACATTGTACCTGGGGTCAAGTTTCCGCTGCCATCCCTGCAAAACATAACCAGTGATGAGATTTGTATAAGATCAGTTAATTGAGGATCACACCAATGATATTATAAATTGGAGCAAATTGCCTCTCAGATTTGTATAAGATATCAGTAATTGTCTATTTCTGCTACTCATGGTAAACCTATTATATAATACAAAAAACTATCATATTTGTTTTTCTGAGACAATTAAATTAAATTTATAAAGAGAAGAGAAAGGAGTAAAGGATATATGGCCAACAGAAAAAAGCAGAAAAACAAATAAAGAAAAGACAACTTAATAATCTACGTGTGCTTTAATTTAATGTCTTTGTGCTTATAAATTTCACATGCCTATATTGCGAAGATTACAGAGTTTCATAAGAGAATTTCCATGCCTTGGCTGCAATAGATAAAGGAAAAAGAAATTACCTCAAGAACCAAAGTGGTTACCATGACAGTACAGACATTGCCATCGACATTGACTCTATGACGCCTAACTGTCTCCAGTAACTGCTGCATACACTCAGCAGGATGGACCAGATCAAATACATAATGTAGATTATTAAGGAGGGAAACTTGTAACAGAAGCTTCCTGAGTTCATAATATCATTGAGGAACTGCATTTTGTCTACAACCATAACACACACAGTGATGAATAAACGAAAAAAGGAGTGAATACTACACACACACACACACACACACACATATATATATATCACATATTTCAATTGTGCTTGACAAAATTCAGGCTTTGAGACAAGAAAGTATTACCAGAGGACGGTGGATTGAAAAGCATTCTAATATGAAATTCTTTCTTTGCATAATCTGAGCATAAAGGAGGAATTGAAAGGGCAAATATCAAACCTGCAACTTATTTAATAAGGAACACCCAAACAAGATGAATGCAACGGATCTCCAGAACTGTTAAGGAAAAACTAATAAGGCAAAACCTTTGAAGGTGAATCACTTGCCCATTTTTAGAGAGGAGATGGTGGAAGATAGAACAACAAGATATTAGAAAGATAGTAGCTTTTTTTATATATATATTTTTTGGATTTGTTATGTATTCAGACCACATTCAGGTATATCAACTGATATAATTCACAAACTTCAAGACACAACAAGATACTTAAAAGACCTAAGCACAATTCAATCAAAATAGTCCAAAAGCATAAATGCATTGCAAGTAACATCAAAGGTATATATATGTTACCAGGTCCAGGAGCATCTTCAAAAGTGCGTGCGTCACAAGTAACATCCAAGCATAAATCCGATCATCCCCTTCAAGATCATCGACACATTCCTCTTGTTCATAAGTTTCCACCAAAACAGCAGGATCCACAAATGGGGCAGCTTCCCTTGCAATCTCAAGCTCAAATTTGCAGCTAAATTTTTTCAATTTCGGGTTTCAGACTTTCAGTCAATCGCAGTGTTTGAAAAGTCGGCCTAGGCGGTAGCTAGGCGGAGGCTAGGCGGGCGCTAGGCGGCTAGGCGGTCGCTAGGCGGCTAGGCGGTCCCTAGGCGGCTAGGTAGTAGCTAGGCGGGCGCCTAGGCGGGTTGGGTCTGTTTTCGGCGCCGAACCCGGAGGACGAAGCAGGGACTGCGAGAAAGTTCCGTCCACTGCGGGTGCAAGCTTCGTGTTGGTTGGAATGTATTTAAAGTGTATAGCCGCACGGCTGTACGATTAAAATATTTGAATCTAATTAGACAGTATAGCCGTTCGGCTGTACGTCTATAATTTCTATTTGTACAGTCGAGCCTCGCGGCTATAACGCTGATACCGTTGCAGAAGCCTCAGGAATATGATTTGATACGTCCTTATAGAGTATAGCCGCGCGGCTATACGCTATATATTTGTGCATGTATTAAATAAATATAGGGAGTTTCACTAAAACACCCAAAATAGGGTTGAAATTATAAAAAAACCCAAGCACTATTTGAACATATAAACACACCCAAAACCCATCATTACACACACTCAAAACCCATTTATAAACACACCCAAAAAGTTGATTTTGGGTGTGTTTCTATGTTTAAATAGTGCTTGGGTTTTTTTATAAATACATGTCTAGGATTGGGTTTATTTATAAACTTGTAATAAATATATAAAAGGTGTGATACTAATAATCCAAAAGCATAAATGCATTGCAAGTAACATCAAAGGTATATATATGTTACCAGGTCCGGGAGCATCTTCAAAAGTGCGTGCGTCACAATGTGAGCAAGCGCAGATTGAATCCGATCATCTCCTTCAAGATCATCGACACATTCATCTTGTTCATAAGTTTCCACCAAAACAGCAGGATCCACAAATGGGGCAGCTTCCCTTGCAAGATCAACTTGAGACATGATAAAACCTGCAAACTGCTGTACACTCTCATCCAATCTCCACCACTTTAAAGCAGGAATGAAGTTTGAAATTTTGCTACCAGATTGATTATAAAAAATCTCTCCTAATTGATTCACAAACACCAGGATGCTTAACCTTTACGGCAACTATTATGGGCTTCACCTGTTGCCCAGCTCCATGCACTTCATGAGCAATACTTCCATATGCTACGGGTTTCTCTTCAAAATTATCAAAACTCTCATCGAGCTTGCGGCCAAAAGCTCGTTCGATAGTTTTCTTTATGTAGGCAAAGCTATGTTCAGGTGCTTTGGCGATTGAATCATCAGAAAAATTTAAAAATTTCCGCCTAGGCGGGTCTAGGCGTTTTTTTTTTTTTTTTTTTTTTTTTTTTTTATATATAATTTAAAAAAAAATTTAAAATTTTAAGGATTTTTATTTTCCTGACTTAGGTTAAATTTTTAATGCTTTTTTAACCCCCATTAGTATATCAAAAAAAATATTTCTTTAAATGATATTCCTAGTTGAAAACATCTATTTTTTATTTGTATATCTATAATCTTGTAGCCCAGAAGAACAAATTAAAATTACTAATTGTATTTGCAAATCTATGACAACATTCACATGTGTTGTTATTTTTTCAAATAGGATTATATGTTAACCTATCTAATAGGAATTTATTCCATTATATCAAAAAAAAATGAAACAATAGATAGGCTAGGATAGTGAGCTCGTACCCTTACATCTAAATTCGAATCCCCTCTATATAAATTAGATTTATTTAAAACAATTTAAACTCTTGCTTGCATTAAAAATAAATGAAAACAATACACCGAACCTAATAACAAAAAACAACTCCCACTGCCCCCCTTATGTGTGGATGTAGTTGATCAGAAGAGCTGCACAAATGAATTAATAATGCTTATGGAATGAAAATTTCAGAATAAGAATGACTTGTTGTCAGAAAAAGAAAAAAAAAACAATGAACAATGACTAAACAGTTGAGTCAAACCCTTAATCTATGCAATATATATATACCTTTCAAGCATTAATTTGTGTTAGAATTCGAAAAGGACCCTATCTGAAAAGAAAACTTGGCCTATGGCCGAAAAAACAGAAAGCGTGGCTCGGTATCGACCTCAGATGAAGAAGTGGAATTGAGAAAGCCCAACCCAAAAACTGAAACCCGGGTGGGTCCCACCTGTGGGCCTCTTCAGCCCACCATTAGCCCAGAACCTATCACGGTTCAACGAAAAGATTAGAGAGGGGCTGTAAAAGGCGTAGTTCCCCATTTTCTCTCGCGCACAACGAACTATTCCTTGGTCCTCAGCTGCTTCTTCTTCTTCCTCTTCTTCCTCTTCTTCGTTTGGATCTCTGAGCTGCGGCAGCTCCTTGACCTTTCAATCTCAGAGCCCATCGCTGTCCCACTGTGAGTTCCTTCTATCCCTCTCTTTTACTCTCATTTTCTAATTCCCTCAACCCTCCTCAGATCTATGCTCTCCTCTCGACTTAGGGTTCGTATCTGTATATATTTGTGCTTTTCTATCTATTGTGCCAATCAAAATTTTAACTTTCTGACTGTTCCAATCAAGAAATGTTAGCCGATTAGGAGTATTAGTAAGATAAGCTTACGGTTTGCATGAAGGACTGACCTTTTTATTTGCCCGCTGATTCTTTTTGGATGATGTATTTTGCGGTTGTTTCCCATATGGTTTTCAATCACAGTAATGCGTTTTCGAATGTTAATAAAATTATACTTGTTGCTATCGTTATTTGGTTGGTGTAAGCAATTGAATGAATAAAACCTTTTTTTATCTCCGTCTACCTCCATTGCTCAGTATATAGGTAGGAAAAAATTGATCATTTTGGAGGTTTTATTAACCAATGAGTTGTTCAATTTATTATTATTTTTTTTTATGCTTTTGGTACTTGACAGGAATATTGACTGAAATGGCTGGAGGAGCGATCCACCAGTTATTGAGGAGGAAACTTCAGTCTCAATCTACTGTGAGAATCTTCTTCCCCCCACATATCTTTATTTTTCTCTTTGGGTTTCCACCGTTCCAGTCCTGGTGCTCTACATTACTTAATTGGAACTTTATGATAATATCCAGAAATTATAGGCCTATGTTAGTACAATTTTCAGTTATGTATGCTTCTTAGAGCAAGTGCCATTCCCATTTTTTTTATGAGAAGGAAAACGATCATTTATGTTGATATTCTACACTCAAGAACTTAGACAATTGATTTGATACCAACTGGAATCTCTTTACTTTTTCCTTGGTGGAACTATCATAAGTTTTGTTCTAAAATAGCATAATAATGGTTGTTGTATATTACTAATTGCAGGCCCCTCCATTTTTGTCTTCCCTATTACATAAGAAAGACGATGCTGGGTCTGCTGGGGTAAGGTCCCTCAGAGCACTTGCTCTCCTTGGAGCAGGTGTTTCCGGACTCCTAAGTTTTGCAACTGTAGCATCTGCTGATGAGGCTGAACATGGATTAGAGTGCCCAAACTACCCCTGGCCTCACCAGGGAATCCTTAGCTCATACGATCATGCTTCGTGAGTTCAAACAGAATCCATAACGTGTGTGTGCGTGTTCAATAATTTATTTTCTTGTGAATACAAGTTGTTTCACAGTATGCCACTGAGCTCAAAGGAATCAAATTTTTTTAGTGTATTGAGCTTTAGTTAGTTTTTACTAAATATTTGGGTTTATATCTTCAGCCTTCACCTTTTCAACCATACTCTAGTGCCCTAAAGCAATAATGCTGTTTTTATTTGGTATCTGAAATGCTATATCTTGATATGGTTGCTTGATGATTTAAGTTCCATCTACTTGGGCAGGATTCGTCGCGGTCATCAGGTTTACACACAAGTCTGTGCATCCTGCCATTCCATGTCTTTAATATCTTACCGTGATTTGGTGGGAGTTGCATATACGGAAGAGGAGACAAAGGCTATGGCAGCTGAGATTGAGGTAGTTGATGGTCCTAATGATGAGGGTGAGATGTTTACTCGCCCCGGTAAACTTAGTGATCGATTCCCGCAGCCATATGCAAATGAGCAGGCTGCTAGGTTTGCTAATGGCGGGGCTTATCCTCCAGATTTAAGTCTTATTACAAAGGTACTTTCAATCTTTTGTTGATGGATTCTCTCTAATTTGTATTTTTTATATACCGTGGAAATATCTCACCCATGTCCTTTCAGGCTCGTCACAATGGTCAGAATTATGTATTTGCCCTTCTCACTGGTTACCGTGATCCTCCAGCTGGTGTCTCGGTAATTTCTATTCTTGGTTTTATTCTGAAAAAGAAAATGAATGTGGATATGAAGGTTTACATTTTTATATGAATTTGTACTGTCCTGATTTTATATGATTTCCACAAAATGTTTATTTAGCTTTTATGAATGCTGTGTGAACTGAGATTGGCCAAAAGCTGCAAAAACCTTTCATATGATGGTATTAGTGCTTTTGTACTGCATAACTTTGCCTTTTGAATTCATCCAACACCTTTTATTGGGGAACATTAACACATAATTTCCTATCAATTTTTGGAGTGTGACTAAATGGAAACACCATTTAATAAGCTTGTAGACCTTGCAGTCCCTGTACTGTCGATTTGTTGCTTCTTTGTGTGTGTCTGGTATTTGTATTAATCAATGTTGTTACTAAATGATATTTGAAATTTTGAAAGGTGAAACTTATCTTGGTGTTTAGTTCCATTCAACGAAAAATTATGTGTCTGGTGTCCACATAGTTTATGGTTCTGTCAAATGGAGGTGATGTGCTGTAATTCCTATAACCTGAAACTTTATTATCTGGTTTTGTAGATCCGTGAGGGTCTGCACTATAACCCTTACTTCCCTGGGGGAGCTATTGCTATGCCTAAAATGCTTAACGATGGTGCTGTTGAGTACGAAGATGGTACTTCTGCAACTGAGGCTCAGGTTGGTTTACGATATAAGTATATGCATATATTACGTGAGGGGTGTGTTATATTTAAAGGGTTGCTCAAACGATTCCATAATATTATGTTGCAGATGGGGAAAGATGTTGTGTCGTTCTTGACATGGGCCGCGGAACCAGAAATGGAAGAGAGAAAATTGGTATGCTTGCATTTAAGCCGTTTTCCCTGATTGACAATGGTGAAGTTACTTTAGTTCTAACATGACATGTGTCCTAAAAATGCAGATGGGATTCAAATGGATTTTTGTTCTCTCTCTTGCGCTACTTCAAGCTGCATACTACCGGCGATTGAAGTGGTCAGTTCTCAAGTCCCGCAAGCTGGTTCTTGATGTTGTGAACTAGCCTTACGTTGGTTTGTTTCACTGTTTTGCTTCTGGGAGGACCACCTATTTTGGAAATAATTTTTTTCACATTGTAATCAAGGTTTTCTGGCCATGTCAAATTGGTTGAAATCAGTAATTGGTGATGGAGTGACCCTTGAGAGTGTCATTTTAAGAGATATAATAAGCTTCCTCATACGTATGGAATATTTATTTATTTTCTTGGGCATGTGAATTTTGTTAATTTTCTTCTAGTGCCAAATTCTAATTCTCCTTTTTGGATTATCGTCTTCAAAATGTATAACAAGTTTTTTCAGTTATTTGGATTCTACAATGGCATTGGCAATGGGGTGAAACATGCGTGCAACAGCTATTATCTAATCATACTCTAATCTAGTCACGCGACCCGTCGCACAACTTGCACGTAAATCAAGACTCGTAGAGCTTGCATTGATGCGACGGAGTGATGTATGGGTTTACAAAGTTCCGAGCAAACTCTACTAGCTATTTGGGAGTTGTTTTAAGAGTCCAGCTAGGGTCACTGTTATGACGGAGTGATTTTGCGTCCGATATATTTGAAGAAGTAACAACAATAGAATGAATCTGCGAGTCTCGATGAAAACGTCCTATAATGGGCTCTCTACTTTACAGTGCGGCCCAACCTTGTCAGGCCCTTACTCGCCAATAAAGTATTCGAAAGTTGAAGGCCATCATCTGACTCTGAACAAAACTTAGATATTAGATAAGGGCCAGATTGGATTCAATGTTGACTTTTGTTTATAAAATAAATCCTGCATTTGACGCTGACTCATAACCCTCATCACAATTATGAATCTCATTCGCTAACACTGCCATTTTCCTTTTTTTTAATCAAGAGTAACTCTTCGAATCGGACTTGAGATTTCTTCTAATATTGACAAGTAATGTAGCACTCGATAACATGTGCAAGTAAAATAATTCCACAAGTAACGAGGTTTGAAGTCATTCTCAATATAGGCTCGTGAAAACGTCTTTTGACGTTAGCTCATTATTCTATTAATATTTACAAATGATGCACCACCACATGAAGAGCTTTAACACCTGGAAGTAAAATTATTCGTGAGTGGTCAATATAATAAGTAGAAGAAGTAGAAACATTTGACGGTTCACTTAGGCCAATAAAATAAGATGTGGCGTTGATAAGAGATTTAAAATAATTTGGCTGACAATACCATCGTCTCAAACCATCCACGCGTCGATATGTTCATGGATTGAAGGAAAAGGTCCGTGGTCCACCCCGACCACTCCTCCAATCAAGTCGCACTGTTTAACCAATATCCTGGGCTGCAGTTGACGCGCGGCAGGGCCAGCGTGGCACCTACATTCCATTCCCCAACCCTCTTTGAAAGCCGATCTTACTTGTTTTGGCTAATCTCGTGGAAACACGTGTGCATATTCTCGAACCTTTCTTAATAGAAAGTAGAAACCCATTTCCACTTGAGTAGGAGAGAAAATGATACTTTCTCCTTAACAAAACTCCACGTGTCCCTCCTTTTTCAAGAGTGCTTCACACCCTCCCATACTTGGTTGGCCAACACGTGGGTCCCCCAAACGCAGAACTCAATTACTCCTCCAGGATACGCCAACTTTAGGTGGGCCCCGCGTCAAACGAATCAGCCAATGTGTTCTCAGCACTGTTGGAGTGGTGCCCTAGACACGTGGTGGTTCCTCACCCAGCCACCACGCTCCTGCTATGATTATCGCTTCAGCTCCCGGAGACTAGAGAGAGAGAGAGAGAAAGAGAGAGTGAAAGAGAGAGAAAGGGAGGGAGACAGACAGACAGACAGACAAAGATCAGGCATCCAAGCCAAGGGCAAGGAGAGGAAGATCTTGCCAAGAGGGTGGATGGACGCTGGAGATGGTTGGCACGTGGCAGGCGGCGAGAGCCTTGCGCGAGATAAGACGATAATCAACCGGATAATGCTCAAATTCCGGCCGATCGCTCCCAAACCAGCGGCCGTAGGGTCTTCTTCCGGTCCGATTTCGCCGGACAAAAAGAGCCCGCATTTGACCAGCAAGAGAGTGAAGAGGAAGTACATTAGGGTTGGGAAGATTCATAATAATAGCGGCAGCGGCAGGAGATTAATTGACACTAGCTCTTCAGCGGAAGAAGAGACGCCGAAAGCCTCCTTGGACTCGGCCATCGTCACTCTTCAGCTGATGCCGGAAAAAACGGACTTTCAAGGTTTTCCAGGTACTGGATCTTGGTGTAGGATAGATCCTACGGTTGCGAAAATCCGGGACCTACCAACGTGGATGAACCAGAACGACCCTAAGATGAGCAGGTCCGTTGGGAACAAGTGTGTTTCGGCGGGGCCAGATCGGACGGCGCTGGTGCCTCGGGTGATGGCCTTGGAGTCGTGGGTGACGGTGGAAAGCGTGACAGACACGTGCATGGACGTACGAGGGTTAGGTTGTACGGACGAAGAGAAAATGAGGATATTGGAGAAGGACACGTGTCCGGGGTTTATATCAGACAGTTCAAACAGGGTGAAGTGGGTAAACGAGGCCTACAAGAGGATGGTGGTGAGCCAGTGTGAGGAGCAGCAGGCGGAGGCGGCGGAGGTTAGAGTGTGGCTGGTGACGAAGGCGAATCTACCGCCGTATGCGTACCCGGGGTTCACGTGCAGGGTGAGGGTGCAGTACTACACGTGGCAGAAGGAGAAGTGCTCAAAAATGGTACCGTGTGATGTGTGGAGGATGGAGTGTGGGTTGGCTTGGAGGCTGGACATCAAGGCTGCGCTTAGTTTGGGACTTTAAACAGACGGATGCTGCTAATATAAATCAGGTATAATAATAATAATAATAATAATAATGATATTATTAATTCTTGCTTCTTAAAGCTTTTGACTAGTATTCGTATTGCTACTACACATATGTAAGAGACAGAGGATGCCGAACAAACCGCAATCCAAGATAAGGTATTTATATATGGGATAATTAAGTGATTTAGTAAGCTTTAAAATATATATGTGTGGGATAATTAGGAGGAGAAATTACCTTTATTACTTGATTTTTCTTTTTGGCCTTTTTTAAAAAATTTATAAAAGGGAAAGAAATAGGAGGAAACAATAATACACAGAAAATAAAATAAAAGGACAAGGTGGGGTTGCTATCAAATTAAGCCACGCAGACAGACGGGTTGAATGAAACTCCGATTTGATTTGATTTGATTGTCCGTATTCTAATTCTTTGCTAAAAATGTATAATGTATCATACATTTTCTTGTTTTGCGAAATTATCTTTTAGACCCCGACCCCCACCCCCACCTCCACTTGGTTCAAAATTGACAAAATACGATAGCAAATCAAAAGCCCTACTTTATTATTAAGGGATCCGAATCTTTTTTACTAATTTTCTTTGTCATGATTTACTTTATTTTTGTTCTCTATACGATGCCTTATTAAAATTTAATTTAAGGAATTTAAAAGTTGATGCATCATCCTAAAACAAAAACTCAATTTACTCTAATTAAAAATAAATAAAAACCCTAATACCCAACCAATGAGATAGTTAACATCGAAAAGCTGTTTGTTTGTTTTATTTTATTGTTCTTCACGTTCTGTCCTCTTTTCTTTTTTTCTCCTACACGTTATGTCCTATTCTCCTTATTAAAATGGTACGGACAACTTATAAAGTAAAAGTAATGCTCAACATAGGCATCTCCAAACTTTTACTAACTAAATCAAAACCAATTCTTCTCCTCCTCTTGCAAACTTACAATTAATTACGTATTTGAAAAAGAAAAACATATAAATAATTAAATAAAGAAAAAATGTGTGTCATCATATTTATATAGTACCCTAGACTCAATCATTCATATAAATAGTAAACTTAATTACAATTCGGAACTGAGGGGTTAGGTAAAGCCACTGGGAAACGTCAAATTGGTAAATTTCTAACACGACAAAAGTAGAACTATTTTGTCGGTCTTTTATGGTTGTAACAGAAGCATATTGCACGTGGCAGAAGCTCAGTAAAGGTTATCCAATAATAGAAATTTTTTCATTCCTAATATGGAAAAAATAAAATAAACATAAAACTGTCGCTTTTCTCGTATGACGTCAAATATCTTGCCCAAAGATTCACTTGGCCATCCGACCATCCACGCGTCCTCATCATAAAGCAACAACTTAATCTATTGCACTCGCATACCTCTCACGTGTTGCCCTTGCTTTGTAGTATATGTGATGTGTGACAGTGTGAGGGCTCTTCCATCCGAGAGTGCGTCTCACGCAGGTCGCCTCGCTTGTAAGCTTTTAGAGGTTGTATTTGGGAAACCGAATTTGATGTTCTTTGCGAATGAAAAACCACCACGTATAAGATTTCTCGAACCTCCCCAAAGGCCAACATTACTACGCTAAGCTCGAGGTAGCCCCACGTGTACCTTTCCTTTCGGCAGTGCCTGACACCTTATGCCCTCTCATTGGATCATATGTGGGACCCTATCTCAATTACAGCCGGGGTTGCTACTTTTCTAGTGGGCCCCACACCCCAAAAGAATTAACCAATGAAATCCCATCGTTGTTGCTTTGGAGGGTGTAGTGTAGCCCTAGCAACTCAGGTGGTGTGTTGTTGTGTTTGTTTCTCCACAGTCCACGCCCCCTCACCTCACTGGCGAGTATAACAGCCGCCGCTACTAATATAATTATCTCTTCATTTTGAGCTCCCACTCCGACGAGAGAGAAAGAAAGAAAGAGATACAGGGGAGAGGTGGCTATGTGTTGAAGATCAGAGGAGGCGTAGATATGGAGGGCGGAGATGGGTGGCAGATGCTAAGATGCGCTGGTGGGGAGGTAGATAAGTCAGTTACTACGAATCGGACCATGCTCAGGTTTCGGCCGATCGCACCGAAACCGGTGGATACCGGAGCCACAGCGCCGACCGGAAACAAGAACTCAGTTTTGACAAGTGGAAGAAAGAAGAGAAAATACGTTAGGGTTCAGAACAATAGTGGGTATACAAGAAGAAAGAAAAAGGAACAAGAAATTACAAAAGACGACCTTGCAGCTCCTCCTAATGGCGTGGTGAGGACCCTGCAGCTCTTGCCTGAGAGTACTGTTACCGACCACTCAACGGACGGCGGATCTTGGTACGAATTAGATCATACGGTAAGTAATAATAATAAGAATCCTCCCATAGGGGAAGATCAGGGCCTCCCCATGTGGTTGAGCAGTTACATGGGTGGTGGTTGTTCAGATCCGACGGTGGGGATGCAGTTGCAGGAGATGATGGTGAAGTCTTTGGTGACAGTGGAGTGCGTGACAGGCACTTGCATGAATGTGCAAGGGACGTTTGGGGTTGGGAGATGTACGGACGCAGATAGGATGAGGAATCTGGAGGGAGACGCGTGTCCGGGGTTTATATCGGACGGTGAGAATAGGGTTCAGTGGCTGAACGGGGCGTTTAAGAGGATGGTGAGCCAAGGGAATTACACATCGGAGATAGCGGTGTGGTTGGCGATAAAAGAGAAGTTGCCGTACACGCATTGGGCGTTCACATGTCAAGTAAAGCTGCAATACATGGTGGGTAAGGAGAAGTACTCTCGAATGGTGCCTTGTGATTTGTGGAGAATGGACGGTGGAGGATTTGCATGGAGGCTGGACGTTAAGGCTGCCCTCACTTTGGGCCGTTGAGTTGTCGATCATTTAGTTTTATAGATAAGTAGATGGAATGGAAGATTGAACCCCAAGAATAACAGATCTCAGGTAAATATATTCATTATATACATAGATAATTATTAGGCATATATGTATAGAACACACACATTTGTATGAGTTGGGTGCAGTGATCAACTTCACCAATTAGAGTTGTGTACGTATACGTAGAGAATGGAATCAATACTTGCTTTTAGGATAAACAAGGATTATAAGCATGGCAAAACTTGATTCGTGGGTAGGTAGGACAAATTCGCAAGATATTATTAATCAGTCATTTTCTTTTAATTAGCTAGATTAACAAACAGAAAATAAAAAGGAAAAAAAAACAAGATATTGTATAGTGAGTGAATGAGTGATGCTTGCTGGGTGTACAGTGGTGCCATGTGCATCGATCACTCTAATGGGGTAGGTCTCAATAATATTTATTAAAAAAAGTGACAAGTACATTTAATTTGAAGATAACATGAGAGGATAATTATAAACTATCCATCTAGATGACATGTTTATAGCAAATTAAACATTAACGCGTAAATATCAACAGTAATACATACAATGTGTTCATATGGGTAGGTTAATTAATAAAGATATGACTTAATATGACACCTAGGATACTGGCATTTGCTTAATTTTGATATTAGACCGCTTCGTTGTTGTAATGACCCTTTGTGACTAGTTTGTATTGGTCATTTGTGACCGGTGACTTTGTTATAGCTGAATTATGAATGCAATCCTAAATTTTCTATTATTAAAAAAAAAGCATACTAGCATTGGCTTCATCTAGTTTCTTCTTACATATTATTTATGGGGAACTATTTTCTTTTTCATATTTTATTTTGTCATAATACAACTCTTTTTATTTATTTATTATAAATGAAGAATTTACGTTTGAATTCCCAAATGAACTATAATCTTAAGAAAATAATAGAGTTTTGCATGTGTATTATAGTCCTTTCATTCACTTTAAGTTAATTACATGCATGCATGCTATGTTCATATGAATTAATTGGTCAGAAAGAAAAAGGTCATGCATGTTTCAGCTTTGTGGAACCAGCTGGAATTATACAGTATACAGACGTACGTAATACTTGATCGATCTCTCAATCAAACTTAGATTTTACTTAGGATTTAATTAGGAATTGAGCGAAAATTATAAAAAAAAATTATGTTCGGATTTCAATAATGTTATGAACTCTATTATAGCCATTTCTGACATTCAATGTACTCTACGGATAGAGAAATACATAAAGTTGAACATAGGAAAATAAAAAATTGAAAGATTTCAACAATTAAACAGATTCAATTGACTAGAATAATAAAAAGTTATATATATATATATATATATATCTTACGAGATTGTTTATAGCATATAGAGGCTGGACTACCAATACCTACTGTGCTTAGCATCTAATATTTAATTAAACTTTGAATTTGAATTATAAAATCCTATCTATGTGTTATTCTTTTTTATTTTTAGTACAAGCGATAATATAAATTATAAAGAGAGGTGGGTTTATCTCACACACGCACTACCAAGATGTCATAGGGGTTTGAACTTGAGACTTCTAATATGGAAGTTGATGCTCTTTTCACTGATCTAGACTCTGTTGGCAAAAACTGTGCGGCTTTTGTGTTATTCTTCTTTTAATCCAGAGCTTGGGTGGCAATAGAAAACTCATCATGATAGGATATTATTTCCCCAAACCTCCTAGCCAACCGCAGATTATTTTCTTCCTGAAATTTCTGGGGGCTGGGACAAGGATAAGTTCGATTAACTTTGTTTTGAATAAATGGTCAATCCAACTTAAACCGCCATTGAAACTGCATCTTATCCCATATATAGGCAGATTATTGTTTTCTTTCCTTATTTTGATATATATGTTAATATTTAAGTTTTGTTGGTACGTAACAGGGTTTGATCCACCAACAGGGTTTGATCTTAATTTGTGAGGCGGCCAACTTCTGATGAGGATCTGAAGAATAATTGCAAATAGAGTCTTGAAAGTGTATATTGGTACGTAAGCAGTATCAGATTATTAAATTGTTAATTAGCAACCGATGAAAAGGTATATATAATGGAAGTGGAGTGCTTTGGAAGAAATCTAAACAGATTTAGCAACCGCAAAAGGGCTGCAACATGCGGTATGAACCTAAGAGGGGACATGCATGAAGCTATGTAAAAACCTCTGTTAGAACACCATCTAGTGTTTCAAACCTGGTATGTTTTATGTTTTTTCTTTTCTTTTCTTTTTTAATCCAGTAATGCACGTCTTCATCAGAAATCAATACTTCTCCATTTTGTCTTCATCAAGTTTCTGCCATTAATTGTTTCCATCAGCATCAGCATCAGCATCAAATATATATATATATATATACCTCTAGAGCTTATCGTGGCCCAATTATTGGAGAAAAATTTTCATGCAATGGGAATAGTATTTTTTATTATTCCCGAACAATAACGCAATAACAAGTGAGATAAACTTTTCACGTGCCATTGTGTTATTGATTGGAGATAGCAAACCAGTGCTATCCTGTTGCAAGTAAGTTTTTCTGCAATCATTGGCTTTTCTTCATATATAATCACGATCACATCATAAACTTGAAGGTCACTTTCCAGATGGGAAAACTTTATTATATTTGTCGATGGTGTTGACAACAATAACAAGCCATTATAATTTAGAATTTTCAGGAACTGCTAACTTTTGACTCTCGTAATCATTAATAATCTTCACCCAGTATTAGTGAAACGTGCTTAATTTCCCGAGGCTTCAAATTCTCATACAATATCTACTTGATCAACTAGGTTGATTGCTTTTGATTCCTAATCGCTTAGCTTAATTATCATTTTTAAACTTTGCATGAAATTAACATATCTTAATATCAAAGGCTGGCATAAGATGATTGGATGGAGATGAGTCAAATTACTCTTTGGCCATGCCCATGCATATACATACGTATAGCTGGCCGCCTAACCACTGAGTAGAAAGTAGAATAGATGCCTCCAAAGCTGTAACCATCCAAACCTTAAGATTATAATATTATAATCTCAATTAAACCCGAATCTATGGAGCAGCAGCTACAGGCGTATAAGAGCTTACCAGCGCCGCAGTTTATTTCTTTTTTGTTTTTTTTAATGAAATGGGGGAGCAACAAGAGCCCCAAAACCAAAGGATATTTCTTTTATGTTTTTGGTTACTAGTTTATGAGCGTCCACCCTCATGACCACAAAAATTGTAAGTTTGTTCACTACAGACTGCCATGGTTACAATCAAATTCATTCAAGCAAATTTGCAATCTCATATATTTCAGTAAAAAACAAAGTGTGATGATACATTAATAAGATAAGCAAACCTACTTTTGAAATGCAAAGATTTATGAAGTTACAATCACAGATGAAATACTCGAAACAGAACAGGGCAAGTTCGTTCACTACTCAGTAAGCTCTGCAATCTGCATAGCTAGCTCACTAGGAAGAAAGAGGGCATTGGACCCTGGAAAGATACATGCGTCTCCCCCGTTCAAGAGAACAGAAATTTAACAGGACCAGAGACATGAGAGCGGTTTCCCTTCTTGGCATGTTTTTACACAATCCAATGCCATATTTTGCAACTGTTCCTCAATCTCCTCCATGGGCGAACAAGCATCTATGATCTGTATCAGGCCAAAATAAATTTTATCTCTTCACGATATCCACATAACTCAACTCACCCAAGAATAATATGCTTCAATGCAAACCAAATTTTTTTGACAGTCTAGCAGGCATAGTTGTTTCGTGATTAAAGTTTCAACAGCTACTGCGATAAGCCTGAATTTGGTTACTATAAAATGAATACCAACTTGCAGCATCATTTCAACATAAAATGTGAAATCATCAGATAATGGCAGTCCAGCCAGTGTAGATGTTACACATATGGAACAGATTTCGAATTAGCATTTGTTGGGAAACAGAAGAAAATTTTACATCAGGCAAAGAAATTGGATTTGGCATCATTCTCTCCGTGTGAGGTGACTTCATTACCGGTCAGTTTATTCTTTTTCTTTTCATCTTTTATGAAAACCATTCAATTTATTCTTTAACTGCCACTACAGGAAAATAGATTCAATATTCCAGCACCAATTTAAAACTCGTTGAAAATTGCATCCAGGATGACACGCTCAAGATAGCATCACAATCAGAAGCAAATATCGGGATTCTTTATTGCAATGCAACTTAAGAATGGATCAATGAACTACCTTCCAAGTGGGACCACGGAGGACCTGATAGTTTTGGCCAACCTTCTTTTGAAACTCAAGCTGCTCATATCTCTCACCTCCGTAGCCTCCTCTTTCAGCAGCTTTCTGACAAATATAATTTCAGTTCAATAGGGGAAAAGATTACTACCATATAATTTCAAAATCCTCACAATACTAAGGCCCATGTGATCCTTTTCATAAACAATATATATCGGCATAGCATAAGCACCTTAAAATATCAGCAGTTAGTCATATGGGGCCAACAATATATATTGGTTATTTATTTCGAGATGCCATTAACTCTGCAAAATTGATGCTTATCTAGGAAATTTCTTTTGAGGATATGTCAGACCATATAAGCTATTAACTGTGAAAAATTGTGTCGCGGAAGATATGTCGGACCATATAAGTAACAAGCAATAGAAGAGGAAATTAAGTCCTTAACCATGTTCAAAATTAGATATATAATATACAGAAAATTAACACTCCAACATCCAAAATTGCAAAATATGGGTTAAGTCTTCGTGTTTTTCTTCCTTCACTGCAAACATTAGAATGACTACTTACTTCAGGTGGTATGTCAAGGTACACTACAAGATCTGGAGCCAATAACCCAATCTCTGGAGCCTGGAAAAGAATACTTCGTTGTTTTTAAATTCCATCAGATAGAGAAGATAAACATCATTAGGGGTAAAAAAAAAAGCATTTCACCACCTTACACCATTCAATATCAAGTCCTTTGGCAGATGAAAAGGCCACCCCCGAATAAGAATAACGGTCAACAACAAGGGTGATTCCACTTTTCAATTTGCTTTCCATCAATGATCTGCATAAACATTACAGATTTAGTACACTGATTTGTGACCACCTCATTCTTCATCCAAGAAATGATTTCAGGAAATATTGAAGTGCACACACTCTTATAGTAATCAAAATAGGGATTCAACAAATTAACAAGCCAATGATTATGCCATACAACAAGGGGCATGGATTTTCCCTCCTCATAAGTTATTCCCCATCTTTTGTAAAGCACTGCCTAAGAGAACCATGCCACATGATGAAAACCTAAGCAAACATGATACTGAGCTTTATATTTGTACTCTGCCCTTACTCATTAGATGGTTCAGTTTAACTTGTAAGTTAAACATAACATGGAAACACCTCAAAATTTATCTTTTCTAAAGTATGTGTTGTTGAAATAACATCCTGCAACCATATATCGGTCTCATTCAGGGAGCTGAGAAATCTAACTGTGGAATACATGAGGTTATTGTCAAATTTGATGTAAACCAGCACCAGGACCTGTAAAAACAATTGCTTTGGATGCCCATAGACTAGAAGCCTACAGAAACAAAAATATCAATCACTTGTTTCCTCACTAGCCATAAAACTGAAGTTACCTTCACTGCTTACATATGTGCTTATGATTTCATTAACATATTTTATTGATCACTATGCTGCATTGGTTTCTCAACTCAAACCAGATTTTTACACAACTCAATCATTGCATTCCCATGACATAAGTTAAAAACTAAAACAACAATCAGAACAAGTGCAATATCTGTCCTATTATAGAAAAGCTCAGAAACAGAGTATATCATATTGCAAAAAATAACACAACAAACCTCTTCTCCCAACGGTTAGCACTAAAGAGTAGATGGATTGTATGATCATCCAGTTGGGATTTGTTGGAAAGATAAGAAGATATCATTTGCCCAACACTTGTTGTTCTGTCAGGAAACCGCCACAATTCAGCTGAATGCCTTAACCTCTCCAAGTTTGCAACTAGTCTAGTAGACTGCGTAGTCTTGCCACAACGATCCAAGCCTTCCAGAACAACCAAGGCACCTCTTGAATCCTCCTTGCCACCCCTTAGGCTACAGTTGTGATTATTATTTTCCATCCGAATCCTCCTGATAAAAAACTTGTGGGGAGAGTTTACTTGAAAGTTCAATGACCTTCGCACTGCTCCTGCTCCAAAATTCCTAGAGAAGAAAATGCAGAAGTTTTGAATTTCAGGACATAAAAATCCACCGCAAAAAAATGAAATCTTTTTGGCTTATAAACTCAACGAACCAAAAGGACACTAATTTTATGTTTGAATCCTCTTCCTTTTCCTCACTTTTCTCAGTAATCCAAACTGACACAGCGAAGTATCTTCAGGAAACAAGTAAATAAAAATGTATGAAGATCAAGAGTTAAGAATTCTTACAAAGCCTTGCCAAATGTGAGATAAGAAGTATGGGTCATGTCCCTTACTTCACCAAAAAACTGGAAAAAAAGAAAAGACACACTGACGCTTTTGATAATTGTAAACTTGGCTTGACATTGGCTCATCTTAAAGGCACGTTATTTGCTCAAATCAAATCACCAATATTTATACGCAAAATTGACAAAATCCAATTCCGGTGGTGTTCCATAATTCTATAGCAAAATTGAAAAAATAAAAATAAAAAAGCGGGAAAGCTTACCTTTAGCGATTTGGTTATCTTCTTCTCAAAAAAGTTATTTACTCTTCTCTGTGATCAGATTGTCCAAACAAAAAGCGCTTAAAAAAGAACCCTAAGCTAGGAACTTACTGTTTCCGGCCAGCAAGTACGCCGCCGGTTGAGGAAGAGAGGAAGAGAGCAAGAGAGCAAGAGAGCTGGACTGAGGGTTTATATATTTTGTTTCTGTGGTAAATTATAAAGTGTAAATTGTTATTTGTCCTAATTAATCACACACTAATAAGTTTGTCATTAGCATAACCGCTAAGGTCAGATCGGACGGCTGAAATCGCAAAATATCGTGTATAGCAGTTATCCAAGGGCCGACATCTGTTTTAACCGAGATTTAAAAGAGAAGGCTTAACAGTCAAGGCAGTGTCGTTTTTTCAAAAAACTCTTTTTCATTTTCTTTTTATTATTTTTGAAGTAGGGACTGGCTGGCGAGAGCCAAGTCGTGGGCTTTGCTCTTCTGTGGGAAACAAAGAAAGCTCATTGTTGAAGGTCGTCTTCTTAGTCGTTTCGGGCGGTACGGGTCGTGATCCGGACAGCGTTCAATTCTAAGGTTTTTTAGGGCTTTAGTCACTGTGTGCGCTCTACCCTTCTCAGCTTCTCTATCTTATTTCTCTAAAATTCTGAACCTTGATTTATCCTCGCGCAGAAGATTGTGTAACTTTGATCGCAAGAGGGCTTTGGAACTCAATTGGGCAGCTAAGCAATAGCTCCTGGTATTTTTCTAGGGTTTTGGGTCACTTACAATTTTGGAAGATTTATGTTTTATATGGTTGAACTTTGTCGAGTTGGTTGCTGTTCAAGATTAGGGTTTTAATTCAATTCTAGAGTTGTATACTTGGTGTGTAAAGATTGAGCTTTGGAATTTACCCAAGATTTGAAATTACTGTTTTTAAACTTGGTGATTTGTGCTTCTTCTTCTGTTTTTTTTCCTTCTTCGTTTTGATTATTTAGTTTTTGTAAGTTTCTTAAATGAAACTATCTGTACTAAGCTTTCTTCTTAGTCTGTTTTGTTTCCTCGAAAATGGGCATTATTGCTCCTTCCTAAGCAACCAAACTGACCCCTTTTTGTTCTGTTATAAAGAATAGTGCGATGGCCAAGAAGAACAAGAATCCTGGACGGGGAGGGTATTATGGTGGTGCTTTTGAGCAGGCTGGTGAATGCGAGGGCTCTGGTAGCTCTGGACGAATTGATGCCGAAATTACTGCCTCTGAGGATTCAAGTGCTCCAACAAGGAAATGTATTAGTTTGAATTCTACTAAACGCGACAGTTTTGGTGTGCCCATAGAAGTTCTCCCCCTGTCAAACATGTTGTCCTCCGAAAGGAAAGATTTGCTACATAGGTTGAGAATGGAACTTGAACAGATTCGAATACTTCAGAAGAAAGTTGAAATGCATAGAACCAATGGTGTTACCGTGTCCTCTTCTAGTGACATCCTCAGCTGCAACAATGGCCGGAATGGGCCGCATATTGAAAATCTCCGTAAGTCATCAGCATTAACTGGGCAGGGGAAAAAACTGAATCCTGTGGCTTCAAAAGCACAGGCATGGAATCCAGGCACTTCTGGGCGGGTTGAGTCAGTGAATCAGGCTTCAGCACCTAGCACTGCTAGTGTAATTCTGATGAAACAATGCGAGACACTATTGAAACGGTTAATGTCCCATCAATTTTCTTGGGTTTTCAATACCCCTGTTGATGTGGTGAAGTTGAAGATTCCGGATTATTTCACTGTCATCAAGCATCCGATGGATTTGGGTACGGTAAAGACCAAGATAGCTTCAGGATCTTATTCAAGCCCATTGGAGTTTGCTGCTGATGTCAGGACTACCTTCACCAATGCTATGACCTACAATCCACCAACAAATGATGTCTATGTCATGGCTGATACTCTTAGTAAATTTTTTGAAGTCAGGTGGAAAACCATTGAGAAAAAACTGCCAAAGGCTGATTACCAACCACCACCAGCTAAATCTGGTCCTCGTGAAGCGGTAGAAACTCCTAAGCCATTGCCCCCTGCGAAAAAGAGGATGATCACGTCACTGCACCATGAAGTCAAGTCTGAGCCTGCTAAGCTGGTAATGACAAAGGAGGAGAAACATAATCTGAGCAGAGATTTGGAGTCTTTGCATGGAGAAATACCTTTACTCATCATTGATTTCTTGAGGGAACATTGTTCAAATGGAAAGGACTCTGAAGAGGATGAGATTGAGATTGATGTTGATGATCTAAGTGATGATACCTTGTTCACATTGAGGAAGCTTTTAAATGAGCATTTGCAAGAGAAACAAAAGAACCATGTGAGGGCTGAACCTTGTTCAATAGAGGTATTAGCTCGACCTCACCTTCTTCCTGTTCCTGGAATCAAATTAGATTATATATGCCTGAAGCATACATTGTTTTCATTATTATTGCAGCTTTTGAACGAATCAGGGTTGAGCAATTCATCCATGCAGCCATGCAAAGGTCATATTCTTCTTCATCTCCTTGCATATATAAATTCTGACTTCAGTTTTAGGACGTAAGAAACACTTTGTTTTTGCCTCTCACGTATGTTCATTTCTAGGGAATGACCCAGCCGATGAGGATGTTGATATTGGTGGAAATGAGCCTCCTGTCTCAAGCTATCCTCCTGTGGAGATAGAAAAGGACACAGGCTATAAAATTAGTAAAGGCATCAGCTCAAGCAGCTCCAGCGGTAAATTGAGTTTGTTCTGTTGTGGTCTTTCTTTGGTTAGGTCCCTCATATGTTTTGTTTCTTGACTATTCGTCCTTGTTTGAGGTCTTTCACAGTTTTGGTAATGATTTCCCTTTTCTTCACTGGAGTAGAGCTTGTTAGAGCGAGCTTTTATTCCTCTGCTTTCATGCCTTCAATTATATGATGGTTGACTTTTAATTGAATGGAGGAAAAACAAAGAGTTATTTATGCTGGTGAAAGAGTAATGTGCATTCTATCTGTTTGTGAATTCATAAACACTAAACAATTTTGTATCTTATGTATGCTTCACAGATTCAGATTCTAGCAGTTCTGAGAGTGAATGTGATGATGCTAAGGCCTCAAGTCCGGTAAATGCATCTAAGCTGTGTGAAAATTTATGTTAAATATATAAATCAAAATTGCTTCTCTCATGATGGATGGTTGTTGTGCTGTGCTATTGATTTGTATGGTACAGTAGTGTATTGTTGGTGGTTTGACTGGTGGACCTGATGTCATACTTAATTCTTCTTCAGGTACCAGAAACTGTAGGTTCTGGAGCTCAGTTAGATGAAAAGACAATTGATAATCGCCTTGAAGGAAATCGTGAGTATTTTTAAATAAAATCACATTCCTCCTTCCATTCGCTAGGTGTTGCATAGAAATAATTTTGGTATACATTTTCCATTCCTTGAAAAACCATAAAAGAGAAACACAGGGTGTGTAGAAAATAGAGTACATGATTATAGAAAATATTAGGGAATCCTTTGACAATGTCCTGGGCAGGGTACACTTCCTGGACACCATCTATGGTAGAATTAGCTTGGATATCACCATTGAATGATTGTGTTATAAATGAGTAATATTGCTTGTATTAGTTTCGAAGAATGTCTTTTGAGTAATATTGCTTATGTGATCTCAAATTTTTTAACACTACAGAATTAAATGGCAGTTTTCTCCAACAAAGACCCCTTACCTCATACAGTAGTGGACAAAGAGGTGGGAAACAAGGACACAACCTTTCTGTAGGATTTCTCAACAGAGAATTAAAAAAAAGAGTGCTTTCACTAAGAATACCAAGAAAATAGGGGAAAAGGAAAAGAAAGAAGAAACTCTGTTGTATTTAAAAATATCGAAGCCTGCCTCATATTCCTGCAAAAGGCTTTTATGTGTATAAGCCTCTAAAGCAGTAGGAAATCTAATTAAAGCAGGGTCATAAATAGAGAGGAAGTACCTTCCTGCTTAAAATAGAGATGGAAGTGTTTGGAAAAGCATATCTTGTTTTGTGTTGCCAGATGCATTTGATCTGTCTATGGTTTCTTTCATGTCTAATAAACATGATATCTTATATGCTGCAATCCGATAATTGATTATTATATTTATCTTGTAGATGGGGAATAAATTTAGTTCATTTGGGGACTGTCAATGATTTTAACAACCATCTTGGTTGTACTCTCCTATAGACATGGCCTACACTTCTCTGAAATGATTGTGCATATGAATTTTGAATTTTGAATTTCTTATTGATGATTAATATTTCTAATCCATGGGATCTTGCAGAGTCTGATAGTGGGTTGGATCAAGTTGAACAAAGTTCCCAGCAGAAGCCAAGTCCTGTGGAGTCAGATTGTTGTCAGGATGGTAAGCCTAAGAGTTAAAAAAAACAAAAACTTATGACGTGGGTTTGTGGTAGTATCTCATTGTTCATCTCTCGAAAAAATTTAGGGGACAGTGCTCCCACAGAGAGGCCGGTCTCCCCTGAGAAGCAGTACAGGGCTGCTCTATTGAAGAATCGTTTTGCTGATACCATTTTAAGAGCTCGAGAGAAAACACTTAATCAGGTGGGTTACAGAGTCAGGCTACTTGTATACTTACCGTGTTTGTATGTATCCATTTTGCAAGTATTTTCTACTCTGGATGTGATCCGGTGCAATTTGATCTGGCTGAGATCAGGGTGACAAAGGAGATCCTGAGAAATTGCGGCGGGAGAGGGAGGAACTTGAATTGCAACAGAAGAAAGGTTGTGATCTTTACGTTTAAAGTTATTCTTAGTGGTTTACATCAATTCCTTAGTGTGTGCGTGTGTTTGTGTGGTTTGCAATGCTGGGTTGATAATTCATAGACATCTCCTCGTTTATTAAACTGAAATTTTTGTTGAGATCTAGCAGCTGATTATGTTGCCAATATATAAGCAGAAAAAGCACGGTTACAAGCAGAAGCCAAGGCGGCCGAGGATGCTCGAAGGCGAGCTGAAGCAGAAGCTGCAGCAGAGGCTAAAAGGAAGAGGGAGCTTGAGAGAGAAGCAGCACGGCAGGCATTGCTGCAGGTAAATCGTCGCACCCTCCTTATGTTGCAGAAATAAAGCCCTTTAATTTGTGTGGATATTTATTGGGACATTTGATGCTATGTGTACTACAGATAGAAAAGACGGTTGAAATCAATGAGAACTCTCAGTTTCTTCAAGATCTGGAAATGCTAAGAACTGCCCCTGTGGAGCAGTTACCAAGCTCTGTAGATGAAACAAGCCCAGATCACTCGCAGGATGGCTTAGGCGGTTTTAGGTTTGGTGGAAGTAACCCTCTGGAACAACTTGGCTTGTACATAAAAGACGATGAAGAGGAGGAAGAAATTGAGCCTGCTGCTAGTGTTCCAAGTCCTGTAAATGATATAGAGGAGGGAGAAATTGATTAAACAGTTGCTGCTTTTGTATTCATGAACGAACCAAGAAGCAAAAGGGCAAAAAAAAAGAATGTTTTGATGCGAAAAAAGGTTATATAAAAAAATAAAAAAAAATTTGTCTGCGCAATTGGCTGTGTATGCTTTTTTGTATATGACTTTTCTTTTGACTGCTGCAATATTATATAAAAATGAAAGAATAAATAGATGTCGCAGGGGCCCATCAAAGCCCAATGAATTTGATGAAGCTCATAAAAAAAAATTTTAAAACGCAGCCCAATGAGGAAGAGGTTTCATTTATTTACGTCGTTTCGTCTTCCATTGCATTTCGTTTCCAAAACTTCACCAAATCCTTTTTGAACTTTCTCACTCGATTTTCTCAATGTCAAACATAGTCAGTCAGACAGTCGTAATCTCCAAGTATAAAACGCCTATTTCGTTCCCGTAATCTTGGTCAAAGATTCAAAGGGAGGGTTTCGTGTTTCAGTTCAAATGGAAACCCAAAACCCAATCCCATGCCTCCTCATCTTCTTCCCCATGTTCTTCATCGTCTACCTCATTGCCTACTTCATCGTCTTCCGTACTTGGAGCCCTAAGATCCGACCCGAAGCCTCCAGCTGCCTAATTTCCCTCGCCCACGGCACCCCCGCCGTCTTCTTATCCACTTACGCCATACTCGCCGACCCGGCCACCGGCTTCGCCTCCCAAAACACCCGCTTCCAGAACACCGTTCTCGATTACAGCGTCGCCTACTTCCTCACCGATCTTCTCCACTACATCATCTTCTTCCCCAGTGACGTCCTCTTCATCGGCCACCACTTGGCCACGCTCTTCGTCTTCCTCACCTGCCGATACGTGGCGTCCCGCGGCGCATTCGCCATTCTCTCTCTTCTGATCCTGGCCGAGGTCACCAGCTTGTGCCAGAACGTGTGGACGCTCGCGAACGCTCGGAGAAGGGACTTGGAATTTGCAGCTAAGGTGTATGATCTTTTGTCTCCTCCTTTTTACGTGTTGTATTCGATTGTGCGGGGATTGGTGGGTCCGTATTTCGTGTACCGAATGGGTGCGTTTTATGTAGGCGGTGAGGCTGATGGTTTGATTCCGAGGTGGGTTTGGGTTTCTTGGATTGTTGTGGTAATGTCAGCTATCTCTGTGAGCATTTTGTGGATTTCGAATCTTTGGGTTGAGTTGTTTAGAGCAAGGACTGGCAACTTGGAAAAGAAAACAAGATAAAACCAAGTAGAGATTTGATTAGAGGGAACATTTTGAAATTAAACTTTGAGTCTCTGATTCTCAAGCTTAATAACAATTTGGGTTGGCTACCACTTACTACTGGTGATATATGTAAACAATTTGCAAAATGTAACTCTGTATCTTTGATCAATCATTTCTCAATCAAAGTCCTTTTCTTTCTTCTTCTAATTGAGTTTTTGCATAGAATGAGTTCATGTGTTTCCTTGAATCCGAAGTTGTTGTCTTTGTTGCTATACAATGGATGGTGAAAGGGGTGTGTGAGTAATGAGCTGCTTTGTTTATTGTTCAAAATGCAATGCTGCCTAATAAATTTGGTCATCTGACAGAGAAACAGAGATGTCTCAATTATTCTAAGTTGAAAACAGGGCAACCACCATGGTTTTTATATAGGTTGGAGTTGAACCGATGCAGCTACCCTGCCCAAAATTTGAGAGCTTTCTTTCTTCTTCAATATTCTTATTCCTCATAAGTTAACTGCTCTGCTCATGGACATTCAACTTGACTGTCCTAACCCAAACAAACAAACAAAAATATAACGCATTTTTATATTCATTTCAGTTGGGTTTTTTAGCCGAAATGTCAATCTCGAAATTATGACTCTCTTCTTCTTCAAGTATCACCAGCAATAGTCAACAGATCTATTTCATTGATACTGAAAAGTTTGTTAATCGTAGAATTTGTAGTTCTTGGCTTGAAGTATGATATTCCTTAACCCTCCAATGGGTGATAGGACCATCAACAGAACACCCAGTGTAATGCAAATCTGAAATTAATGAAGCCAATTTAGAAATGGAGCTGGTCCTGCCTTTAAAGCATAAATATTTAGACATGGAGCTTGAAAAACATACGTACCCAGTTAACAAACCAAGACAGGCTAAACTTCCTTGGTTTCTTGATGATAAGCCATATAACGCAAGGGAGCTGAGGAATGAAATCAAACGGACAACGCGATCAATAGTTGTTAATTTTTCAATTTTAAACTTGAACTTCAACTTGACCACAACTAAAGAGGCAGAAACTAGGAGACTTACAAAGTATGTTGTTGGGGAAAACGCAAATCCTCCAAAGAATCCTAGAAGACCACCAAAGAAGGGAAAAGTAATGCCGACCAACATTGTGAATGCTGAAATCAGTAACACATGAATGATTAACATACTCTGGTGAGTGATTACATTGCTCTTAGTCTCACTCTCCTGGATGAGGGGATGAACTACTTACCGACATAAGTGTTCCGGGTAATGAAGCGAAGCCTTGTAGTGGGTCTAAAATGGAGTTTCTTTACCAACAAGGATTCAATCATGTCAAATACTGGCATTGCAAATAACTGCAAATTGCAACAAGACAAAGCAAAACCCAACATTCAAAACCCAATTGCAAACTTACCAAGACCAGAGCTTGATCTCTCCAGTATAGATAGCTAGGCAGACAGCAAAGAAGAAGTAAAACACACACACACACACACCTGATAACCCCCAATAACATGGATGACAACAAACATGTTTGCTGTTATGATAAGCCATTCAGGTTTCTCCAAGGAGATGAGGATGTTGTCATCAACTTTGTTGCCAAAAGTATAATAACCAATAAAAGCAACAGGAAAGTAGCACAAGGCCACGACTATATAGGCGATCACCACTCCCCTCCACATAGGCTTCTTCGACGGCTTCTCCGGCGAAGAAGGGATTATTGCTTGTATCTCCAAGACTACATTATGGCCTGAATAGGCAAAAGCAATGTCCCCCAAGGCAGTGAAGAAGTTGAAGGCCGTTCCCGATGTGCTCTGAGCTAAATACCCGTATTCTACACCTGGCTGAACACCCTTGTGGACTGAAGCCGTGCATGCAATAGTAGAGTAACTGCATGCAACCACAATCAATCAAACAACAGTATGTTTAAGAATCTTATGTTTCCTAATTTGGGTTTATATGTTGATTAATTTATATAATGTTGTACCTTAATGACATGACTGCTGCAGCTAATGAAATTCCAGAGATGGAGTTAAAGTTGGGGAGATGGGAGAGGACAAATTGAGCAGAGGCAAAGATCATGATGAAGTAGGTAAGTTTGATTGGGTCTTTGTCTTTGCGAGCTATTATATGGATCTTCTGCAGGGACTTTCCACTTGTTACCATATACACAATGTCCACACCAACTTCACAAATCAGCTGTTGAGGCACCACAATCCATAGGCCAAGCTTTTCACCAAAGGCATGTTGACCTAGCTCATGGTACCTATCAAACCTCTTTCCAGGAACCATTTCATGCATCTCAACCATTTGCCATAGAGTGAACAAGGTGATCACCCATGACAGTACCAGAATTACAATACCAGGACCCCTGAAATTAAACAAGCAATTAAAAACTTCTTTTTTTCTTTTTGTTTATGAAATGTTTTGGTAATTGGATCATATTCATAAAAGGATACAAATTTGGATGTGGTGTTTTGAGTAGAACATACCATCCAAGATTAGACATGGCAAAGGGAAGACTTAAGACACCAGCTCCAACCATGGCATTGACATTGTGGAAAGCAGAGTACCACCATTTTGCATTCCTTGAAGAAGTGATTGGAAGCCAATCATCTATTTCCTTCTGCCTCTTTAGTTGTTCATCTATCTGTGATTGCTTCTCCAGTTGCTCGTCTATCTGTGATTGTTAGTACACAAATCCTTTAAACATATTCACCATCCAATGGTTAATAAAAATGATTCAAACTCTAGGCTTACATTGCTGGGGACAGGGACGGAAGAGTTTTGGTTGGTTGGAGCTTGAACCCCCATGGATGCAGAGAGTAGCTAGCAGCTAGGCTTGGCTTAGAGTATGGAAAATAAACATGAATGGGAAGATGAAACATATAATTTATCTTAGGTGAGGTGACAGACTGTCAAGCTTCAGAAAACTCCACCCAAGTGAGTCTGAGCGGATTTGAACTTGATATTTTTTTTGCTAGTCTTCTCTAAGGAATATGTTATTCGGCCAGTCAAAGTTTCATCGAAATGCTAAATAAACCTTGAAAATACAAATTTCATATTATGCTTATGTTTGTTTTGATGCTTGTTGGGTTAAGAAAGTGACCCTCCTATTTTATTACCAACAACTGGTTCTTTCTTTCTGGTTTCTGCATACTGACAATTTCAAGTTTCAAGCATGATGCATGCACAGAGAGCAACAGAATTCTTAAATTAATTTCTTCACAGACTTTTATATTTCCTTCTCTCAAGTATTTCCCATTTCTAATTTCATAGTTACAAGTAACCTCAAAAACTGGCTTGAAGCATGAGTTGAACGGTCACTCTGGTCATAATAGACAACAGAAAGTATATATAGCTGTGATTAACCTGAATCTTGTAACAAAATCTTCTGATTGGATTAAAACTAAGTGTAGTAAATTTACAACAATTTGATTTGACCAGCCTATAAAAACAGGTCACTACTTGCAAAGAGTAAATGATACGATGAATCAGCTAATAAAACAACATAAAACAAAGTTGCTGGGCACAGTTATGGAGAAGAAGAGTTTCAATGAGTTGAAGAAATATTTACAGAAGAAACCTGCATTTTGCTGTCCCTGAAAGAGCCGAGACAAACAAAAAGAAAACGTAATTTCATATTCATTTCAGTCTGAAAAGCATGAGAGATATGTGGATCTCAAAATTATGCCTTTGATAAGAGAGATAATGTATTTCCTTGTTTCTCTACTGTAGTGGTTCAATCTGTAATCTGTAATCTGTGAGTCTCTGACTCCGTTCTACTTCAAGTATCACCAGCAATAGTCAACAGATCTATTTCATTGATGCTGAAATTAAATGGCAATACCTTCACCAAAAATAAATGACAATACATTCATGGGATACACATAGAACGCCCAAAAATAAACCCTGAGAAGAAGAACCTGCATAATAAGTTTTGTTCTGAGTAACTCCGTCCGCACCTCCTTACAAACCAGATTGAACAACCCTATTTTCGTATTTCTTCATGTACTTATTTGTTACATATGGTTGCATTGCATCTATATGCATGGAATTTCAGGGTAAAACCTACTTGTGCATGTGCCAAGCTTGTATACTAATTGTAGAATTTGTAGTTCTTGGCTTGAAGTATGATATTCCTTAACCCTCCAATAGGTGATAGGATCATCAGCAGAACACCCAGTGTAATGCAAATCTGAAATTAATGAAGCCAATTTAGAAATGGAGCTGGTCCTGTCTTTAAAGCAGAGATATTTATTCAAGCTTGAAAAACATACGTACCCAGTTAACAACCCAAGATAGGCTAAACTTCCTTGGTTTCTTGATGGTAAGCCACATAATGCAAGGGAGCTGAAGAATGAAATTGAATGGATGACGCGATCAATGATTATCTTCTTTTTTTTAAACTTCAAACTTCACCTTAAATTTGACCACAAATAAAGAGACAGATGCTAGGAGACTTACAAAGTATGTTGTTGGGGAAAAGGCAAATCCTCCAAAGAATCCTAGAAGACCACCAAAGAAGGGAAAAGTAATGCCAACGAACATTGTGAATGCTGAAATCAGTAACACAGGCGCATGATTAAATATACACACGGGTGAGTGATTGCACTGCTCTTAGTCTCACTCTCCTGGATGAGGGGATGAACTACTTACCGACATAAGTGTTCCGGGAAATGAAGCGAAGCATTGTAGTGGGTCTAAAATGGAGTTTCTTTACCAACAAGGTTTCTATCATGTCAAATACTGGCATTGCATATAGCTGCAACAAGACAAAGCAAAACCCAACAAGAATTTATCAAAATCTAATTGCAAACTTACCAAGACTAGAGCATGATCTGAAGTTCAGATTCTGAACTTTCCAGTATAGATGGCTTGGCAGATTGGAAAGAAGAAGTAAAACACACCTGATAACTCCCAATGACATGGATGACAACAAACATGTTTGCTGTTATGATAAGCCATTCAGGTTTCTCCAAGGAGATGAGGATGTTGTCCTCAACTTTGTTGCCAAAAATGTAATATCCAATGAAAGCAACTGGAAAGTAGCATAAGGCCACGACTATATAGGCGATCACTACTCCTCTCCACATAGGCTTCTTCGATGGCTTCTCTGGAGAAGAAGGGATTGTTGCTTGGATCTCCAAGACCACATTATGGCCTGCATAGGCAAAAGCTACGTCACCCAAGGCAGTGAAGAAGTTGAAGACCGTTCCCGATGTGCTCGGAGCTAAATACCCGTATTCTACATCTGGCTGAACACCCTTGTGGACTGAAGCCGTCCATGCAATAGTAGAGTAACTGCAATCACAATCAATCAAACAACAAAATGTTTAAGAATCTTATGTTTCCTAATTTGTGTTTATATGATGATTAATTTATTTAATGCTGTACCTTAATGACATGACTGCTGCAGCTAATGAAACACCAGAGATGGAGTTAAAGTTGGGGAGATGGGCGAGCACAAAGTGAGCAGAGGCAAAGATCATGATGAAGTAGGTGAGTTTGATTGGGTCTTTGTCTTTGCGAGCTATGTTGTGGATCTTCTGCAGGGATTTTCCACCTGTGACCATATACACAATATCCACACCAACCTCGCATATCAGCTGTTGGGGCACCACAATCCAAAGTCCAAGCTTTTCACCAAAGGCATGTTGACCCAGCTCATGGTACCTATCAAACCTCTTTCCAGGAACCATTTCATGCATCTCAACCATTTGCCATAGAGTGAACAAGGTGATCACCCATGACAGTACCAGAATAACAGTACCAGGACCCCTGAAATTAAACAAGCAATTTAGCAGGTGCTTGTAACTCAAGTGGTTAAGAGGAAGTACTCTTGCACCTGAGGCCCTGTGTTCAAATCACCCCTCCCCCAAGCATTGCTTGTAGAAATAAAACAAGCAATTTAAAACCTTTTTTCTCTTTCTTTTTAGATTAGTGTTTTGAGTAAAACATACCATCCAAGATTGGACATGGCATAAGGGAGACTGAGAACACCAGCTCCAACCATGGCAGTGACATTGTGGAAAGCTGAGTACCACCATTTTGCATTCCTTGAAGAAGTGATTGGAAGCCAATCATCTATTTCCTTCTGCCTCTTTAGTTGTTCATCTATCTGTGATTGCTTCTCGGGTCGCTCGTCTATCTGTGATTTCTAGTACACAATTCCACTATTAATCCTTAAACAAACTCACAACCCAATGGTTGAAAAAAATGAATCAAACTCTAGTCTTACATTGCTGGAGACGGGGACGGAAGAGTTTTGGTCGGTTGGAGCTTGAACCCCCATGGATGCAGAGAGTAGTAGCAGCTAGGCTTGGCTTCAAGTCTTGCAGGCAGGAATTAGAGCATGGAAAATAAACATGAATGGGAAGATGAAACATATAATTTATCGGAGGTGAGGTGACAGAATGTCAAGCTCAAGAAAACTCCGTCCAAGCGAATCTGAGCGGACTTGAAGTTTATATTTTTGTTTGCTAGCCTTCGCTAAGGAATATGTTATTCGGCCTGTCAAGTTTCATTCAATTGCGAAATAAACTTTTTTGTTTGCTTGCATGCTGGTTGGATGGGGAAAGAAAGTGACCCTCCTTGAATTTTAGTACCAACAACTGGTTCTTTCTAGTTTCATGCATGCACAGAGAGCAACAGAATTCTTAATTACTTTCTTCACAGACTTATATATGTCTTTCCCCTTTCTAATTTCTTAGTTACGAGTAACCTCAAAAACTGGCTTGAGCATGAGTTGAACGCTCACTCTGATCATAATAGACAACAGAAATTGAAAGGTTGTTGATATTATTTTAATTTTGTATAATCTTCTTATTGGATTAAAACTAGAAACAAAAATGGTTATCAAACGGACCCGTAGTAAATTGACAACAATTTCACTTCACCAGACTAAGAAATGTCACTTATTGCAAAGAGTAAGTGACACAATGACTCTGGCTAATAAAACAACACAAAACAAAGTTGAAGGACACGGTTATGAAGAACAAGAGTTTCAATGAGTTGAAAATATGTACAGAAAGAAACTACCTTTTGCTGTCCCTGAAAGAGCAGAAACCTTAATTAGATTATATTCTTCCCCATTTTTCTCATAAGACAAATTTCGTTATGATTCCTGTTGCTGCCTATCTCATATCATATCATATGGTACATTAATATAATCGACCTAGTCAAGGGTCCTTCTGCCATTTGTGGACTGGTGGTCTCTCCAAAGAGAAGATTACAAGGTCAAGCTGGGATTATGATACTCTGTCAGGCTGTTAGCTCACACCCATTTTTTAATATTATCACTTTCTTTTTTTATTGAGTGACCCCAACTAGTTTAAAATTGAAATTACAAACAGAGCATATCGAAGATTATATACCGGGGTACGGAGAGTTAAGAGCATTTACACATGCATCTTATATACCCCAAAACAGAGGATTTCAGAGATTTCAAACTATCAGATTCAGACATTAATATCTGACCAAAATGTTTGACCAAATTACTCAAATTTGGTTGGCGGATCTTAAAATAAGGGTAACTGCACTGAGGCTAATTGCTCAAATTTCTTCTCATGATATGCATTATAGGATAAGATCAATCTGTATTGAAAATCTGCTAACATTTCACACCCCACTTCAGAATGCAGAAACAAACACAAAAAAGAAATTAATTTAAGATGATATACATGCATCCACAAAGCACATAAAAAGAAAAGAGAAGAGGAAACAGTAGAGCTCCTTTGGGAGCTCCTTGAATTTGGTCCCATGGTTTAAAGTCTTTTCCCCGGAAACACAATCTACAAAGTGTTCTCCAAAAGCAACCTTATTTATTTTTCTCCGATGATTGCAGGACCCTTGAGGTATATAGTCCTTAATTCATTCTTCATCAATCAACATCTAAACTTAATTCTTCTTTTTTTCTTTTTTTTTTTTCTTTTTTGGTTTTTTTTTTTTTTTTCGGGGGTTGGTTTTTCCATATGCATGCAACTGCTACCTACCTACTTTGAGGCATTCAGCCTGGAAGGCTTGATGACTTATGAGTAAAATTTGTAGGTCTTGGCTTCAATTATGATTGTTCTCAATCCTCCAATAGGTGAAAGGACCATCAAAAGAACACCAAAAAAGATGCAAATCTGAAATTGATGAAGTGAAAAGTATAAGATCAACTGAAACAGAAGTGAAAGCAAATGAGCACATTGTGAACAATATAAAGTATATGTAAAAATTTGAACATACATAGTTACACCACCAAGACAAGCTGAACCTTCTTGGTTTGTAGATGGCAAGCCACATTATGCAAGGGAGCTGCAGATATTAAGAAGTTCATTCATGTGAGAAATTTATTTACAGACTAGTATTTGATTGAATCAAAATTTGTAAGTAACGTTTTGCTAAAGAACTGTGGGGCTTACGAAATATGTTGTTGGGGCAAAAGCAAATCCTCCGAAAATCCAAGGAGACCGCTAAAGAAAGGGAAGGTAATACCAACGAACATGGTGAATGCTGCAATAAAATGTCAATTAGAATTCATTCATCCAACTTCAGTTTAGCTGAGGCTTAACTTGATGGAATTAAGGAAAATTGTACTTACCGACATATATATTGCGCGTAATGAAGCGAAGCGTTCTGGTGGGTTTGAAATTTAACTTCTTTACCAATACAGTTTCTATCATGTCAAACACTGGCATTGCATAAATCTGCATTACCACATACACACAGAAGCAAAGTTAGTCTAATGGTGGGCAAAAAATAAAATAAAATCTTTTGGAAAGAAAAGAAAAGGAATTGGAGAGTTTAAAACTCACCTGATAGCTTCCAATAACATGGATGACAACAAACATGTTGGCCATTGCAATGAGCCACACAGGTTTCTGTAGTGACATGAGGATATTATCCTCAACTGAATTGCCAAATATATAATAGCCGATGAGAGCAACTGGGAAGTAGCACAAAGCCACAACTATATAGGCAACAATGACTCCTCTCCACATGGGTCCCTTGGAAGGCTTCTCCGGCGTCGATGGAATTGTTGCTTGTATTTCCAGAACCACATTGTGCCCGGCATACGCAAAAGCCACTTCCCCCAAGGCATTGAAGAAGTTGAACACAGTTCCTGATGTAGACTTGGCTTTATATCCATATTGAACATTGTCTACCACACCCTTGTTTACAGAAGCTGCCCAAGCAATGGTAGAGTAACTGCAAGCATCAAAACATTGAAGAAATTAGTTCAACAAAAGATTAATTAATTTCAATTAAGAACAAATTAAGGGCTTGTTTAGGACTACTTCAATAGGAAGCACTTGTGGTCATAACCGTTTTTTATATAAGTGCTTTTATTAGAAGAACGTTGAAATTTTGTTGAAAATTCAAGTGCTTCTAGAAAAGCGTTTTAATGACCCATAAACATATTTCAATTGTTATTTGTTAGCCATTCCAGAAGCACCCCAAAACAGAGCCTAATTAAATTATATATACCTCAAGGACATGACTGCTGCGGCCAAAGATACACCAGAAATGGAGTTCAAGTTGGGGAGGTGGGAGAGGACAAAGTGAACAGAAGCGAAGATCATGATGAAGTAAGTTAATTTGATCTTTTTACATTCTGGGCAGACAGAATTGTGGACCTTCTGCAGTGATTTTCCTCCAGTTACCATATAAACAATGTTGACACCAACTTCCACAACCAGCTGCTGAGGCACCACAATGTAAAGACCAAGTTTTTCACCAAAGGCATGTTGACCCAACTCGTGGTATCTATCAAACCGCTTCCCAGGAACCATCTCATGCATCTCCACCATTTGCCACAGAGTGTACAATGTGATGATCCATGACAGCACCAAAATCACCACACCAGGACCCCTGATTTATTTTTATTTAAACACCATTAATTATTTAATTATTTAAAAAATAATAATATAATAATAACACAAAATTAAGCCAGCTTGAATTACAAGTAACATAACATACCATCCAAGTTCTGACATGGCATAAGGGAGACTGAGAACACCAGCTCCGACCATGGCAGTGACATTGTGGAAAGCTGAGTACCACCATTTTGCATTCCTTGAAGAAGTAATTGGAAGCCAATCATCTATCGCCTTCTGCTTCGCTAATTTTTCGTCAATCTGATAACATAACATAACATGTTTCCTTAGCAACAATCCTTGAACAACAAATTTTGTCACCCAAATGAGTTGTTACAATAATTTGTCATGTGATGTGAATTTTTCAGCTGGATGCACCACCAGTGGTATAGTTGGAATTCTAGGGACTTACGGGGTTGTTTTCGAAAGAAACATCCAGTGAATCTTATTATTTGGTATCCGGGTATCCCGTTTGTATCTTCAGGGAAGAGTTAAAAAGTTGACAAAAAGGGCTTTTATGAATTTTGCCAACTTGTGAGTGAGCTGTATCTAAGCAGTGTCATATTAGCTTTGGACACGTGGTATCTACTCTTTTCAAACATAAGGCCCATTAAAAAATATATATATATTTATTTATAACGGAAATAACACTGTTTTGTGAAGAGAAATTCTCTCTCCATTCCACATCCACATGGGCCAGCACTACTTAATTACGACCAAGCCAACGGTACGATAGCCAATTTTCTATTCAATTTCTCCCCCTAAATACGTGTCTATTTCTTGCGTGTACCAATAGAAGTATCTTGAATTAAAAATCCACCCTTAGAATTTTAATTGCGACAACTGGAAAACGGAAACTGCCAACAAATCAAGACAGATGCAAGGCTAGGAAATTAAATGCAAGACGGAATATACTATACAATTTTGGAAACAAGGAAAATCAAGTGGATGAAGACCTCATTTGCAAATAATAATATCTCATTGTGTGTCGTTGAGTTAAAACACATCAAATTAAAAATCAAGAGATAACATGCAAAAGGAAAACAAAAATTGACATGACATCAAGGAAGTAACGGGCATCTAAATAAATACATATTATCCAAAACTCTTTGTACATGGGACATGATTATACAAAAAAGAAAGTTTTTTTTAAGAGTGTATAATTTGTTTCTTACGAAATCATCTTACCACGTAACCGGTAAACGTAATAGTCAGATGAAATTATTTCATTCCCGAATTTTGTTTGATAATGAGAACACAAAGACTATTTATATCTATATCTATATCTATGTGGTCCTGAATCGAAGTATGTTAGTCAACTCCTTGGAATTCAAAGCTGAATGACACATGCAGGAAATTAAACAAAGAGATGCCGTAGGGCAGGGTTTTAGGATAGAAACGGGGAACTTTCCTCCAAATTGAGTAAATAGCGACGAAACTGAGACTGAAACAACACCAGAACACAACACCTCATCTCAGACTGAAACTGAGAGAGGCTACGAAATTGCAAGGCAAGAATACGAAGAGAAATTATAAAGGCCTCTTTCTTTCTGTTTGTTTGACTGATATTATGTATGTTGCTGCATTTTCCATTTTCCTCCTTCGAGGTGGATTCAAATAGAGCATTAATAATACAAGCAAACTTTCTATTTACCCCCCATTTTTCTTTCCCCTTGTGTTTCTCGGGAAACAAACACATGTTTAGTGTAATTCTCATAACAAGATCATATATAGTCATAGAGCAAGCGAAGAAAATAAAAACAAACAAAGCTTTCGAAACATGTGTTAAAAGTGCCCCGACATTTTGGAACTTTCGATAGTGTCAAAAAGAGAGATACACAGACACAGAGAGAGAGAGAGAGAGAGAGAGAGAGACTTACATCTGTAGAGGCATAATTGTTCTGGTCAGTTGGAGCTTGGGTTCCCATGGCCGGCACAAAATGGCGAGGATATACACGACAAAAGAAACTAAGAGAGAGAGAGAGAGAGAGAGAGAGAGAACAATTAAATGCAAGGTAAAAAACCAGCACAGACATTACCGAGGTTCTCTTTCTATCATATATATAGAACGCTCAAAGTCCCACGTGAGTATTTAGACTAAACTACCCTTCCATCAGACGTGTGAAGAAGAAGAGCCCTCTCAGAAGCGCTGACACTTTTTTTGTTTGACTTTCCAATCACAATTTTTTTCTTCTTCTTTCTAAAGTACTTTATTTATACAATGAAAAAGCAAAAAATGATGAAATATCTAGGAAACGACCTGGAAATCGCGTATCATTAAAATGAAGGTGGAAACACAAACACAAACACGCAATCGGAGATCGTAGTTCACATTTTATATAGCTAAAAGGCAACAGAAAAAAAACAAGGGAGTTTCACTAAAACACCCAAAATGGAGGTTGAAATTATAAAAAAACCCAACACCCAAAACACTTTATAAACACACCCAAAACCCATCATTACACACACTCAAAACCCATTTATAAACACACCCAAAAAGTTGATTTTGGGGTTGATTTTGGGTGTGTTTCTATGTTTAAATAGTGCTTGGATTTTTTTATAAATACATGTCTAGGATTGGGTTTATTTATAAATTTGTAAAAAAACAATTATACCAGAAAGGAAAAAAAATTCCCAACTGCGAAGTTAAAAATACAACATCAATAAGATTCTATTTGGATGGATAAATTTAGAGATTCCTAAGACAATCTCTAATTTAAAAATAATTGGGTTCAATCCAATGAATCATTTATTTCAGAAAAGAATATATAAAACTTAATCCAAATAGAATTTTAATTAATCTTTTTGATTTAGTTAGAATGATATATTCATTCATATGTTTCTTTTATTTTTTTACCACGTAATTAATACAAAACTTAATGCACATTTAACGTTATGTTGAAGCATTTTAATTATAAATTTTTTGCCCACATGTCGTCCCATGAATTTCTTTTCTTTGAGAATCAAAAGTCCTATGTTTTTCTAATCTATTTTACACATGAAGCCAAAGATATGTTACCGTAAACAAGGAATCCCTCAAATATCTAATTTTTTTACAAAGATAATCTTTGAGATAATATCTTAAAATTAGACAGTTCTGAATGCAATAGGTCTTGGTTGGTCGATTGAACCACTAAAGCTTGCCAACTTGTATTTTATGGCTCCCATAATGTTATGTGTCCATCTGTCGTCTTGCGTTCTTGGCCATTTGATTCTTCACATGAAGATATATAGAATATGTTTAATTTCTATCTTCATTATTATTTTTATCCAATTATATATATTGGTAGTGATGGTCACTGTTCACTTGTTGAATCAATGTGAATATACTATTCATGGTCTTCGTTTGGTATTAATATATTTCATAGTCTGTCAAACACAACTTGATCCTCTCTATATCTCAACTACGTACTAATGATTAATAAAAAGAATTTGTTTGAATTAATAATTAAATTGTATTTTAAAAATAATGGTGAGTGAAAAGATATAATTGTATTTTTTAAAATTTACATGGTGAGTGAAGAAATAAGACCAGAGCGAAAATATCAACACTCATTCTAACATTGTATGATGGCTAAGGGAGGTGATTTTACTATAATTCCAAGATGGCGACCTGGCCTGCTCTGCACCATGAGTTACTTGAAAACGGAAATAGAATAGAAATTAATGTTGCACATATATATATATATATATCATGTATGATGGTTTACCAATCCCATGATAGTTTGTCTGTGATGATAATGATCATCACTATGCTTTGCCCACGACGAACTCATGTGAATATTAATACCTCTGTGGACTCACTAGTATTGGATTTGGATATTTTATATCAAAAGTACTGAGGGGAAGAGAGATTCGAACATGTCGTTATGAATTGATTGAGTAAGTGACTAGTTTTTCATTAGGACTACATTTTTGGATCATGATAAGATTTATCCTCTTTACAAAAGTGTGCTAAACGATATAAATTCATATGAAATCTTTACAAAAGTGTGCTAAACGATATAAATTCATATGAAATCATGGCGTGCAACAGCGGAATCTGAAAATTTAATACTGTGAGATAAGTACGTACAACTTCAAAATCTCATCATGCGTATATATTACAGGAAACTAAGTAGAATATTGGAAGAAATCTCACCAATTTCTTTTTTATTTTTCCAAACTAAGGAATCTATAATAATTTTTGGTTAATTTTTTTATACATTTATACACCAGGGAATGTCAACTATGCGATAAAAGTGGTTATGGAAACATGAGATGTGGTTCATGGGGTGACGAATTTTAAGTTAGTTTAGATTAGGGCTGAGCTCGGTTTGGGTTGGTTCGGTTTTAGGCTCAACCCAACACCGAACCGTAGGCTTCGATTTGGCTATTTTGAAAACCGAAACCAAACCATAATTGATGAAAACCGACCACTTTAGTTAACCGGACTTGGTGGTTTGGTTTGGTTTGGTTCGGTTTCGGTTTTTTTGGCTCTTAGAGAGAGAGAGAGAGAGAGAGAAGAAATAAAGTGATGGAGAGGAGAGGAAGTAAAAAAAGGGAGAGATGGAGAAGAAGAAGAGGGAGACGGGGAGAGGGAGTGAAGACAGATATAAGAAGAATGAGAAGAAAAAAAATAGAGAGATAGGGACTGATGAAGACAAGACAAACGGAGAGATTGAGATAAAAGAAAAAGAAAAGATTGAAACTATGTATTATATATCTATATATATATTTCTTATAATAATATTATATAAAATATTTTTTAATATCTTCGGTTTGGTTTGGTTAAACCTTGGTTTTGAATATTGCAAACCGTACACCGAACCATATATTTCAATTTGATTTGGGTTCAAACCGATGACAAAAAAAAATTTGAAAAAAAACCAAACCAACCCAACCCATCGGTTTGGTTTGGGCGCTTTGGCCGGGTTTCAGGTCCAAATGTCCAGCCCTAGTTTAGATATTGAAATTGCTCCTTAAATACTGGATGCATATATTATAATATTTTACCCCACACACACACACATATATATATATATATATTAATCATGTGAATGAGTGCTGGTAATTTGCTGGTGACTGATTGCTAGGACAATGAGTAAGGGAGACGGCAAGGCTGGGCGGCCAATGATATATTTTTAAAGGAAATATTTTTTCTTTATGCGAATCACAGTTTAATATATATGTAAAATTAATTCATCAAAAGTATAAGCAAAAAACACTTATGTATACATGTCATATTGCTATTGGCAAAAATTAATATAGGAGATCGTACTTATACGGTAAAGAGGAAAGTATTTTTATATCTTTATTAATTTGTGACTAATGTATGTATAAATGAACAGACTAGAATTAAGTAGATAGTGCCAAATGAAAGATTCACTTTTATTTTTGGTTAGGTTAAGTGAATGAAAGATTCAGTGGAGAATATTTGGATTCATATGAAACGTGGAGGAAAAATTAATTAAAAAGATGAATAAATATGTATAATGATCACCACCACCAAGGCAAGACAAGGCAAAGCAAGGCACTCACATTACATGATGATGCTTGTTGTAGATATTTGACATATGAGTCTGACATATCAAATAGATTCGAGGGCGGAGGAGGCCCCAGAAGAACCAAGCAGAAAGCAAAAACAATAATCAACGGTTAACACCAAAACTTGTAAACTTTTACTTTTCCTTGGTTGGACTTTTCAAGTGTTTTGCACTTTTATTTAGTCGCATGTGTATTGTATTGTACGCATAGTTTCCCCCACCTCTAATTAGTGGCCTGCCCAAATTTGATCCTCCTCCCCTGAGCTAGAGCCGCCCAAATTTGATTTCTCAAGCAACACAATGAGAACGTTGACCTTTCTTAGCAGAATCTCACTTCCTTGGAGGAATCTAAAATAAATCTTTTATTTTTCTTTCAACTATATGACTCATGATGGGTGCATTATGCATAATATAATAATATTATCATATGTTGCTGTGAAAACAAAAGTTTTGGTCTTCAAAATGACATACTCCTTTGTATTTGTAATAAAAAATCATAAAAGAATTCGGCGGTCCACTCAGAGACTCGCTCATATTCAAAGATGAAATAATGCAAGTATTTGTGTAAAGTGGTCAATGGCTGATTGGCTGAATGGGGGGCGCAAGTTCCTAAAGTTGCGTTTAAACTGAACTTGCTTTTGATTGATCTTCTTCCCACTCCCAATTTGCAGGCGTGGTGGGGCATACAATATTCTTTGATTCGTTTTTAGACAAACGAAACCAACGATATTGGTTGTAACTTGGAGGGAGGAATCGAACCTAAAACTTCATATTCAAGAATAAATACTTTTAATCACTTGAAATATAAGCGCATTTTCACGATCTTTGATTCTTAAGCGTCATTATACGTGGAAACTTTCGCCACTATTACCAGATGGGGTCTTCATCTTGAGTTTTTGACACCCACCCCATTTCCATAAGGAATGCAAATCCATCTGTCCAACAAATATGTGTCCCATCAGCAGAAGAAACCGTGGAACAATTGGAGTGGACATTGTGGAAATTTTAGCCAAAATTGTACACACAAAGACTTTGGACCCAGAAGTTGCGGTCAACACTAGACGCCAGGATGATGCTGTGGACACTTCACCTGTTTTGGACCCATAAGTTGTAAGCTAGCTTTATTGTTAGGCCATTCACTGGAATTGGATTAATGTCAAAGCACTTGCCTAAAACTTAAACTTGAACAACCTACGCTGAGTGGCTAAAACGTTCACGATCGACAACAAGTCCACTTCGAGGAAAACATGAAGAAGAAACCCTTCATTAAATCAAGCCCGCAAAATTAAAGTCGAAAATTGTAGGCAGATAGAGTTTCGTACTCAAAAGAGGTACAGAATAAAAATATAATCGAAGCCGCTAGGGGTCTCTAGTTCAACTATATCCAAGAAACTTAGAGGAAATTATATATACATTACGATCCACGTCTGATATTCATTCATATAATTGTGTAGATGTCAAAGGCAGGAAAACAGGTACAATAATTTCAAGTGGAGTTATCTGCGACTAGGGACAACCGTGCCATTACGTTACCTAAGCTTAGTAGGAAATTGTCAAAGACTTGGAATTCACGATCTCAAATCTATGGCAGCTTGTGCTTGGATTTACCTGATGATGTTAACATTGAAGAATTTCTTTTGGGAGATAGCGCGATAACAAAACATTTGTTGATTAAACGGATAGATTGAGATTAATCTAATGACGTATATGTATGTGTGTTTGTATGCGCGCACTTTATTTTTATAAATTTGGAACCAAGAATTTTCATATCATTTTACTTTGTGTGTGAACATAGATGCACTGATATTAACCAATGGCAAGGAAAAGTATCCTATAGGTAGGGTTGACGTTGATTGTATGATTGTTTACCCTTGGCCAGGGTCCACTTATGTAAATACTTGAGGGTATAATATCTCTATCCTTCTCAAGACGATGTAGAGGCGATGATCTGTTACCAAAAAAACAAATAAAGAAGAAGAAAAAGAGGAGGTGTGGTGGAGGGATGAAGAAATTCAACATAAACATAATAACATGTTGTCGACCATGGATTTGTTGGTTTTATTCGGACAAGGAAATACTGAAGATTTACTAAGTTACCACCAAATCCTATATGCGATACAACTAGCAACAATTTCTATGGATTATAATCTTGGTTTATAATTTAGACAAGATGATAGACTCAAGTGAGTACGTATACTTGCAGAGCATATTAAGATAAGATGGTTACACCAAAGTTGACTTGAACCAGGCAGCTCTCCTCCTTACTGTGACTTCCTCCTTGGCGCTGATAAATTGGGTGGTTTGGTTTCGAATGTCGCTAGCTAGGGTTTGACCAGTTGTATTATTCTATCGCTATCGGTTGCTCATTTCGTCCAAAAAACAAAGTTGTGCCTTTTGGATTTCAACTTGTTTTTTCGTCGGAGGTGTTTAGAGAAACTTTATGTCTGGATCAGAGGTTGGCTTGTCTGTTCAAAGAAACCACAAAGAAACAAAGAAACAAAGAAACAAAGACTATGCAAGTAGCAGTGGTAGGACCACGTTCTTAAGCCGTACGCAGGCAGAACCCAAAACAAGAAGAAAAAGACATGGCTGTTGACCCAATTAGACGACCTTTACAGTGTTGGGCTGCGGCAGGCCGCACAAGTCCTTGTTCCTTGAAAAGCTAGCGCAACTTTTTTTTGCTTTGAGCCTAGTGTTATAATTCTAAGGAGAAATTAAGGGCTTTTTTTCTTCTTAAGATTAGGGATTGCTGGAGAGCACATTGGCCCAAAGAACCTGCATAATGGTATGGACTAGAAACAGATTGATGCAAACAGTTTTTAACTAGAATTTTTTTTTCTCTTTTTATTATTCATAATCTAGACAAGTTAAAACAAGAAAACATAACATACCATAAGATAAAAGTAAAAGATAGAAAAAACATAAATAGTAAGTAACAGTACAATCTATTCAAGTTACAGCTCTTCCTCTATGTTAGTGAGTTTGCATATAATATCCAAGCACCAAGCACTTCCTTTACTTTCTGTGTTTTGACGTCTGCTTCATTGCAATGCAACCACCCAACTCTTCACATCTTCACATCAACTCACTCAAGCCACTGAAATAACAGGAGGAGGAGGAGAAGCATGCTTGAAACTTTGATTCTGCTGTTGCTGCTGCTGCTGCCTGCCAACAGGGTTTTTCACAGATAGGCCTGAGGTACCAAAACAGAAATACTGGCTCCTCAGCCTTCTATTCAGGGAGCCTTGTTTACCCAAGTTTGGCGTTTCATCATCAACTACTTGATTTGACCAAGATGGTCCAGCAGTATCAGTTTCAATGTACACACCTTTTTGTTTATCTAGAGAACTAGGTGAAGAGATTGATGATGATTTTGAAAATGAACTAGAGCGCGACCGACGTGGAACAGTTATGTGTGGAATTGCCTGCAGAACACCATGCCTTATGCCACAAGCAAACCTCTTCTTCGCAGATGGACTTGATTGGTTGCTCCTCACAGAAAGTGTCCGTTTGTTATTCGCAAGTGATGAAGGCTTCGAAAATCTCTGTCGAAGTGGTGTTGGTGCCTCATCTGAGCTGCTGCATATCTTGTTTGAATCCACCGAACCAAAATCAACCGATTTCTTGAATCTTTCGGGTTTTTTCTCCTTCATCCGGGGCCAGCCAATGACGCGTTTCAATTGTTGTGCTGCATAATTTACAGAACCTGGTTTTTTACTAGAGAATGAGCTGCGGTTCTCATTGGTTGGGTCATATGGGCTGATCAGTTCTGGTGAAGGTGAATTGTTTCCTGTGCTATGCTGATCAGCATTGGCATCTGATACATTTTCAATGCCTGTATGTAAGAAGATTTCTGTGTCAGAAATTCTAAATGATGTTCCAGGACTGCTTCCATCCCCTTGCATCTTCAACCGAGAAGCAATGGCTTTTCTTGCATTGTAATCTTGACAACCAAATATTCCCCCAGCTGAAATTAACTGCCTAATTAGTATCTCAGACGATGCAGAACGAGGCCATTGTCTGAGGTAATCAAGTGCTGTCATGCCATCAATATCACGGGCATTGACATCAATTGATTGAGCAATCATCAGCAGTTGCACCAAGTCAGAATGAACATTCCCAATGATTGCTGTGTGAAGGGCAGTCCGTCCTTCGTTGTTTTTGGCATTGATGATGTCTTCAATATTGAAAGCTTTCCCACATACCAATTGCTTCAGAAGCTGAATTTGTCGGTCCAATCTTCGGAAAGCAGGACTTTGAAAACCAGATACAGCCTTGTGGAGAAACGTTTCTCCAGAGTTGTTTCTCATGGAAATGGACGACGGAGAAGCAGATATAAGAGCTTCAGCTGCAGCTAATTGACCCCTTGAAGCAGCCACATGCAATGCTGTGTTGCCCTGATGGTCATTGGAGTTTATGATATCATAAGATGCTAAAAGGTACTTCACAACCTGCATGAATGACAAGATTGGTCACATTAATTAAGTGTATGGATCAAATCATTGCAATAGTTCAAGTCAGGTCAAGTCTTGAGTCTTGATCTTAATCATGGAAGGGATAACCTCTGTCTTACATGAAACAAGTAGAACGGTGCTTACTAATAACGATCTGAGTTTTACACCTTTTAGAAAGTTTATGGAAAATATATCCACATAGTAAGTAAAGTATAAGATGTGGAACTGCAAATGGAGTGTTCTTCCAAAGTAAATTCTGAATAAGCATCAATCAAACTTCGGAACAATCATGAATCAGTCATCTAACATCTCTGGAAGCAAGAATATACATTAAAGTTAAATATCTATGTAGTCATTCATGATATGCTTTACGCAATAAAACCACCAAAAGCTACGCAAAATTTATGTTTCTCTTCATCCTACTATATACAACTGCATAACCTCAAATTGTACTTGGTTAAGCTGATATATGCTTGTGTATGAATCATGCACAAAAGAAAAAGGAAAAATAAAGGGCGCAATTTGGAAAAGCAGAGCTTACAACAGCTGGTTTTTTTTTTTTGGTCAAAAGAAGAAAGAAGAAAAAAGATTGAATCTTTGCAAAAGCACATTTAGACCAGCATAAGGGGGAGAGCCTCTCACCTCTACCCGCCCTTTCCCAGCTGCTGCATGGAGGATAGTTGATCCCTGAATATCCCTGTAAGTCAAAACATCTGAGCAATCAGAAAGAAGCTCCTTCAAAATGCTCAAATTTCCTCCTCTGGCAGCAGCATGAACTGCCCTGTTAACCATCTCCCGCTTGTATACCGAAGGAATGTCCCCAATGTGTTCTTCCAGCTCTCCACCTTTGCCTGTCATAAATCTCGGCGAAACAGCAAAGTCAAAGAGCAGCCTGAAAACCTCAGTGTTCTTGCTCCTAGCAGCAGCATACAGTATATCAGTAATCCCAAATTCTCCTTCCCCAAAAACAAGCAGAGGGTTTCTTTCAAGTAGCTCTTGAACAAAACCGAGATGTCCAGCTGAGGCAGCTGTGTACATAAGCCATCCACCATAACCAGCCCTGATGAGAGAGTTCTTTCCTTTCTTGGATTCACACTCATAGAAAAGCTTTCGGGCAACGTTTGAACGGCACTTGGCTACATCATCAAACTGTGCTTCATCATCCCATACTGTCTCAAGACGATGAATTCGGCGTAAAGATGTGAGCTTGATGAGGTGGTTGCTGTCAATGCGGAGGAGCTCTCGAACCAAGTCATAGTGACCATTAGCAGCTGCCCAATCAATCGGGGAAGCATACCACCATTGGTCCCCTGTGCTCTCCCACCGAAGAGGAAAATATGTAGGAGGCATTCTGATGATTTTCTGAAGATGGTAGAAAATAGAGAGCTAGCTAGTTCTGATGATTTAGCAACACAAGAAGCAAGCAAGCAAGCTTAGCAAAAACAGGAACACGAAGAGATAAAGGAAGCAATAAAGGTCACAGAAAGAGAAGAGGACCTTTGGTATTAATTTAAGCAGTTGATCAACTACCAGCAATGCTAATAACAGAAGTACAGCAAGGGAAATAAAAGCTGAAATAATTATGAATCATATAAAGTAGGAGGTATGGGATGGGAAACAACAATCATGGCTTACACAAATGGAAGCCAGAAAAAGGAAGAGGGCCTTGGAATGGATTGGAGGAAAGTAGGAGAGAAGAAGAATATAATATGGTTTTAGGGTCAATATCAAAACTAATATTGTGTAGTGTGTGACAGAGTTTTAGGCTTTTGATGATGGTGATAAGAAATAACCCTCCCGCCAAAAGAAATTACCATAGGGTGAAACGAGATTCGTTTTCTACTGTGAATGTGAAATGAAAGTTACAGATAATGATGGTGTGATGTAGGGAAGGAGATTAAATTTACTGATACTTTTGGTTGGGGTAATGATAGAGGAGCAGAGGAAGCAGAGCTGGTGGGTTGGATTGGAAGATATAAGAAAATGCTGATAGTCCATAAATTATCATTACTAATTAAGCTTTGATTCAGACGTAGTACTTAATATTCTCTGGTTAGTTAGGTAATGAGCTAATTAGCTAAGCCTACTTTATTTAGCCACCACAGTGGTCAAAGTTGACACTTTACCTGCACAATCCATCCACCCTCTTGTCCCAGTCAAGTACTCAACAAAAGAAACCACTCATGTTTAGGGTTTAACTCCAGAATCTCTGATATTTGGTCTAAGAATTTTCATTCCCTGATCACGTAAGCATTTGAACACCGATATCAGAATTATCGGGATTAATTGATCAACTTTAAAAAGAAATTGGAATTTCCAGGAATTTAATACCGCGATGGACGGTGGCTTACTCAATCCCACTTCTATTCTATGTGCTGATCTTGAAATGGTTCACTATGTCAGCTGCATAAATTAATATTCCGTCGGTGCAATGCAAGCAAGCAACACGCAACTTTTGACGGTAATGATGCAATGCAATTTTTAATACTGTTAACCTATCTAATTCAAGACACTTCGGGCCGTTTGATAACCATATTAATAACCTCTTGATTATCTCCTTTTTTTCTTTTATCTCCGGCAGTAGGAAATTATTACCATAGGTTGGGATTGTTAATCATTCCGCAAGCAATAGGTTATTATATATAACAACCAACAAAGCAAAGATTACATGTAAGATTTGGGTGTGCAGTGCAGCAGCTCAGTTTGCCTGTTAGCTTGGCTCTTTACAAATTAGAAGCTTCAACTCTCAAACACTAGTAGTATCCCTATATTGTCTACTCACACATATATATATCAGTCTTACTGGAAGACACACACATATACAGAGCAGAGCTTTAAAAAAGCAAAAGATGCGCCATGTGCTTGGTGAGAAGCAGCTTTTAACTTTTGGAGTAGCTCAACATTCAAAAGCTATAAAAATTGAGGGTGTGGGTTACTCACTTTAACAATAATTATTAATCTCCATGTGACAAGTGACATGTCAAATTTCTGTTTTTCTTTTTCTTTTTCTCATCTGCTTATCCAGTCCAGTTCTTCCACCAGTCTCTTTCTTCGCTACTTTAATCTGCAGATGGCCTTTTGCAGAACGAAAAGCATGGAGCCTGCAGCCCAACAGCGACTACCTAAGCTAAGCTACCTGCAGCCTGCAGCCCCATTTCAGTGGATATTCACGCTCTAGAAAATGAACTGACTCATATAGCCGGACCACCAGACCACCATGCATTTGCTTACTTTTTCATACAAGAGAAGTTCTGCTTATTTCTGTAAACTACCGTCACGTCATGACAACACAAATTTCCTTGCCTGCCAAAGTTGATATAGGGAAAGAGGAGGAAAGCATCAACCTTTCCGTGAACCACTGGGATATAGGATTGGGATAGAATGCGACCGACCCACCATTGTTAAGTTGGGTAAGGCCTAAGGTGGACACATAGTAGGACATTCGATGGTGCCTTCCATATCCATTCCACCAATCGTGTATCATAGCAATGTCAAAAGTATATGGCCCCATCTGTTTAACATGTTATTCCAATTAAATAGCCTTTTTTTCTTCTTCTTTTGCAGGCGTCATTTACGCTAGTTTATCAAGGTAGTCGACACGCACTCTTACACTTAAGTTCGAGTTTCATTTCCCGTAGATTAAATTAATTTAGAATTTTTTAGACTATAATTTTTCTTATTTTTATTTTTATTTTTATTTTATAATAGAAATATAACTTCATTGAAACAACAATGTCAGGATACAAAAGTAAAAACTGGACTTCAATGATGCAACAAGTGTGGTCTCATTAAAACATTGCCTTTAAAAACCTCAAATGGAGGAAAATCCAGTAAAAAAAAGAGCACCACAACATCACAACCAATATAAAACAAAATTAAAATTAAGAAAATAACTTGTCATTAGCCAAAATATCAAAAAGCCACAAAGGACCATCCTCTAGCCAAACTTGAAAATTCTGAGACATAAGCGCTTGCTTAGCCAATAAATAAACAACCTAATCACACTCCCGATGAGCAAATTGACAAGAAATACGAGCAAAAAGATTAAAAAGTCTAATATCAACGAACTTTTTTTTTACTGTTCCATCTATTTAATAACCGCACGATCTTTTATATCATAAAAGTTTCAGGCCCAAGCTATTAAGCATGTCTGGCCTAAATACTTTTGTCCCGCACAAATGAGTTGATGGGTTTAGGCCCGTTACCCAAACAAAAGAATTGTGTAAAGCCCTAGCCCAATTTGGAATATCTTTCTGTCCAAGTTGTTAGGGTTTAATAACAAAAGCCACATAAACCCTACTCTCCCTCTTCTCACTCCAGAAACCCATTTTCCTCCTACTCACCCAAATCATCATCGTCATCATCTCAAGATGGGAAGCAACCAAGCTGCCGTGTCCTTCCTCACCAACCTCGCTCGTGCCGCCTTCGGGCTCGGCGCCGGCGCCACCATCGTCAACTCCTCGCTCTACACCGTCGACGGCGGTCAGCGCGCCGTGCTCTTCGACCGTTTCCGTGGAGTCATCGACGACACCGTCGGCGAGGGGACCCATTTTCTGATCCCGTGGCTCCAGAAGCCCTACATCTTCGACATCCGTACCCGGCCCCACACCTTCTCTTCGGTCTCCGGCACCAAGGATCTGCAGATGGTGAACCTCACCCTCAGGGTCCTCTCGCGTCCCGAGGTGTCCCGCCTCCCTGAGATCTTCAAAACCCTAGGGCTCGAGTACGACGAGAAGGTCCTCCCCTCCATCGGAAACGAGGTGCTGAAGGCCGTCGTAGCCCAATTCAACGCCGATCAGCTTTTGACGGAGCGTCCTCACGTGTCGGCTCTGGTGCGTGAGAGCTTGATCCGCCGTGCTAAGGACTTCAACATCGTGCTGGATGACGTGGCGATTACGCACTTGTCGTACGGGATGGAGTTCTCGCGCGCCGTTGAGCAGAAGCAGGTGGCCCAGCAGGAGGCGGAGCGCTCCAAATTTGTGGTGGCGAAGACGGAGCAGGAGAGGCGCGCCGCGATTATTCGAGCCCAGGGTGAGAGCGAGGCTGCCAAGCTCATCTCTGATGCGACTGCGTCTGCGGGTCTGGGACTGATCGAGCTCAGAAGGATCGAGGCCTCCAGGGAGGTTGCTGCCACGCTTGCCAGGTCGCCCAATGTGTCTTACCTGCCTGGTGGGAAGAACATGCTCTTTGCTCTCAACCCTCGTTGATGGTAAATTTTCATTTCACTTCTTCTGTTGTCTTTGATTTCCTTTCTTTGTTTTTCATTTACTGTTACATTGTCCGTATAAGAGCGTTTATGAGTTATATTTATTTGGTAATTGATTTGTATTACTGGGATCATATGTTAATGTATGTATATATTTACAACTGACAATTAAACCAATCTAGACAAACAAGACAATCCCCTGTTTGCGAAGTGATGAAACATAATAACTATTAGAAAGAATAGTGCTCATTAGCGTTGTAAAAGGTTTAGGTTTTTTGCACTAAGCGAGGTAGCTCATCAAGTGTGCAAGGTTACAAGCTCAAGCTACTCAGGTTTATCGTTGTTCTAAACTTTGGAATAATTTTTTTGATTGCCTTCTGTTTTGAACTTCAAGGGAATCTGAAAAATTGAGTTATGATACTGCTTGAATGATAGCATGTTAGCCACAGAGGGGGAAGCTGCATTGTGTTATGCTTCTTAACATTGTTGTGACAAGATAAATACTGTAGGTTTTTTGTTTTATTACAATGTAGGTCATCGGCACCACTTCATTTAAAAGTTGCATGCCAACTTTCATAAACTGTGACCCTTTACATTTGTTCAAGTCTGGAGTTCTTACATTTTTTATCTGGACTTTTTACATTTCTTTAATCTACTTGAATTTGTTGTTTACCCCATGTTCATGTATTGTTATGACATTGCTGAAGGACTAGTCGTAGAAAAAACTTGTTGAAAATTTTCTTAAATTTAGACCTGGAATTTCATAACTCTGATGCACATGAATGTGATTTGCAGTTAGGTATGGTTCTTTTTTCCATAATACATTCCTCGGTCCTAAGATTTTCTATGATAAAGATTGGTTGCTGATACCTTTGGCCTCTTCCTTTTTCTCTATGTCAAACCTAGCAGTGCCCGATAAATATGAGAGATTATAAGGAAAATGACTTACTTGCTAGTAACAATTAAGGAATTCAGCGAGGTTTCTTTTAACAAATTTCGATGGAACAAGTGTTGATTCCTTTGTGTGACTGGTAGTTCAGCTTCACATTGCCAATTTGTTTTTGGTTTTAGGTACACTTCTCTTGCATCTAGTATCTAGTCAACCTAAGTTTAAGATGGATGAGGGACGTATTGAAGAAATCAGAAAGCTAAGAGTAATTTAATATATAGCATAGCTAACAACGCGCTCTTTTAACTTGGGTTCTGAACAAAAGGCAGGAGAAGTATGAATTAGGTTCACTCACGGATCTTTGCACCTCTTATGTATCATGATGTAATAATCAAATCGATTTGGGATTCTTTCAATGCTTTTGTAGTATTTCAATTTTGTGTGTGTGAAAAGATGGTGGATGTGGTTGTTCATTTGGAGTCCGTATCTGAATACTTCTTGTCAATCACTGAACTTGGTCTTCCTATCTTTTCAGAATTGCAATTATATCATGAAAGCCTCTGAAGATTTGATAATCAATTGTAAACTGTAACTTTTACATGTTCAATTTGCAGGGTTGCAAGATGTGGCATAACAAGAAGACCGGATCGTGAATACACTGAAGTTCAGAGGGGTTTATTTCTAGAGTTTTTTGTTTTTTCTTGGAACATAGGTTATCTGAAACTTGTTAAGAATGAAAGCTATGGTTTTAGGAAAGTGCTCGGGTTGTTGCGTTTATAATGCATCCTGACTAAATTTACCGCACGTTAGTACTTGAATATAAATTTGAGCACTTGTGTTAATATGTTGCTGGCCCTGTTGTGTTTACTGAATCTTCCTTCGTTTTGCGTTTGTATCCGTGAATGTTCCTAAGGTAATAAGGCTAAGAGAGGTGATTGACATAATCATCTACCTATTTGGGAGGTAATTTCCTATATTTTTCTAATCAAGTCCACACGGGGGTACATTACATTGTGCTTCTGCTTGCCTTGATAACACTTAATTGTCAACAGATTCCATCTGTGAGTTAAATCCAGATCCTGTGATCTGTTGTGTATCTTTCACTTTTATCCTTTTGGTTCGGAATATACTCTCTGGATCGAAAGCAAGGAGAGATGAATGATTGAAGTGTAAGTGGACAAAAGAGGGGTGGGAAAATCAGCTCCCATAAATAACTGAAGGATCTCTCAAGTTAGAATTAGGCCCCGTTGGGGATTGCTTTTTTTCGCCAAAAACCTGCTTCACTTTAAATTTAAGCAGTTTAAGGTGTTTGGTAAAAATAAAATATCCCAATTATTTTAAAAGCAGTGGCCTTTTGACAGCAGCTTTTAAAAGCAGGCTATGAGTTGCTTTTCAAAGCTGCTTTCAAAAGAAGCAGAGATGAACTTTTAATGATTTTTTTTAATTCCTAAAATACCATCATTCATTTTAAAAAATAACACCACCTCCACTTTCACATCCAACTCCACCACTTACACCACCACATTCACTACCTCCACAACCACCGCCACCGCCACCACCACCACCACCTCATCCACCACCACCAACTCCACCTTCACCTCCACCACCACCACCACTACCACCACAACCACCACCTCCTCCAAAACCTCCACATCCACCACCATGCTGCCACCTCCACCACCATGTTGTCACTACCACCACCTCTACAAGCGACATCCCTACCACCACCACTACCACAACCACCAACTCCACCTTCATCACCATCACAACCTCTACTCCATCACTACCACTACTACCACAAGATTAGTACATAACACTTTAACATCATGTCTATTTTAGTCATTATTCATAGTTACAACAATTTTATATTAAAACTTACCAAACAGTTTTGACACTGCTTTTTGTACTAACAGCACTTTAAAAATATTGTTTACCAAACATTGAGCTATTTTACTTTACAGCTAATTATTTTCAAAGCACAACATAAGCAACTTTTTTATAAGTGACGGCAAAACTAGGCCTTAGATTCACGCGTGAACAATCCCATACAATCAAATCAATGACCCAAATCTAACCAAAGCTTCCATCTCATCTCTGGAACCAAAGTACTACCAAACCTCGTATAACTAGTAAAGCTTGATTATTCCCCGAAAAAGGGGGGGAAAAAAAAACTTTAAACCATACTAATCACAAACTAGCTGCGTGATGTTCATAAATTAATTAAATTTTTAAATTAAAATTAAAAAAAAAAAAAAAAAAAAAAAAAAAAAGAAAATGCTGATAGCTGCGCCGACGAGAATTGAAGCTCTCCCTCCACAGTCCACATCAAGATCCTAGGATCGCTTATTTAACAGAGGCAATGTGACAGATCAAGTCAATAACTCGTGAGCTGCAACAAACGTCACGTCACGTCACGTCGTTAATAAGAGAAGTGTGGATGGAAAATCTTGCTTTCAGAATCCAATTAAAATTTGGAGTATGACAAAGCAATATAAACAGAGATTTCTGTTCTTTCTGCCACAATTATGTAAAATAAAACGGAGCACCATAATAAAAACAAACAATTGTGGATTTACCTGTAACCCCATTCGTTGTCATACCAAGATACAAGCTTCACAAAGTTGTCATTCAAAGCAATTCCAGCCTTGGCATCGAAAATGCTCGACCTGCAACATATAAATACATATACACTCGCAGTCCAGGCAGGCACATAACCACAACATATTCTTATAGAGTGAGACGGGGACAGAGACAGAGACAGAGCAAAAGAAGGTGAGTAAAAATGGTCACCTGTTGTCACCCACGAAGTCAGTCGACACAACATCCTCGTCGGTGTATCCAAGGATTCCTTTCATGCTGCCCTCAGATTCTTTCCTACAATGTACAACAACAACAAAAAAGAACAGGAAATTTAGATGAGCAGTTTGAAATCATAGGGAATGAATGTTTCTGGTCCTTACTTGATGGCATCTTTAATCTCATCATAAGTGGCCTTCTTCTCAAGTCTCACGGTGAGATCAACCACCGAAACATCAACAGTGGGAACACGGAACGCCATTCCTGTCAACTTCCCATTCAGTGCAGGCAGCACTTTACCAACAGCCTACAAAAAACAACACTTTTTTCTTCTTTCAGTATTTCCAAAATATATCAAACACCTTTTCTTCTCAAGAAACAAAGCTTTCAAGTATCATATATATCATGCATATGAACTGTGATCATATATAGATGCACTGCAAGGCATTCAATCAATAATACCTTGGCAGCTCCTGTACTACTGGGAATGATGTTGGTGGCTGCAGCTCTACCACCTCTCCAGTCTTTCATTGATGGTCCATCAACAGTCTTTTGAGTGGCTGCATTACATTGAAACACCAGTCAATGACAATGGACGATACATACATTCGCATATACATAGATACGCATATACACGCACCAGTAATAGAATGGACGGTAGTCATAAGACCCTCCACAATACCAAATTTGTCATGAACAACCTGTCCGGTTGTATATGTATATATATTAATTCAAGAAACATGAGAGAGCTCTCCAAATTAATTACTTAGTCATTAGAAGAAAATTAGACCAAGAATTGAAACTAACTACCTTTGCCAATGGAGCAAGACAGTTTGTGGTGCAGCTGGCATTGGAAACAATGTTAAGATCTGGGGTGTAGTCCTTCTCATTGACCCCCACAACAAACATGGGAGCATCCTTACTGGGGGCAGAAATCACAACCTTCTTTGCACCACCCTTTAAGTGGAGAGAAGCTTTCTCCTTATCAGTGAACACTCCGGTGGACTCAACCACAAATTCAGCACCAGCCTCGCCCCATGGGATCCCTTCAGGCTCCCTAGTCGAAATGAATGGACAATCCAATTGGAATTTCAGTCTAGCAAGCTTTGGTCTGACTAACTAATTGATTAATTACACACAAGAAAGAGTGTTGGTGTTGGTAGAACCAGGTAATAATGAACTATAATAAGCATATTACCTAGAAGAAAAAACTCTGACAGGCTTGTCACCAAAGAGAAGGCTCTTATCATCCTTTGCTTTAAGCTCGTGGTGCTTCCATTGCCCGTGAACACTGTCGTACTTGAACATGTAGCTCTGCAGAGATATTTACAATTAACACAATCTCATAGGCTCAAACCATCACCATGCATTCAGGATGCAGAAAGAACAACAGAAAAGATATACATTACCATGTATTCAATGTTGATGAAAGGGTCGTTGACAGCTACAAGTTCAACGTGGTCTCTCTGCAGAGCAACTCTGGCAACCAAGCGGCCAATCCTTCCGAATCCTTCACCCACATAACACCAAATCAAGACCATTTGGAAAATGCCAATCTGTGTGTTGGTGATATATAAATAAACAGTAAAGTAAACAAACCACAATAAATGCAAGAATACCATTGATGCCAATCTTGATCTTGGCCATGATGTTTAGTGTAGTGTTTTCTTCTTCTTTTAAACCGAGAGAGAGGGCTTGAATTCTGAACAAGGGAGAGTGTGAGAGTGTGAGTGCTATTTATATAATTATATGCATGTGAGGTGGAGTTACGACCTGAAATCCCCATAAGCAAAAAGAAAAAGTGTCTGCGCATTTGTCGAAGCTGGAAACCAGTGATGATTTGGATGGTATTGTTGACTATCGAGGTGGCCTCGTTGCCCTTCTTTTCGAGAAAGATGACCAACCGGAGCAGAATTGGTAAAAAGTTGTTTCACTCACAGAACCGTAAAGTGAGAAATGAATTAATAAGTTTTGGGTTCTGTCGAGCGTTACATTGCTATTACAGGAGATAGAAAGAAGCAATTTTCTTTTTCTTTTTAAATAGTATGTAGCACCGGCACACAATTGAAGAAATATTTCCTTGTAAGTATTCATAGCTTTTGAAATTTGGATTAGAAATCAGATTACATAGCAGGAACAAAACTGGAAACATCCCTTTACATGTACAAGTTACATCTTTACAGTGTTAATTCAGTTGGCCGGCACTTGGCACTTACAACATGGATTAACACCAGCCATAGTAGAGTGGTATATGACTAGCTGGGTAAAAGAAAAAAAGAAAAGAAAGAAGAAAATTCCAACTTTAGGAGCTGGATGAAAAGCTAAATACAAATTTTTTTAGTCCCCAAGAAGTCTCACCCCCTGGTACATTGCACCGGATTGTAGCTCATCTAAAGTATCAATGCGTCTATAGCCACTCAACTCTCGTAAACCCGTCAAGCCACGGCGTGCAAGAAAATCACGAAAATCATCTTCAGTGTACAATGTTATTTCTTCCGTACGAACTATACGGTCAGAGTCATCATAGAGGCAAAGCTTTATGGTAATTCCTGCCACAAGAAGCATAAGGCTACTTATTATAATCCAGCAAACCACCTTTCAGTTCCATATAATATAGAAAACCTTATGCTTATTACTCCAGGAATGCAATACCTTCATCGAGGTGAAGAGTGTAATTGCCCAAAGGCATGTCCCTATCGAGACTCCGGACAACCTGATCTTCATCCTCCAACCAAAATGCCCGCTTAGTTCTTATTCTGAACGCAGACTTGATTGCCTCCTTAATCGCATCTGCAGTTCCATCAATACCAATCCTTCTGGTGTATTCCCCCAACTTGACAGTTATAATCTTTCCACAATAAGAAGAGTGGCCCTCCCCTCCTGCCATTGAAAGATAACATGCTTCAGGCATTTAACTTTGAAACTTTTACAAGATGCATATATCAGTTTCAGGTCATGCTCAGACTCTTGGTTTTATCCACACATGATTCCAAGCCTCAACAAAGGAGGTGTGCTACTGGTTGAAAGGCAAGGAAAAGCTTACAGTGGAAGTGTCATGCAAGCGATTGATAGTGAGACAGAGAGAGATTGAAGCTCTTCTAAAGAGGACAGGACAAAAATCTTCCTCCACTAAACTCAGAATGCAGCGTATGCTAGAAAGACACCAAATCTAAGCAATGTAGTGTGATTGTGAGGTCATGAAAATTGCATTTCTTGAGGAAAGCTGTTTAATTTAGATGAAAGGTTACAGGTCTAGAGACATTTCCACAGCCAATTGAAGTATTGTTTCAACAAGAATTACCAATATTCTTTTAAATTGAAAGGGAGAACTTTTTGCACTGCCATTTTAGTTGTGAAAGAAAGCTTCTTTTTTTGTTTTTTTGGTTGAAAATTAGTTGTGAAAGAAAGCTCACCATTTCCAGGACCCTCTCTCCAATTCCAAGGAGGAACCCCACTAACTGCAACTGTATCGGCTGCAGTAATAGCAAGAGGGTCGCCATCATGATCCAACTGCCTTTCCAAATTGAGTGCTGATCGGTCGGTAGCTATAAACAAAGAGAAATTAAGAAGCTTTTTTCAATTTTTCTTTTATAACAAATTACATTCAAATTGCAAATTGAAAGACAACACATGCAAGCAAAGGAATGTATACCTTCCATAGGTCCAAATGGAATGCCTGAATCTTCAAGACCTGTACTTTTTTCAATTTATAGAATAAATAAACAATTTTAGAAAAAGAGTAAGCATAATAATAGTAAGAATTTGAAATGCTGAATAGGGTAAGTTTCAGTCAGTCTCAGCTCTCATAAATTCTCACCCTTGTCACAGAAGCGAACAAAAGATTCGAGCTTGGGAGGAGTGGGGCTCTTATAAGCAGCGGCATCAGTAGAAGCAGCGTTGTGGTTGTTGTTGGTTCTATCTCTGAGCAAGTCCTGGAGGTCCTCGTAATACGACATCTTGGCCGAGCGACTGCCGACTTTGACTTGGTGACGAGCCTTCTTGAACTCCTTGAGCAAGTTCCTCCACTTGTCCGTACACATGGTGGGGGAGCGGTCGAAGCCCTTTTCTCTCATCTTGGCTGAGATCTGGTCCCAGAGGTGCCTGTTGGACTTGGACGTGTTGAAAAGCCCGTCCACCTCTCTCCTAAACCCTATCAGGCTTCGCGTTTCTTCTTGGACCCACGTTTCGGCCCGTTTCTTTGGGGCTCCTGCTCCTCCTCCGCCTGCTGCTCTGCTGCCAATACTATTACTAGTAGCAGCACACAATTCTTGCTCTTCACCTTCTCCTCCGCTGCTGTTGTTCTCCCCAATCCCCACTATCATCTGATGCATCTGCTGCTGGTGCTGGCTTTCGCTTTGGTTCTGATGATGATGATGAGGTGGCGCGCTCCCATTCGCCACCACCACCTCCATCATCATCTCTCTCTCCGATTCTTCTTCTCCTCCTAGTCCTCCTCCCTTGTACAAGTCAACCGGTCGGGCCTTCTCCGAGAGGTACATGTCTATTCGTTACTGGCAAAGTGTGAAGGTTGTAGCGAAGTGGATTGGCATCTGGGTGTAGCTGATAATTGCAGAGCATAAAGAGAATCAAAAGACAAAAGAGGGCCTGTGGAAATGGGAAGCGCTCGTGTGTTTCCTTTGGACGCGTATTTTCTTTTGTATCAGTAGATGATCTCAGCCTCCCAACTTTCGCAAGCATTATTTTTAATTTTTACCAGGAGGGGATTTGAACTCGCTTATAAACTTAAGTGTCACGTTACCTGTCACGTTACCTTAGTCAATTGGCCTAATGCACATAAATGAAGTTTTTTTTATAGTCTTTTTCTTGTTGAGAATTAGAATGTTAGTCAAACATCAATACTTTTACGAGTATTCATGGTCAAGAAAATTGTGTTATTACACAAAATAAATTAAAAAGAACACAAATACATATAACATAAAGACAATTCACATGCCCAAAAACATATATTCTACACAACCATTAAAGTGTTGAGGTAAAACATGAACAAAATCTTGATCTGATGACGATCACTTATGCATTGTTGTCTACCAACATTCTAGATAATCCCTGATTTTCCATCATTTTATCTATGACTTTCTTCAGTGCAGGTGCACTCACCCCGCACTTCTGGTCAACAAAACAAGATCTACCTTCTTCAGCTGCCTTGCAAAGCTGGGGGTCCAATGGTACCTTCCCCAGAAAAGGTACCCCCATTTCCCTGCACATTTTTTCAGCTCCACCACGGCTACTATCAAACACTTCAGTGCAAGCTATTGTGCTTAGAAATTCCGGCGCTCTCTCTTTCAGATGCTCCCTTGCCCATTCTGTGACGTCTATTTGCTCACCGGCCTCTGTCATCCTCAAAAATTTGAAATCCATCACTGGCTGGCACAAGCCACTCATATTCTCAACAATCCCAAGGACCTGAACTCCAACTTTCTTGCAGAAACTTACTTCTTTCCTAACATCAATCAGGGAGACCTGTTGTGGAGTGGTGACTATGATTGCACCATCTATTGAACCAGCATCGAGGCATTGAACAATTGAAATGTGCTCATCTGAGGTCCCAGGAGGAGCATCAACTACTAGAAAATCAAGCTCACCCCAATAAACATCCTTCAAGAATTGCTTAATGAGCGCATTTTTGCGTGGCCCCCTCCATATAACAGCGTCATCAGGTTCTGGAAGCATGAATCCAATTGACATGACCCCAAGGTTGGACTCAACATATACAGGAGACCAGCCAAGGTTGCTCTGGTGGATTTCTTGGCCTTCTAGGCCAAGCATCTTTGGGATGCTCGGGCCACAAATGTCAATGTCAAGTAGACCCACCTGGAAGTCCATAGCTGCTAGTGCAAATGCAAGTTGGGCGGAGAATGTGCTCTTGCCAACTCCACCTTTTCCTGATAAAACCAGTATCTTATGCTTTACAGTGGCCATCCTTTCTGCAATTGCAACCACGTCTGTACAAAAACAATATACAAATCATGAATACAAAAGCACATCATCCTTAAGTCATATAAGATATTTTGCATGGAGGAAAAAGAACTCCTACATGGAATTAAAACTTGCGCAGTTGCACAAATGAAGAAAATCACAGAGGAGTTACTGAAATTGTATGCACTTGCATAAATTGGACGCCTTGTAACAATACCTAATGAAACTTTGAAATACAGCTTAGCTACTGATAAATGTAAGTTGTAACGCCTTGTAGTCTCTATTTTTTTTTTCCTTTTTGATTTTGTAGATTATCCCCCTCCCCACAACAACACCATCAAAGATATAACAAGGTATAAGCCACATAATTATAAAATTAAGTTTGGATTTCGGAGGCAGCACATAAATTATAGCTGAATCACCAACTTCATGAAGTTCACATAAAAGCATCTACTTTGGCTTGTTCATCTAAATGCTAGTCATAGCTGAATCACTCACAGCAGCACAAAATAAAGAATTTACAAATATCACCGGCCAATATTAACCAAAAAACAATTCAAAGTTTGCAGCTTTAGCAGTAAGAGAGAAAGGAAACCTGGGTCAGGGCCCTTTGGAGCAGTAGCACAAATTTGTTGATTCGGGCATCCTTCGCACGCATCAGATTTTCCAGCAGAATCGGATTGAGGACCCGGGCAATCTGAGCAAAAGGTACAATTTAAAAAAAAATAATAATAATTCCAAGAGATGAAGAAGAAATTAAGACAGCCTAACTGAGAAAACCCAGCAACCTTTGAGAACTGAGATTATGAAAGAAAGCCTTACGTTCATTGGCGTTTTCGGGAATTTCACCGTTCTCCATAACGATTAGGGGTTTAACTTTGCCTTTCAAGTCTTGGCTTGTCTTTCCTGTAAATGTGACGAGGCAGAAGAAAAAAGAAAGAAAAAAGGGAAGAAGGAGAAGATTGAGAAGTTGCGTTGGACTGAGGAGGAGGACAGGACGCTGGTCCTCGGAGCAGTTGAGTCACTCAGAGGGAGACAGACATGGAGAGGTATGGGCTGGGTCGACAGTCATGGAATGGGCTAGCTAGGTAGGGTTTATCGGTATTATGCAGCCCACAATGCCTCTTTAATCTTTATCAAACCGCTACATGTTGAAACATATATTTATACTCAACGGGTTATTGTTAAGAGTAATGCTACATTTATCATATTTTTATCCCACATTTTTATACTATATGATGTGGCATATCCATATTATATGCCACATTAATTAAATCAATGAAGTATATTTTAATAAAGAAAGTTTAATTAACAGTTTTTTTTAAGTGTTAATAAATCATAAAAGAAAATATTAAATAATTTTAATTGATGTGGCTCTCCATCTCATCTGTCACATAAGGTAGTATGAAAATGTGGTATACAAATGTGATAAAAGTAGCATTATTCTATTGTTAATGGTCCCAACTTTTGCTTTAGTCTCATTTCAGTCAACGAACTAAATTTTTCATTTTAATAGTCCTTCAACTCTCTATTTAGTAACAAATTGGTATTCAGTCAACTCCCTATTGTCAAAGTCTGTTAATTTTATTGTTAAATTGAGGGGTAAAAGCGTCCATATAATCCATCACCTCATCACCCCAAACCCAAACCCACCCAACCGTCCATATAACAGACTTTGACGGTATGGGTTTTAGATAAAAGATATCCCAACAGATCCTGACTGTTTTATGGACCGACGGTATTGTTCGGTTTGCTTCTTGGCAAACACTTGTTGTTGACATTTATATAGATGCAAGGAAAGAAATAAAAAAGAACAATAGATAGCAACACTATAAAAAACAAAATTGGTTTATATTTTATAAAGATTTTTTCTATTTAAACCTCATACTTCTCTTAGTTCACCCCAATACTTAAATCATTCAGCTGTAAGTTTTATTATTGTGTAAAAAGACAAAAAAGGTCATCCAACTTAATACTTAACCCTAATACATCTATACACACACCCTACAACTCTTCAAATTAAGTTTAAAAAAAATACAAACTCTTCTACATCCTATGCCTGATTCCAAAGACCATGAACCCAATTGAGCTTTCCAAATGACGGATTCTTCAATATCATTAACAAATGTGATTAAGCATCAAATCTGATCATGATTTACTATCTAGTACTTCCTGCAGAAGATTTAGACCTTCTGCTGATATACTCCTTTTGAATTTCAATTTCGGGATCTCAAACAAAGGTGGTGGGTCTGGGGAGAAGCATACCACAACTATTGTCAGGTTGTCGCAGGTATTGCGCTTGAGTGCCTCCCTAACCAGCTCTCTTGTCTTGAGCATCTCTCAGGATCATTGTGAAGCATTAATTCTTTCCTTGCAATTGTAACTGCGCATTGGCTGCTCATCACATCCCACAGCCCATCACAGCCTAGGATCAAGAATTCATCTTCCTCACTCAGAGTTGTCTCCTCAAGCTTCGGCTCTGCGCTTAAGGGACAGGAGGAACTTTTGGAGCCTTTCATGTGCCAATCTCCAAGAGCTCGTGACACCGATAATTGACCGTTAAGGTAGCCATCATAAACCACACCTCCTAGTTTCTCAATTCTTACTCTTTCTGAGGCACAATTGGGTTTATGCACTTGAAAACAGACAATGAATAAGACTCTGAAATATCATCAAAAAATTAATTTAATACTTACTATTTCTCATGCTGAGAATGGATTTTCTGTTCTAAAGGTAGCTTGTGGGGTTTAAATAGAAAATCTCTTTTATTTTTTATTTTTTCAATTTGTGGTGTATTTAAGGGTAGTTTGGGAAGATAGTAGAATTTACTTAGAAATTGTGAAAATTTAAATTAAAAGTTGGGATGAACTTAGAACATTGGGTGAATTAAGAGAAGTGTGGGGTTTAAATAGAAAATCTCTTTTATAAATGGATACAACTTATTTATTGATTATTTTGCTTAAAAACAAGATTCCACAAACTTGGTATATAACAAATAGATCAGTGCTCCGACAGCTCTCTCATAACTTTCTGCTTGACACCCCCCTGAATGGCTGCTGCTCTTCTTCTGCACCCAAAAAAACTTACTCGACTTTGATGATGATTTCCCCACTTCCACTAACAATCAACTGCTCCACTTCCCCTACTAAATTTTCTTCATTGCCCTTTGGTCCTTGGGGTTTGTAAGTCTCCCTCCAGGATAGGAACCACTTTGGCATGAGCTAACTAAACATGTTCAAGCCAAATTTCTCAACCTCTGATATACTTTCCCTCTCCTTTCTTTTTACTTTTCCCTATTTCAATCAACCTTTCTGTTGTAACCTCTTCTCATCTCTATTCTTCCCTCCTCCTTTTTTTCTGTTTTTTTTTCATTTCCTTTTTTCCTTTTTTTTTCATTTCCCTTTTCCTTCCTCCGGTCCTCCGGAGATTATCTCCAGCTTCACAAGCTGCAAGTTCCTCATGGTAATACAACTCCTTACTGTGGCAACGAAGCATGCATTAAATAGCTTGTGCCCATTTCTGAACAGCCAACCACCCTTGTAGATTCTAATCCACAACCAACAGCAAACGAATATGCAATGTCTTTCCATTAGCCAATAAGGCAAAATTGATACTTGTTCTCCTGACAAAAAAAGGCACACTTGGGAGCACCCTTTTCTCCATGCCTACATTTGAGTATTTTCTCCAAACAAACTATACAGAGCAAGTCTAGACAAAATGTCTCCTCATAATCAGTGTCTTGAAGGCAGCACCCACAACTAATACAGCGAGCTATGCAAAGCGTGCAAGCCCTGCACACCTGATCAGCATGACGTTTCCCTTGGCAACTCTTTGCTGGGCAATCATAAACTAAACTTAGTTTCTGGCACCTGGGGCACGCTTCAATGTCGATGGCACAATCATCATCACATGAGAGATGTGACAGCCCACCATGAAAAAACCGTGGTTTTGGTGCTCTAAACTGAACACAGTTATCTGCACCAAGCAAGAATTTCAACTCTTCAAACTGCCTCTCTGTTATACCAGAGAGACCACCAATTCTTAACTGCTTTATTCCAGGTTTGCCTGCAGACTTCAAGGTCCATAAGTTTAACAAGATGTCCTCAACACTTATTTTAAGACATCCTGGAACACTTAACTGCACAGGGAAAAAGGTGTACATTCATATTAGAAAGAACTTAAACTACATAGAAAGCAAGGTATAATGAACTCCTATAAACTTTACACATTTAGCATGATGATACGAAGAGGCAAAATACCCATAAAGAGCACTACCAGTTTACATGATAAAGACTACATTGACTTTCAATATCAGTTAACTAATCAATAAGCAAAATCTACAACGAAACACTGAATACATGTTCAGCATCAAGAGCTGCATCAATTGTTAAATTTATTGATATTAATACAAAGGAGATTTGAAAAAATCAATCCAAAACTTATTCACTCCATTGTTCTTGACATTGTATTAGACACGACAACACAAATTGGCATATAACCAAAGGTGTTTACCAATTTTTTTTTAAACACTACAGGAATGATAGTCTTCAACCTACTTGCTATAAATGACATGAGTTCATCTCAACAGGCGTGTAAGAACAGCAAGATAAAATAACTTCACCAAGTTTTATAGCCCCATGTTTGATAACTGATGGTGAACTAGATTTTCGCTTTTACTTTCAATAGGAGGCACACAAGAAATGTTTTTCATAGAAAACATATATGAAATTGTAGTTATTTGTGGCTTATGGCAAAAAGCCCCTATATGAAAGTAGCCTGAGGGGTCAAATGTAACTTCAGAACATTATATGCTAAGAGAAAGCAGCATAAGAACATCTCTTTCAAAAATTATTGTCACTGAAAATTGGAGAGATACACTAATATACAAAACCATAAACAGGAAACAGACGTGTTCAGTTCAGGAATATAGAAAATACAAAGTTTCAAATACTCACCTTTGTCAGCTTTGGGTTGCTGTCAAACACACGCTGCAGCCCAAAGTCAGTGATATGGACACAATGCACTAGAGTCAAGGCTTGAAGAGTGCCTTGAGCCCTGTCAGTTAACTTTATAAGAACATCATCAGTGACGATCTCATTCAACGGCCAATCAATGACAATACTCCTCCATAGGAGAGGGTCACTTCTAACCGAATCACGAAAAGACCTACAAACCTTTTCAACTGAAAGAAGGTCCTTAACACCAAGAAAACTCAATGCATAAAACATAGCATCATGTGGAGCACTCCCCTCACCATTAGAATGCATAATGCTACAACCTTGTATTTCCTTAGTTTCAACTTGCAGTTCCTTAGCTCCATCACAAAAATCCAAGTTCCCGCTAAAACTCAGAAACTCCTCTACATTGCCATCCAACACTAAACCTCCATCATTGATCCCATACTCATCAAAGCTATCATATGGAATTGATATTCCATCAAATCTCAGGTCACAAACTTCCGGCTGAAACATCACAGCACTATTCCAAGCCCAATTGAAACCTGCCAATAATCCACCACCAAATGCTTCATGCAACCCAGAGCCATAAGATTCGTGTTCCTTTTCAAAACCTTGAAGCCAACCCGTGATAGCAGTAAAAGTAGACCTTATCCCCATTCCAAAAGGATCAACAGGCAACCGATCCACAATATCATCAGCAGAATGGTCACAATAGCCACCCAATTCAGTCCCCCAATGGGTATTCCTCAAATCCAAATTGAAACCCCAAGAACTTGACGAATCATCACAAACACCATCCAAATTATTTTCTTTGTATTGATCCATCACATACCCATTAGAGTACCAAACAGAAGAAGGATACGTAGGCAAGATTGAGCCACGAGAGAGATTCAAGGCCATCGTTTGCAGCTAAGAGATAGAAATAGAACGCGAGCTTGATGGTACCAAGAAACCTAGATTTGCTGGCAGAAGATAAATCAAGAGAGCCGACTAGGAAAGATTGAAATATAAAAGCAAGTCAAGAATACAAGGAAAACATTCCATTCCAGGAGGCAAAAAATTATAAAGAAAACAAAAGGCACCTGAAATTCTACAAGAGGTTCCTGTATTGAAGGGAAGAAAAAGAACCCAACTTTCTAATAGGTTGATTCTCAAAGAAAAAAAAAAAGTTCATAATTTGGTTAAAAGTACCAAACAAGCTGAATTCAAAGCAACGCTGTTTTCAGGATAAGGAAAGATTGGTGTTAGAGAAACCCTAATCGAAATAGAGTTATTATGTGGGTGGGTTAAGCGAAAGAGACAAGGAAAGGAAAATAAGATAAACAAAAAGATTGAAACGGATTTGGAGATTAAAAAAGTGAAGCTTGAAATTACCGAATCTGATGCTGCAGAGAAAAGCAGAGGTTAATTTGACCCAACCATCCAAGCAACCGACCAACCAACGAACCAACGCAATGCGCAGAGAGAGAAAGAGAGAGAGAGAGAGAGAGAGAGGAGGAAAAGAAAACCAAAGAGAAGAAGAAAAGGGGAGGGAGGAAACAGAAATTGGAAGGTGAGAAAACAGAGCGTGCGTGCCAAATTAAGGGCGCACAGAGAGTGAGAGCAGGGAAGGTTGGGAAAAGGACGCGTGGACAGAGAGGGAGAGACTGGTGGCGGGTAACGTCTTCCTGGATGGATATTCCTGGTCCTTTAACCTCTTTCTTTACCAACACCAACAACGACTCCCTCTTCTCTTCTCCTTTTTAGGCGGAGACAATTTCAAGATTCCTTGCTCTCTGTCTTACCCTTGCCTTTTGATTTTGATTTTTTTAAACTAAGGCTTTGACTTATTTACCACTCCACAAACTAAAATTTTATTTCCTTAATTAAACTCCATGATTTTGTTGGATTTCCTTTCATTAATTAAAGCACTACCACGACTAGGAATTTTGTAATTTATGTTTTCATTTTATTCAAAGAAAACCACAAAACAAGAACTCCAATTCGATTTAAAAAAAAACACTCTTTCACGAGAAAATGTTCGACATAGCCATTTGTGAAAGAAGTCTTGAATTGGAGAAGAACTTGTATATAATAGGGATAATATTATTTTGTTATCTCTAACTAATTATGTTTCGTCATGTGAATAAGTTATCACACTTTATAGAATTTGATTAATTGAGAATAACAAAACAATGTTATCCCCATAATATAAAAATTCTCTCTTTGAATAAGGATAGGGCTCTCTCTCGAGTGAAGGCCCCATCCCACCGTGAGATAACTGCCACCTTACCCAAGACTTTCTCCTTTCGTACAAAGATTCTTTTTCTCCTCTTTAATAAAAGGAAAGTTTCAAACTTGAAAGAAAGGAATCTCATTACCATGGTTAATCGGGTCAATAAGGGAGGACCTGCCAAATCCAATTTGGAGTTGGATCATTAAGGAGGGTTAAATCGCGATCATTAAGGAGGGTTAAATCGCACAATTAGGAAAGTTTAAAAAAGATAAGCATATTGCTAATTGTAAGTTGTAAGTTGTGACAAAGACATTCTATCTACTATAGTACGGATGCTCCTTTGTAAAATATATTATATTAGCAGAAGCTCCAAATCAGTCAATTTCAAGCATTTTATCTAACATAGCATAAAGTAACCGCTAAGGTATCTTCCATTGATTATCATATAAATTATGTTTATGTCACAATCAAATGATCAAAGTGCTTTGCTCCATCCAACTTGGGATGAAGCAACAACAGCTCCTCATCTCTCACCTTTAACCGGGTATTTTGAATTTGCAAACGACATCTGGAATTTCACAATTCACATCCTCAGGGACAGATGGCTTACGAATCGAAAACACAACATTTAATTATTTTGAATCACGCGTCATTTCGATCGGGCACTTATTCTTAAGGCATAACTTACAAAGCTTGCAATGTAACAACACGACGTTATGGTTTATGGCACACACTGGATAAGGGCAAGCCCGAGGCGAAACTTAAAAAAGGCAAGCCTTCTACAAGGTGGGAGGAATCCAGATGTAGCCATGTGTTTGTACATAACCGGCTTTTTCTAGCAGCGCATCGGCTTCTGCAGGACCCCGACTGCCTGGTTTGTATGGAAGCGGCTTTAAATCACCATTGTCAATTCTGTGCAGAAGAGGCGTGAAGATTTCCCAGGCCGCCTGATGCGTATTAACACAATAAATCGGTCAAAAGGGAAAATGGCAATGTGCCAAGAAAATAAGTGCACAATGTAGTTACCTTCAACTCATCTCTGCGTACAAAATGTTGCTGATCGCCTCTTATTCTGGAAAAAACAAAAAACATATTCCCTTTGTTATGCTTGAATAATCAATGGTAAGATAAAATATTAAAAATCAGTTGTTTGTATCTTATGTATTATTGTTGCACGGGTCACTTCCTTGCATCCTATGTATTTGTTATTCACATGGTTTAGATATGTAATCCCTCTTTTAACATGTACCAGCCCTTCAAGTTGACTGGACTTCAACAGTTATAAACAAAAGCAGCATATGGCTGTAATATGAAAGATTCTAGAAATAGAAAGGCAGTGGACATACGTATCAAGAATTAGACGCTCATAAGCCTCTGGGATCGTTACCCCTTGATATCGTTGCCCATATGACAAGTCTAATTCACTTTGGACAGTCGACATCTCCAGTCCAGGCTGCTTGACCTGCATAACAGACATTGAGCTAGTAAGTGAACGTGATGAAGACAAAGGAATCTCCTAGCTTTTCTCTGCTTAATGAACATGACAAATAAAGCCTGGGTTTCTATTACTTGGATTTTCAGAAACTTGTGAAGTATTCCAACACTATTGAGCAGGATTCAGATTATTGTTCAGAACTTTCTCTAAAGTTGATTAGTAATTTAACAGGAAACCAAGCACCATATGAAGGCTTTGTCTGATACTATGCACATCAGATCTGGAGATATCAGCTAAAAAATATCGTTATTGGACTCGGCAGTGAACGCATTACCGTAAGTTTCATGTACATGGCTTCTGAAGGTTGCAAGCGTATTACAAACTCATTTCTCCCTTGCTTCTTACCTAAACAATGAGGTAATAGTGAACCAAATAAGGAATTTATAATACTACCAAAAACAAAATATGGAGTGCAAAAATGTACCAACAACATATCGAATAATAAAGCTCTGTGTCTTACATTTGAATATGTCACCAGGCACATCCTTAAATTGAACTCTTATTTCTGCCTTTCTTGAATTTAATGCTTTCCCAGCCTTTAGTATAAAAGGAACACCTGAAGAAAATAGTGTTGATGGTGAGTAAGTTCAATGCATAATATAAATTCATATAACGACCATTATCATTAATCATCTCCAATGCAAGACTACTTCCCAAATGGGAAATTACTTCCAATGAATTTTGAAAGTTACCATACCTTCCCATCTTTCATTGTGGATCCGCAGAACCACAGTTGAAAAAGTGGGAGTGTTTGAGTGGTCAGGAACAGTTGGATCATCCCTATAGCCATCATATTGTCCAAGAACAACTTCATCGTCCTCAATTGGTAGTACTGATTGAAGAACCTAAAATGTAAGTTCATTAATCATCAAGTGATACAAAAAGGAATTTGGGAACTAAGAGCACATATTATGAAAGAACATTATATGTCATATACGGTGACAGGTCAAATTGTTTTTATTTTTTGTTTCTTCTGCAAACCTGTTAATATAATTGTATGATGCCTTACCATATAGAAAGTATTTCATCATAAATGAATTGAGATGTGCATACCTTCACTTTCTCGTCCCTGATATGCTCAGGTTTTAGGGAAATAGGCTTTTCCATGGCAACTAAGCAAAGAACCTGCAGAGAAAATTAGGTATAAAGAAATCAGGTGAAAATTTAAATGCCTTTTTTCCTGGTATGAAGGTTCCTTGGGAGAGAAGGTTGGAAGAAATTCTGATGCATAAAGGTTGTAGACAATTTGGAGATGGGGCCACAATACATAAGGTATACCAACCAATTTTATATAAGTTCTCATCACAAGAGTTTGCATACATTCTTAGTTCTTAGATCTCAAGAAAATTACAACTCTGAAACAAGTAAACTAATTGATATTCAGAGTTATTTTAAACTATTGATTCCTCGAAAATAAAGATATAAATAATATTGTATAGATGGAATTGCTAATAACGTCAAATATACCTCGAACTTAATACCAAGGTCTTACCTGCAATAGATGATTTTGAATAATATCGCGGATAATTCTGCACGAAAAAGAAAACAGATTAGTTAGTGCATCCTAATTATATTTCACAGATAAAAACCAGATACATTAACAACATAAACTTTTTTCCCCATAGACAGCAGGAAATATGGATGCTAGTAACAAAGATTTAAAAAACTCAAGATAATTTAACAATACACAACATTTATAGAGGATGAAATCATTCTTTTTCAGTACTGCTTAAGGAACAAACTGGCACAAAAGCACTGTGAAGCATACCCATATTCATCAAAATATCCACCTCGACCTTCAGTTCCAAAATCCTCCCTAAACACAATCTGCCAAATAAACAGAATTTAAAAATTAAAAGAGGGGATGAAATTTACTGCATCCTAAATGTCTGGAGGTACCACCTGTACTCTATACATTGTCAATGTTATACTGACACCCAAACATCAGCACTGAAGGAAGGATTCTCACCTGTACATTTTCAATGTTGTCTCGGTTCCAGAGGGGCAAAAAAAATCGATTTGCAAACCGAAGTACTAACTGCAAATTTACATATGAATAAAGTATAAGCCTATTTTATTAATATTAATAACCAGCAACGTCTATGCAAGTCTATGCAGATATTATAATAATACCAGATTCTGCACCAATTCCTTCCCCAAATAGTGATCAATACGGTAAATTTGTGATTCTTCGAACAACTCCCCAATCTGGGTACTGAGTTGCTCTGCAGATTGCAAATCCTTGCCGAAAGGCTTCTCAACAACAATACGAGTCCATCCACCAAGATCAGCTGAAATGATTATAAGCAGACATTTGTAAAGGTTAACACTAACCTGTCATTTAATTTCATTCTGGAACCCTTTAATGCCAACATGTATGATTGCTTGAATCGGGTATAAAAAGAAAAGCTAATTGAAGTTATCCATGTGAATACAGCACGTTTGAAACCTAAATAGTATTGGAAAAAAGCTTACTTTTATTCATGCAACAATGCCTGATCATCCTGCAGACAGAAGGATATACTGATGGAGGAAGTGCAAGATAAAAAAGCCTGCGGGATAATCCATCCACACCATTTCTTGAGACTTCAGTCTCTGAAATTTCTTTATCAAGCAGCCGAAACCCCTCCTCAGTGTCATAAGAACCACTTACATATTTGATCTATAAGGAAAAATTATCAAGCAACTGAATATCTGTACAGGAATTAAATTATATGGATGGAATTATTGAAAAATGTTGCACAAGGCACTAACCAGTTGCAAAAACTTGGTTACATCTTCCAAGTCCTTTGGTGAAGCTCCTTTGTCCCGGACAAGATATCTGCAGTCATTATCAACCATCAAATACCTCTCATTATACAGCAGTAAAAGAAAATGAACCTAACATTGGTTAAAGTGACCAAAAAGAAGCGTGAAGTTAAGGACTGTAGTAGGAAACTTAACCATTTCCACTCATATGAATGGAAATGGACTTGCGAAAATAATGTACGGGGAAAATCGTAGGCAAGAAAGCTCACCCACGTATGCGGTTTCTTAGCTCATCATCTGAAATCTTAGTCCTTGCATAGCCAAAAATGTGAACTTCATTTGGTTGCAGAAATCCCTAGAGAAGAGCACACCCAAAAACAAAGTCACTATCACAGATTCACAGTGCATGGTTTGACAGCATATTCTACGCAATCCTTGATAAGCACTAAGGAATGTGTTATCAAACTTTAAGGACAACTATAACTTGGATATAGTAACCAAAGAGTGTTAGGGGTTTGTTGCGATTCATGTATGTTCATGATCAATCATATTAATTAAGCATGGCAATAAACGAAGTTCAAAAGAAACCTGCTGAAAAAGGTTGAAGAGTGCTGGAAAAGTCTTCTTCTTGGCAAGATCACCAGAAGCGCCAAGCACGATGATTGAGAGAGACCCATTTTCAAGCACATGCTCAACATCTTTCACCGGCTCATTTTTAAAACTATCTCTTCTCTCCATGTGCCATGATCCCGATCCCATTTTCTAAGCTGTACAAGCAGCTCAAAGCTATTCCACAGAGCTAAACCGTAGTTCGATCAGAGGCAGCTCGTGATCTACATGAAAATCAACCAAAGTCAATGTGGCAATTTTTGGCAGCGAAAAAGCATTGGAGATTGAGCTCCTTTCTTGCAACCCACTAATTACAATCAAAGTAATTTGCTTTCCTCGGTTTTGTTGGCACCCAAAATATGAATTCAAAAATTTATATATCAAAATTTCCCAACAAAGAACTTTTCAAAACCAAATTGCTCGTTTCATTATAGAAAATGGAATTGGAAATTGAAAAAAAAGAACAAAATAGAAGCTTGAGAGGCATATAACACATATCAAAATTGAAAAAATTGATCTAAGATATCGACAAGCGATCAAAACTGAGTGAGCATATCTACTAAGAAAGCAAAAATTACGAACCTGATCAAGCAGAGCAGATCGAATGCGCAGCAAATTAAGATTGCGATGCTGTGAAAAACTAGTAGAAGAGAAAAAGATAGTACGAGAAGTCAAAAAGTGCTTTGAATTCTAAGTGGGAAGTAAGGTTGGGGTTGGTGGTTGTTGGCGTTTCTTTTTATATATAATTTTTCTCTATGGCAAGTCAGACGCTATGTCGTCTATTCGTTCTTACCGGCCGCCTAATTTGACAGGGAGATTTTCGATGAGTTGATTTCCTTCTACGTCATCCCCCACCCTGCGTTTCCGCTTATTTCTATTTTCGCCACATCGTTCGTTCATTCGGTTCGGGTAAATATTAAAAGGGCTAAAAATGGAAATATAAGGCTGGCTTATACAGTTTATAGGATTAAATTTGTTCAAACAATAAAGCGTTGGTACTAGAAAACACCTCTCATGTTACATGAGCGCGTATAAAGATGCTAGTATTAATTATTCAAGAATAAAATTTTAATTTTGTTCATTTTATATTAAAAAAGAAAATTTATTTACAAAAACAGAAGATAAATATTCAAATTTGAAATCTCAATGTAATAAAGAAAGATAATTCGAACTCAAGACCTCAAATTAATAAAGCTAAACACCTCCACATATTTGTTTATAGTTTTTATAATATTAGCTGTTTAGATTTCACCAACTATAACACGAAAATATTTTATTAAAACATTAATAAAAAAATATGTATTCAATATAGAACAATAATATGTCAAAAGGCAAAATTGGCATGAATCACGAGAATAAAAGAAAATTATTACTACCTTACCTAACTATGATGTTTGCATCATATAAAAAAATTTGGAAATTATTAGGGTTGTTATGGGAAATTACTTGTATAAAAAAAATTAATAAAAGGAAAATAACTTGTATATGATAAGAGAGATACAACAACATTAGACAATGAAGTTTCTCTCATTGTTTCATTATTTAAAGAATTTCATAAAAATTCCTCATATTTTATTAAATATTTTGTGTTTAGGATTGAAAGTTAAATCTATATATGCAAAGCAAAAAGACAGAATGATAAAATATTTAAAATATTAAAAATGCCATTGGTTAATGCAAACATTAAAAATTGAAATTATTAATTAAATGAGGATAATATGCTAAATTCACACAATTTTATATTTAAAAAAATTTAAAATGAAAAGAAAAATCATTATTAAATTAACATGTGACCTTCCACATGCAATCACATGCGGAACACGTGTCACGTCACGGGCGTGTGATAGAAGCCTCCGTCCCGCAATTCATATATTACCGTCCCCGCCATTTCTCATGTCTTTACAATCTCACTCGCGCCTTTTTCTGTTGCAGACACACAATGCTAAAACTAAGCCTCTGCCATCTTGTACCGCAGCGCATCTTAGCACTGGGGTTTTGCAAAACTCCAACCTCTCTGAAACCCTAATTGCTAATTCTAAACCAGCCCCAGCAGGAGTCTCACACTCAATCCTACACTCTCGAACTTCAATTCGCACACGTGTAATTAGGGTTAGGGTTTTTGTTTTTCGAAAAATTTTCACGATGGGGAACAAGGTTACCGAGGAACTGTTGTCTACCGTCCGAACAATTGTCGGCTCGGCATACTCGGACATGGACATAATCAGAGCCCTGCACATGGCCAACAACGACGTCACCGCCGCAATCAACATAATCTTCGACACGCCCAGTTTCAAATCGAAAGAAAGATCAGGTTTTCCAAAGAAGCCCAAACTTTTGAGCTCCGATGTCGTGAATTCGAACCAGAATGGAGGTCAGAAGAGTAATTGCTCATTGGAGAACGAAGGAAATGGTGGTAGATGTCCCAGTAATTCAGGTGATGACGTTGTTGAAGATGTTGCTCGGTGTGAGAGCTTGATGGGGAGCGAGTGGTGGTTTGTGGGCTGCAGCGAAGTGGCCGGTCTATCAACGTGTAGAGGTAGGAGGATCAAGGCTGGAGACGAAGTGGATTTCACTTTTCCGTTAAAGAGCAGTTCGATTTCGCCGTCTCCCGGCAAGGGTTTTGGGAGGGGACGTCAGGTTGCCGCTTGTTCAGAGATTGTGAGGTTCTCAACAAAAGATTCGGGAGAGGTAAATTTTTGGAGAATTGGGAATGCGATGTAATTGGTTGGCTATTTATAATTTGATTTATTGTGTTTGAATTAATGGGTTTTGGTAGATTGGTCGAATACCTAAGGAATGGGCTCGGTGTCTATTGCCAATTGTGAGGGATAAGAAGATTAGAATTGAGGGGCATTGCAAATCTGCTCCTGATATCTTGAGCATTATGGACACCATTGTTTTGTCAATAAGGTATACTCTTCGTGAAGAAATATATTTTGAATAATTTATTAGCTGCCCATTTGGAAAATTCGTGACAGTTCTGAATGCAAATCCTTTCTAGGACTGTTGCATGATTTGTATTGGTTGAGTAATGTTTATGGTTAATGACTTTTATTTTTTTAATGGGGTTGATTCAGCGTGTATATCAATAGTTCAATGTTTCTTAAGCAAAACAAGACCTCGCTTAAGGCAGCGAATAACTCCACGGAGGAAACAGTGGTTCCTCCTCTCCCAACATTGTTCCGGTTGCTAGGCCTAACTCCTTTCAAGAAGGTGATCATTTTTATAATGACTTGTGGACCCTCTTATGGAAATTCTGTATATGGCATTGCTTTAAACTTCTTTCTTTTTGTTCAGAGGTGGTGATGTTGTCATTCCTTTATTTTTTTAATAGGCAGAATTCACTCCCAGTGACTTGTATACGAGAAAGCGCCCTTTGGACCCAAAGGTATTGACACGACAATTACTGTTATCTATTCTAATTGTGTTCTCAGGATTTCATTGCGTAATTTTACCTGAACAGGACAGTTCTGGGCTTTGTGCCCCAATGCTACTTGCCAATAAGCCTAAAAACCCTGGTAGAAATGGAGGTGAAGTTGAAAATGAGGAGTCCATTTCAGATGCTGACCTTGATAACATTGTTGGTGTTGGAGACAGCTCTCAGCTAGAGGTATTGTGACTTATGCAAGCATCTTTTTACATGCATGGAGCTTGCTCCTGAATAGAGCTGAAAAATCACCAAGGAAGTATTGTATTTCAGGAAATGGATCCTCCAAGCACACTTCAGTGTGAACTTCGTCCATACCAGAAGCAGGCTCTCCATTGGATGATCCAACTGGAAAAAGGACAATGCATCGATGAGGGGGCAATGACTCTTCACCCTTGTTGGGAGGCATATCGTCTTGCAGACAAGTATGTTGGGCTGTTAACCTTGGATTATGCTGCCTTATGATTCAATATTTATTGGGGTGTTTTGCATATAGGAGAGACCGTGTTATCTATTTGAATGCGTTTTCTGGGGATGCAACAACAGAATTTCCAAGCACACTTCAAATGGCCAGAGGAGGAGTATGTCTCAAGTTGGCTCAAACCTTAATTAAATATTTTTTCAAACTTTATTTTTATGTGTTGATTGTATTGCCTTTATCGTGCATTTGAAGATTCTGGCTGATTCTATGGGCTTGGGGAAGACCATTATGACAATAGCACTCCTTCTTGCTCATTCAGGACATGGATTATCAGGTAGTCACCCTACAAGCCAGTCCTCCAGTGAAGATATTGAAATTAGTGACATTTCAGACCATTCCCCATCAAACCTATCAAAGAAGGTCACAAGCTTTTCAGGATTTGATAAGTTTATGAAGCGAAAAAAACACCCTTGCAGATGGTGGCAGTTTGATTATATGTCCTATGACTCTTCTAGGCCAGTGGAAGGTAGTTTTTGTCACTTTGAAGAACACCAATTGTAGTTCTGCATACTTACACCTGCTCTGAAAGTTGGTACTTGCGCCAGTATCAGAGTGTTACGTGCACAGTGATAAGGATTCTATATTTGGGAGTTAATATAAACATTTGAGTTTGTTGTCAGGCAGAGATTGAAACTCATGCGCAACCTGGATCTTTATCGGTATATGTTCATTATGGGCAAAGTAGGCAGAAGGATGCAAATTTTTTAGCTCAAAGTGATGTTGTAATCACTTCATACGGAGTGTTAGCCTCAGAATTTTCTGCAGAGGTAATCTAAACATCTCCTATTTGTATATTGTGCAAATTTTATTAGTTATACATTTCTTTACAGAAGATGAATTTGTGCATCTTTCTTTCTTTCTTTATACTTTCCCCACTCTCTCCCTACATCTAGAATCCTAAGGACAATGGGGGACTTTACTCGGTTAGTTGGTTTAGAGTGGTTCTTGATGAGGCGCATACCATAAAATCCTCTAAGAGCCAAATTTCTGTTGCTGCTGCTGCTTTAGTTGCTGGTCGTCGATGGTGTCTTACCGGCACACCAATACAGGTGAAGTATTTTATCAGAAATTTATGTAAAGACATCGTGTGGTTCTAGAAAGTTCTTCCTTTTGTGAGAAGTAAATTCATTGTATGTTTTATTATGTATCTAAGTTTCAAGTAAAGGGAGAATCTCTCCCAACATTCTCAATTCCTTGAAGGAGGCTATTTACTGTCTTCATAGCATAGTAAAAACCCTGATTTTTTTAATGCGGTTCTCTGTATTGGGATGAATATTTTATTCTTTGAGATAGGAAATTTTATTAATTTTTAGAGGTTCATTTTGTTATGTTTCTTGACATTTATTTTTGTTGCCGTAGAACAACCTGGAGGACATTTACAGTCTTCTTCGGTTTTTGAGGGTTGAACCTTGGGGAAACTGGGCATGGTGAGTTCTATTTTCCTTTTCCAAATGGAACATATGTAGTGTGATGTGGATGCAAAGATTTGAAATTTGAATCATTTGTCAAAGTTTTAGAATCTCACAATTGTATGTGAACACAAACTTTAATTTATCTCTGATTCTTCCCCTTTGAGTTGTAGCATGAATACTGTCTGATTTATCTACTCCCTATATAATTCAGGTGGAATAAACTCATCCAAAAACCTTTTGAGGAGGGTGATGAGAGAGGGTTGAATTTGGTTCAATCCATCTTAAAGCCAATCATGTTAAGGAGAACCAAGTTCAGCACAGATCGCGATGGCAGGTGAATTAACGGCCCAAGAACGTTATTCATTTCAAATTTTATTTTTGGATCCTAAAGCTTTTTGTTTGTTGCAGGCCAATTTTAGTCCTTCCCCCAGCTGATATTCAGGTGATTTACTGTGAACTCACAGAAGCTGAAAAAGACTTCTATGAGGCCCTCTTTAAAAGATCAAAGGTATATTCGGATTTCCCTGATTGCCGGTTCTTTTGATCTATTGTATAATGCAGTATCATTAACAAGTCTATTTTAATTATCAGGTGAAATTTGATCAATTTGTGGAGCAAGGACGGGTTCTTCATAATTATGCATCCATATTGGAGTTACTTTTACGTCTTCGCCAATGTTGTGATCATCCGTTTCTTGTGATGAGGTGTGTGTTAACCCCCCTTTTTTTCCACTTATTGGATTTACGGTAAATGAGTAAAAATGCAGAGTGGAAAATGTCTCAAGTTCATACAACTAAGCGTTAGGCTTGTTTGATTTGTTCAGTCGAGGTGATACACAAGAATTTTCTGACCTGAATAAGCTAGCTAGGCGTTTCCTTAAAGGCAGCCAGAACTCTTTGGAAGGGGAAGCCAAAGATCTGCCTTCACGGGCTTATGTTCAAGAAGTTGTAGAAGAAATGCGTAAGGGGGAACATGTAGAGTGTCCAATATGTCTTGAAGCCTTTGAAGATGCAGTGTTGACACCTTGTGCTCACCGCTTATGCCGTGAATGTCTCTTGGCAAGTTGGCGGAATTCAGCTTCTGGTTTATGTCCTGTGTGTAGGTATATTTAAGTATTACCTTAGTATCTCAATTTTATCTCAAGCCAAGGTTTATTTTATGTTCTTCGTGAAGTTTTTATATTGAAAGTTACTATTTTAGTCTTAGAGTTTAACAGTTTCTCATTACAGGAAGAACATGAGTAAGCAAGATCTTATTACAGCACCAACTGAGAGTCGATTCCAGGTTGATGTTGAGAAAAACTGGGTGGAATCATCCAAAGTTAATATTCTTCTGCGTGAACTTGAATCTCTTCGCTTGTCAGGCTCAAAGAGCATTGTCTTCAGCCAGTGGACAGCTTTTCTGGACCTCTTGCAGATCCCTCTTTCTCGGTAAAAAATTACCAGATTTTTAAATTTTTAAAAAAAGTACATTAGTTGTGTGAGTGCATGACTATGCTGAAGCAAGGACAGTACATGTGATGTAATGAAGCAATCCTCTTTCCACCATGTGCTGTTTGTGTTTGAGTTATATTATCCTGGTAATTTGCTGCTCGAGAGTTTGATTAATTTTTTTTAAAATTTTCCAACTAGGAGTAACATTCCATTTCTTCGCCTTGATGGGACGCTGAATCAACAGCAGCGTGAACAAGTGTTAAAACAGTTTTCAGAAGATAGCGACATTCTGGTTTTAACTGCTGACTTCATCGTATTCTATTTTGTTTAGTTTTGTTCCTGGTGTGTATTATTTTATTCTAGTAAACAGTTTAGATGTAACCGTTGGAGCTGGTTGTTGTATCAGGTGTTACTAATGTCACTGAAGGCAGGAGGAGTTGGAATAAATCTAACGGCAGCATCAAATGCCTTTGTCTTGGTATGCATACAATTGAGATTTTGAAGATAAATTTGTGATGGGGTAAACTTACAATTGTTGTAATGCAATGTTTGTAGGATCCATGGTGGAATCCAGCTGTGGAGGAACAAGCTGTCATGCGTATTCATCGTATTGGTCAAACAAAAAGGGTGATGATCAGGCGGTTTATCATGAAGGTCCTTTTTCTTATCTGATAAATTTTAATGTCTTATTTCTTTATAATGGACTGGGTCGGGTGGCTCTTACTAAGTATTGGAATTTCAAAGGGCATCATCGCCCATGAATGTGACGGCATTCACCCTTCTGATTGGTGTTATATTACTTGGATGTTCATGGATGGCAGGGAACGGTTGAGGAGAAAATGGAAGCAGTACAAGCACGTAAGCAGCGACTCATTTCGGGTGCTTTGACTGACCAAGAAGTTCGAACTGCTCGCATAGAGGAACTAAAGATGCTTTTTACTTGAAAGCATTGGAGAAAATTATTAACTGTTCATTTATGTCACTTTTTCGGATGGGTTTGAGCACTAAGAGATCCTCATATGGAAATGTTTAAACCCAGAAAGATGAGACGAGATGCTTCTTCCGAGTTGCAGGACTTCAAGGGAGGTTGGTTGAGGCTAATTTGTAATTAAGCCGACAAAATTTGAATTTCTGCCGAGTCGAATCCAAGGACGGTCAGAGCTTGGGCTGTGCAGGGTCGTTATTTTTGCAAGCTGCTTCTAAAGGCGGGTTGGTTTACAGGAAGGATCGAAAGAAGTTAGCACATCCAATCCAATCCAAATGTAGTTTTGATATTGTTAGGATCGTGGCACTGCTATTTAATGGCAGTAAAGTTATTTCAAATCATAGGAATCCTCTGGATTATTCCTTCACAGTTTCTTTGTATAGATTGTTTTATGTATTTATTTAGTAACGTTTGCATCACATTGTTACATTGTACCCGGGATCAAGGTTCCGCTGCCATCGCTGCAAAACATAATCAGTGAGATTTGTATAAAATCAGTTATTGATGACCACACCAACGATAATATAGAATTGGAGCAAATTGTCTCTCCGATTTGTAAAAGAAATCAATTTGGCTACTCATGGTAAACCTATTATGATACAAAAAACTATCACATTTGTTTTTCTGAGACAGTAAAATTAAATTTATCAAGAGAAGGGACAGGAGTAAAGGATATATGGCCAACAGACAAAAGCAGATTAGGCGGCTAGACCTTCAAAATAGAAAATTCATAGTTTATAGCCGTGCGGCTATACTCTTTAAATATATCACCAACAATAAAAACATGGATTTATGTGTAGCAAAAATATGGATTTATAGTGTCATATTTGCCCTTAAATATATTCGAATATTTAAGTAATTTATGAAATCATTAAAATATTTAACTATTAACTAAATAATAATAATTAAAATATAATCTATATATATATATATATAAAGCAAAAGGCAGAGAATTGTGAAACATTCAAAATACCAGAAAATGCACTTGGGTAATTCAAACATTAAGAATTGAAATTATTAATTAAATGAGGATAATATGGTAAATTCACATTTTTTTCATATTTAAAAAATTAAAAATTAAAACAAAATCAGATAATAGGTCCTATTTTTATGGAACATAACTACTCATATTATATTTTCTTAATTTTAAAAATAAAATAAAATAATAAAAATAAAACCAATTGGCACATGCGTGAGCATGTACCAAAAGGGCTAGTATATATAAAGCAAAAGGCAGAGAATTATGAAACATTCAAAATACCTGAAAATGCCTTTGGTTAATGCAAACATAAAGAATTGAAATTATTAATTAAATGAGGATAATATGGTAAATTCACACTTTTTCATATTAAAAAAATTAAAATTAAAAAGAAAAATAAGATAATGGATCATATTTTTATGGAATACAACTACCCATTATCTTTTTCAATTCTAAAATAAATTTAAAATTTTATAAAAAAAAATAGCCTCTTGCAGTCGCTGAAGTGCGTGTAGAGAGGCTAGTTATTAATTAAAATAATTAAAAAAGGGTAAGATCTTACTTAATTACATATATTAAACAAAAATAGTTGGCAAAAAAGAGAGTAAAGAAACTAATTTCAAATAAAATAAAATAAACCTCTCCCGATGAATGATTTTGTCGATAGAGATCTACGCTGGCAAACATTTTCCGAATAAGACTTCTCCTGATGAATGTTGGCCGGTATAGGTCCATGATATTGCTAATCAAAGTAATTAAAAAAAAAGCTAAGATATTACTTAATAACATATTATTAAACTAAAGAAGTTGGCAACAACGAAAAAAGAGTAAACAAAAACTAATCCGTCAATATCAACTAAAGAAAGTAATGCTTTTAATCAAATGTCACGGACTCACGGGGATATCAACTCAGCAAGTCCAATTTGGGCTTGAATTCATGGGGATATAATAGGAATTCATTAATAAGATTAAAATGAAATGTTTTCAAGTCACAAAACACACTGTTTCATTAAAAGGATTTCATTCCCCAAATTCAAAACGGGCGTCGTTTCATTTGGAATTATCAGAAAGAAAACCAGGGCGCAGTGGTCATCGTCTTCACAAGAACTGCACCTCAGGCAGCCTCAGTTGCAGCTGCAAAAGATTTTCCGGCTAGGGCTGCACCTTCTTGCGCCTTAATAGGTCTGCCAGTAACAGCTTTGGTTTGTAGCAATGGGAACCAAGGGCAGCTTGTGTTTTGCAAACAGCATGGAGCCGCTATAAAAGAGAAGCTTCAAAAGTCTCCCAGATTGGCTAAAGAGGGTAGTCTTTCTGCCACTGATCACCATGCTGTCTCAGAAACACAGCATAAGTAGGTATGGCTGATAAACTATTAAAGCATTGATGTAATTCAGGCAGTGTTCGAAAAATCGGCCTATAGGCGGAAGGACACTGCTGACCAAACATGTTAAGCTACGGCTTCAACATTGTTATCAAGCCATTTTGTTTCAGAGTGCCTGCTCATTTAACCAGCCAGTGTTTGAAAAATCGACCTAGGAGGCGCCTAGGCGGCTGCCCAGAGGGTTTTTATGGTGGCTCTTTTATTTCTCCTATTTTGATGATTTTAGATTCACATGTTAAGCTATGGCTTCAACATTGTTATCAAGACATTTTGTTTCAGAGTGCCTGCTCATTTAACCAGCTAGTGTTTGAAAAATTGGCCTAGGCGGCCGCCCAGAGGGTTTCTATGGTGGCTCTTGTATTTCTCCTGTTTTGACGATTTTAGATTCACATGTTAAGCTATGGCTTCAACATTGTTATCAAGGCATTTTGTTTCAGACTAGCTGCTCATTTAACCAGTCAGTGTTCCAAAAATCGGCCTGGACGGCACCTAGGCGCTGGGCGCCCGCCTAGGCGGCCTGGGCGTGTCTGGGTGGGTCTGACTCGGAAAAATGAGATGATGATGATGCTATGAGCGAGAGAGAGAGATGAGGATTGAAGAAGAAGATAGGTCGCGGGTTATGTCTGAGGGAGAGAGAGGAGACAGCTCGGGTTAGACTTAGGGTTTGAGAAGGAAAATTGCATTTTTATGTAAAAGGAGAGATGGGCTTCCTTTGGACATCTTGCGGCCAGCCTATACCTCAAAGAAGGAACACCTTCCAGTTGCAGCCAAAACGAAAGACAGACAAAAGAGCCCTCCTCCCGTATGCATGGTTCGTGGACCTTCCTGTTCCCGTTCCCATTCCGGAAGTGAGTAAGCTTGCTTGGGATCATGCACCTCACTCGGAATAGCAATGAGTTAATAAGAGAAATCTGGTCTGGGCAAGAGGAATCATCTCTTTTTGCATCAACCATTATCTCATTTGCATCAACTGCTCCATAACTGCAGAACGTGATTGGCTAAATTGTTCATAAGTAAATAAATAAATCAAGCTACCTAATATTTTGAATGAATTTTGTTCTTTATTTCTTTCTTGGCAGCGAACGCATCAGGGGGAAAGATTATTTGACTTGTTCTGTATTCAGTCAGGTTCAAGATTATTTGGTTTTATTGGTGGTAGTGCCACACTTGGACAGTTTGTTGGGTCATTGTTTACCATGTATGTTTGCTTATTCAGTCTCTTGGAATTTGATATTTGCTGTGTGTGTGTGTGTTGTGTTTGTTGTTCTTAGGATGAGCTTTTGTTATATAGTTGTTGTTTTGTCTAGTTTTTAAAGTAATTAACATGAGATATGCTGTGCAGAATGTTTGCTTATGCTTACTGAATAGCTTGTTGCATGTTTGCAGCTGTTTTTAAGTTTATCACCTTTCAGCTTTCCTGCTGAAGGCAATTTATGGGTCCTATCAGTAAAGAAAGAAAGCTAGTCTCATGCCAGGGATATGTTTCTATTTCTAGACATCCTAAGAAATATTAAATATAATTGAAGCAAATCAGGGAGCATTTTTACAGAAGTAGAAGCTATAAAATAATGAAAGCAGAAGTCAAAAGAGACAGGTCCTTATGCATGTCATCAATAATAGAACTATCCTGTTAGACAACCTCAAAATTATACTGTAACAAAACTATGATTCCTTTGAGAGAGAATAAGCATTCATGAACAAGCATAAAAAAATGAAGATGTTACCAACTATTTTGAATAATTATTTCAGTCGGGGTCCAGATATTTAATTGAGAATAAATCAAAACCAGAGGAAGGGAAACCAAAAATTGTTTATGGAAAATGCATTTGGCAACATTAAAAATGAAACAGAAATGGAAGCACAGAATTTACTTCAGCAGCATCCCAAAGTCGCACAGTTGTGTCAAATGAAGAAGTTGCCAACTGAGTTGAATTTGGTCTAAATCAAACATCAGTAATTATCAAGGAATGCCCCTCTGGTGTGCTTGCAGTTTGGAGTGTTTCCATATTCCAGACAACAACCTACTGACATGAAAAAACGAAAGAAAATCATTCACATCATTCCTTTTCTCATGAATATTGAAATTTGGATAACTTAGGATTATCTAGTCGTTTGAATCAATTGAAGTCACTAATTTGTTGAATTCCAAAGTAAAAGTTTCAGACCATCTCAAAATAGCATCAATCTAAAACGAGTTCTGTTACAATTATCAGATAACAAGTACCTAAACCCAATCAGTAAATCAACTACTTAGCTTACAACAAGACTTGAACCTGGGCTCTGCCCCTTCCCCATCCAACCCCAATGCCACCTGAGTTGGATCATGGGCATTTGATAAATCAACAATTGTTTTGCACCATTTCTCAAACCTTCTGATTATTTGATTGTGGATAAGGCAAAATCAAACAGGGTCAATTTGAGTTTGCGCAACTATAGCACCATGGAAGAATCAGGAACACCACAGATTCTCTACTTATATATATATATATATATATATCAGTTCTTCTCCTATGCGGACGTTCGGACGTTATTATCGTGCAGATGCCATTGTCAACAGTGAGGAAAGGAAGGAGGGGTGAACCTTGGTTTCCAGGGTTGGACAAATCAAAGAGAAAACAGGACATAGCCTCTTCTTCAGGGTTGGTGCTGGGAAGGTCATTGTTCATCAGCTCTAAGCCACTCCTTGGTTTCCATAAATTAGGGTGAACCTTGGGAGTTGCCTGCATTCAATCAATGTCATCAGAATCAATTGACCAACTATCGCTCTCATTTCAATTTCAAAAGGAAAGAGATGAGAAATCTAACAAGCAGTAAGATTTACTCTCTTTTTTTCTCCTGTTTTTTAGCTGGCATGTATGTTTGGTGACTTAATGCATTATAGAATGCAGTGTTAGTTATTCATATAGAATGCAGGCTCAGAGTTAGAGTCTATAAGAAATTATGATTCTTTGTTGTGTTAATAAAATATTAAGCTTCTTTATTCATAATTTTGTCTTTTGGCAATATAGGTTTTTCTTAATTTAAAATAGGTCCCTCTGTAGTTGAGGTGTTGGTAGTGACTTCTGATCTCATGAGTTTGATAAGAGTAGAAATTGCCCTGCTTTACTAATGCCGGTTACGAGAAGTTAATCCTATAGACCAAAGAAATACTGTTTGAGGTTTAGAAAGATTTAATTTTGAATCTGGTTATTTCTTCTAAATCCTTTGATTGGCTTTTCAATGCAATTAGTCGTATGGCATACAGTTCATATTCAAATTACATAGGTATTTTATACAAGTATATACATTTGGAATTATATGAACTTGTCTACAAAACAAATATTTGAAGCAGATTTTGGGATCCTTTTGGATAAACAAATATACAAACTGATATTTGGTGCAACCTTAATGGAGACTTGAGAATAAACTTTGAGGTAAAACTGGTGGGACTAATGTGATATGATGATGAACCGAAATCAGTAATGAAATTTTAATACTGACCTGATTTGTAAAGAGCCAAATGTGTGTAATAATTTAGGAATGCTGCAGCCATTTGACAACCAAAACAAATAAGCTAATGTTTTGATAGATGCATCCATGGACATTGTCTTTTACTGATTTCATTTACTTTTTGCCTTGCTTTGCATGCCAAATTGTTTGATATTTACATCTGATATGCAAGTTAATCACATGATGCATGCATTTTGCAGCTTCAGCAGTAGGACCTTTCTACAAGGAGATCCGTTTCTTGGAATTTTCAGGACTCTTGATCTTTTATCCCCTCTGTTGGTTACGTTGATGGTTTGTTTTCTCTATGCAAAGGAGAATTTGCAAGGCACACAAAAACACCACAGCACAATGATGTGCCATGCTCAGTTTTGTTTTGGCGAGGATGGTAGAGTGTCCATGTGAAAAGTTTGACACAACAGGTTCCTTATGCAACAACACATATAAAAGCGAATCAGGAGATGATTGCAGGTCAAAGCCAAAAAGGTGGCCGGCCTATCATCTCTGTTTTACATTTGTGATGTTGCAACTAACAGACGGTCATTCCTAAGGGAAAACCTCCTAGAGATAGTGTGACCAGTTGAAGAATACTTAGCTTGCAGAATTTTCAAAAAGAACCTTATCTTTCTTGAAATCAATTGTAAAATATGCAGGCTCAATTGTGAAATCATTGTTCATCAGCTCTAAGCCACTCCTTGGTTTCCATAAATTAGGGTGAACCTTGGGAGTTGCCTGCGTTCAATCAATATCATCAGAATCAAATGACCAACTGTCGCTTCGGTTTCAATTCGAAAAGGAAAGAGAGGAGAAATCTAATAGGAAAGAATTATAAAGCATGTCATTCTTTACCACTCCACTAAAATTAAGGTCCTGTGGCCATTTCCAGAGAAAATGAATGCCGTTTGAGGCTAACACCAAAATGGCATCACCTCCATTTGTGTAGAACAGCCTTGATATAATGAGAAGCTACCAAAACATTTTAATGCCGAAATCTGAAACTTAAATATTGGATATTCCCATGCTTATATGCTCCCAGTGCATAGGCAGAGAAAAATTATAAATCAGTGTCAGAATTGAGAGAACTCATATTGAATTATTTATTTTTCTTTTTCTGAAAGATAGAGTACCTTCACACAAAATTGCAATTATGAATATAGTATAGCCAGGCGGCTATACTATTTATTTTATTTATAACAATTTATTTATTTTTAAAAAAGAACCGCCTAGCCCGCCTAGGCGGCTGATTTTTCGAAAACTTAAATGGCATTTTTTTTTCAGATTTCTTTTTTCCTAGCGGGTCTATTGCAATTATGAAACTTAAATATAGTATAGCCGCGCGTCTATACTATTTAAAAAAAAAAAAAAAAAAAAAAAAAACCTAGCCCGCCTAGGCGGCCGATTTTTCGAAAACTTAAATGTTTTTTTTTTTTTTTTTTTTTTTTTTTTTTTTTTTCTTTCTTTGCTGTTTGGTCCTAGCATCTCTGCAAATACATTTTGTCAATTCTTAGTGCCATAAGATGGGCAAAAGAGTAAATAAAAAACTCCCAGAGAGATGCAAGATAATATAGTTGTTGGTATCGGTGGCAGCTTCTTAGGTCCTCTTCAAACAGGTTTAGATGATTCTTTCCATTTGGTCAATTTATAACTCTATCTTGCAGTCTTGTTTACTATTTAGTGTGAGTTTCCTTGTTTACTATTCACTGGTTTGATTACATTTTGCAGATCCAGAGGCTATGGAAATAGCAAGGGGAAGGCAACTGCATTTGTAAGTACTTACGTATCAATTTTTAAGTGCTTATGCTTTCAAATTTCTTTGTGTTTATTTTTGAAAGCAATCTGTATTCTGTGTGTTGGTTGGAGTTGTGGTGTTTAACATAGCCCATATTCAGAAACTACCCTCGGTAAGCATTAAGTTTACTTATGTGTATAATACCAATATTAAACAGGAAAATGCTACATTCTTTGTATGTGTAATAAGTAAAAAATCAAAAGGGGATAATAGAGACTCAGATAATGGCCTAATAGTAATGGATAATGCTCTAAACTACTCTTATCGACAAAGGAAAATCTGGGAATTTTTTTAAAAAAAAAGTATAACCAAGCGGCTATACTCTTTAAATATATTATTTAATGAGTTCAGACAATCGGATTTATATATATATATATATATATATCTCTCTCTGTCTCTATCTCTGTCTTTGTCACCTTTTCTTGATAGACATTAAGATTTCTTTGGTGAAACCATGTTGTTGTGGTTTTTGTATACGGGGCATGGATTGTGATGTAGATATGAGCTGTGATATCTTTTCTGATTTACATTAATTTCAAGATCAACTTGATTATGTTATTTCAACTCCCATGCCAGATGGAAATCTTTGCTACAATGATCTGTTAGATGCAACTGTGCTGGTATCATTATCTCTTTACTGACATCTTGTGTTGTTTCATTAAGCTTAACTTTTTGTTATTATATATCCCTTGATGTTAACCCATGCGAAATTTGGTGTCAATGTTTGCACTTGACAGCTTTTCCAGAAGTCATATCCAAATGAAGAATTCTTTCCCGAGACACCCTCGCCTCAGAATTTGGAGGATGACGTTCCGATTAATCTAGAGGACTAATAGTATTAGGCCATTACCCGAGTCTCTATTGTCCCCCTTTGATATTCAATAATACATCCATGTTATGTACATGTCTTAAAGACTTGGTAAAGTTCACTTTTTTTTAAGGCAAACGAGCAATATTCGTATTATACATGTACATACATATTTTTCATGTTTAATACACTTATTTTTTATATAAATTTTTAATAATACACACAAATTCACGTATTATACATATAATTCTCACATATTATTGAATAAACATAATATATATTAAAAAATTTACATTAATTATATATATATTTTAATTAAATAATATAGCCACGCTTCTATAGCTTCAAAATATGTATTTAAAGATTATCGACGTGCGGCTATACTATGGTTTTTCACATGTGGGTGCCTAGCCATTAGGCGGGTCCTCTTTTTTCATATTTTTTACTTTATTAATCGTATTGCCGCACGGCTATACACGGATTTAAATTTTTTATACAGAAATAGTATAGCCGACTTGATTTTGCTAATTTTTTTTAAAAATGAATTAGTATAGCCGCTCGGCTATACCCAGCACTACTAATTTTTTTGACAAAAAACCATATAGCCGGGCGGTTATACTCGGTTTTTTATTTTTAAAAAAAATAGTATAGCCGGGCGGCGATACTCTTTTTTTATTTTTTAAAAAATAGTACAGCTGCCCGGCTAGACTCTGTTTAAAAAAATTTAAACCAAAATACTATGAAAATTTTCTATTTATAGAGTCTAGCCGACCGGCTATATTGGTAATTTAAAGCGTAAATCCACGTTGCAATAATGTGAAAATATTCTATTTAAAGGGTATAGCCGCGCCCCGGTACTGCTAAAAGTTTCTATTTATAGCGTATGGCCGCACGGCTACACGTTCAAATATTCTATTTATAGGGTATATCCGGGCGGCTATACTGTTATAATATTCTATTTACCTAGTATAGCCGCACGGCGATACTGTTAAATATTCTATTTAAAGAGTATAGCCGCCGGCGGTACTATATGAATATAATATTTAATGAGTACAGCCGCGCGGCTGTACGATTTAAATATAATAATTAAACAATACAGCCGCGACTATTCTCTTCAAATATTAGCAGTGGCCATTTCCTCAGGTATTTAAAGCATGGAAGGTAGATTTTTCTGTATTTCTCGGACCTTCTCACGTTTGGATGCCTCCTCTTTTGCAGTCCTTCCTTTATCTAGCACATCAAAATGATTGTAATGCGACTAATAAATTCATAAAGTAAAAAACAAAAAGAAATTTCCAGTGGAAAAACAGATGCAACAATAACTCACCAAGTTTCTTTGCAGACTTCCCAGTTTCCCTTTCACCTGTACAACCATTGGCTGGCTCTACTTTTGCAGAATGATTAGAACCACCATGATCCTGGGAACAAAAACAAATGCAACAGCCAAAAAAAATTGAACAATAAGTTTCTAAAACAATTAGTCCAAATGAATAAAAGAGAAACTGATTGGTACTGTGGCATCCTCATACATCCGAAAATGGCTCTTCGCTTGTTTCACGTTCTTAGCAGTGATAGACTCTGCAATGTAGGCACCTTGCTCACTGGAAAGCAAACCTTCATGAAATCGGAAACAACTTAAGTGGAAAAAAAATTGAAACAAGTCATAGAACCAAAATAAAAAATTAAGTACACTAATATATCCTAAACAAGATACGTAAATGGAGCATAGTTAACAGGAAAATTTAAATCTCCATCGATCCTGTTACAGCCCAAGAAAACCCAAAGATAAGCAAACAGATTACTGACATTTTTCCAAGACCCAAAAGATGCAAAAAGGGCCATCATATTACGCAGGAACATAGCCTAACAACAAATGATATACCCTATCTTTGCAAGCATCTAGAACAAATGAACACATCTAGAATAGAGGAGAACAGGAAGATTCAGGAACATCAAGGTTACCAAAAAAGAACAGAATTCTATTTTATTTATGTCTTTTAACTCTCTACTGTTTTTACATGTGAATTTTTTTTTAAACAAACTAAATACCGAAGGATTGAACCTTCAAAATGTATTGCAATTTCCAAAACAAAACCAAAAAAAAAAAATTGAATAAAGATCTAAATGTTCATGTCCACTTCTTGGGATTGGTATATTTTGGATTTTATAACTGTCAAAATTGTTTAGTAATCATAGCATTAGCACTGACAAGACCTTCTTATGGAGCCATTAGCCCCTCAGTCAGCTTTGAGAAGCAGTGTTTGCATCACATTGTACCTGGGATCAAGTTTCCGCTGCCATCCCTGCAAAACATAATAACCAGTGATGAGATTTGTATAAGATCAGTTAATTGATGATCACACCAATGATAATATAAATTGGAGCAAATTGCCTCTCAGATTTGTATAAGATATCAGTAATTGTCTATTTCTGCTACTCATGGTAAACCTATTATATAATACAAAAAACTATCATATTTGTTTTTCTGAGACAATTAAATTAAATTTATAAAGAGAAGAGAAAGGAGTAAAGGATATATGGCCAACAGAAAAAAGCAGAAAAACAAATAAAGAAAAGACAACTTAATAATCTACGTGTGCTTTAATTTAATGTCTTTGTGCTTATAAATTTCACACGCCTATATTGCGAAGATTACAGAATTTCATAAGAGAATTTCCATGCCTTGGCTGCAATAGATAAAGGAAAAAGAAATTACCTCAAGAACCAAAGTGGTTACCATGACAGTACAGACATTGCCATCGACATTGACTCTATGACGCCTAACTGTCTCCAGTACTGCTGCAGGATGGACCAGATCACCTTCTGGAGTACCACAGAAAGCAAATGCCTCCTCCACTTGCTGTAAAAAGAAGAAGATTAGACTAAAATCAAATACATAATGTAGATTATTAAGGAGGGAAACTTGTAACAGAAGCTTCCTGAGTTCATAATATCATTGAGGAACTGCATTTTGTCTACAACCATAACACACACAGTGATGAATAAACGAAAAAAGGAGTGAATACTACACACACACACACACACACACACACACACACACATATATATATATATTTATCACATATTTCAATTGTGCTTGACAAAATTCAGGCTTTGAGACAAGAAAGTATTACCAGAGGAAGTTGGATTGAAAAGCATTCTAATATGAAATTCTTTCTTTGCATAATCTGAGCATAAAGGAGGAATTGAAAGGGCAAATATCAAACCTGCAACTTATTTAATAAGGAACACCCAAACAAGATGAATGCAACGGATCTCCAGAACTGTTAAGGAAAAACTAATAAAGCAAAACCTTTGAAGGTGAATTACTTGCCCATTTTTAGAGAGGAGATGGTGGAAGATAGAACAATAGAGAGACAAAAAAAAAATCAACCATGTAGGGATAAGATATTAGAAAGATAGTAGCTTTTTTTATATATATATTTTTTGGATTTGTTATGTATTCAGACCACATTCAGGTATATCAACTGATATAATTCACAAACTTCAAGACACAACAAGATACTTAAAAGACCTAAGCACAATTCAATCAAAATAGTCCAAAAGCATAAATGCATTGCAAGTAACATCAAAGGTATATATATGTTACCAGGTCCAGGAGCATCTTCAAAAGTGCGTGCGTCACAATGTGAGCAAGCGCAGATTGAATCCGATCATCCCCTTCAAGATCATCGACACATTCCTCTTGTTCATAAGTTTCCACCAAAACAGCAGGATCCACAAATGGGGCAGCTTCCCTTGCAATCTCAAGCTCAAATTTGCAGCTAAATTTTTTCAATTTCGGGTTTCAGACTTTCAGTCAATCGCAGTGTTTGAAAAGTCGGCCTAGGCGGGCAGCTAGGCGGCTAGGCGGCGCTAGGCGGCTAGGCGGGAGCTAGGCGGCTAGGCGGTGGCTAGGCGGCTAGGTAGTAGCTAGGCGGGCGCCTAGGCAGGTTGGGTCTTTTTTCGGCGCCGAACCCGGAGGACGAAACAGTGACTGCGAGAGAAAGTTCCGTCCACTGCGAGTGCAAGCTTCGTGTTCGTTCGAATAATATTTAAAGAGTATAGCCGCACGGCTGTACGTTTAAAATATTCGAATCTAATTAGAAAGTATAGCCGTCCGGCTGTACGTTTATAATTTCTATTTATACAGTCGAGCCTGGCGGCTATAATGGTAAAATATTGTATTTAAAGCTGATCGGCTATACTGTTAATATATTGTATTTAGAGAGTATAGCCGTGCGGGTATACTGTTATAATATCTATTTGTGCATGTATTAAAATAAATAAAAGGTGTGATACTAATAATAGATTTTTCTGTATTTCTCGGACCTTCTCACGTTTGGATGCCTCCTCTTTTGCAGTCCTTCCTTTATCTAGCACATCAAAATGATTGTAATGCGACTAATAAATTCATAAAGTAAAAAACAAAAAGAAATTTCCAGTGGAAAAACAGATGCAACAATAACTCACCAAGTTTCTTTGCAGACTTCCCAGTTTCCCTTTCACCTGTACAACCATTGGCTGGCTCTACTTTTGCAGAATGATTAGAACCACCATGATCCTGGGAACAAAAACAAATGCAACGGCCAAAAAAAATTGAACAATAAGTTTCTAAAACAATTAGTCCAAATGAATAAAAGAGAAACTGATTGGTACTGTGGCATCCTCATACATCCGAAAACGGCTCTTCGCTTGTTTCATGTTCTTAGCAGCGATAGACTCTGCAATGTAGGCACCTTGCTCACTGGAAAGCAAGCCTTCATGAAATCTGAAACAACATCAGTGGAAAACAAAATTGAAACAAGTCATAGAACCAAAATAAAAAATTAAGTACACTAATATATCCTAAACAAGATACGTAAATGGAGCATAGTTATCAGGAAAATTTAAATCTCCATCGATCCTGTTACAGCCCAAGAAAACCCAAAGATAAGCAAACAGATTACTGACATTTTTCCAAGACCCAAAAGATGCAAAAAGGGCCATCATATTACGCAGGAACATAGCCTAACAACAAATGATATACCCTATCTTTGCAAGCATCTAGAACAAATGAACACATCTAGAATAGAGGAGAACGGGAAGATTCAGGAACATCAAGGTTACCAAAAAAGAACAGAATTCCATTTTATTTCTGTCTTTGACCTCTCTACTGTTTTTACATGTGAATTGGTTTTTTTAAACAAACTAAATACCGAAGGATTGAACCTTCAAAACGTATTGCAATTTCCAAAACAAAAAAATAAATAAATGTTCATGTCCACTTCTTGGGATTGGTATATTTTGGATTTTACAACTGTCAAAATTGTTTAGTAATCATAGCATTAGCACTGACAAGACCTTCTTATTGTTTAGCAATCTGCGTGTACTTAATTTAACGTCTTTGTGCTTATAAATTGCACATGCCTATATTGCAACCTTGGCCAAAGTTGCTTCAATTTGCTCATTATACGGGTTTTTAAAAAAATGGATCTGCTTTTCATATATTTTTCCGTTCTTTTCTTCTATTATTTTTTCTTTTGTCAAACAGTAAAAAAAAAATTTGTTGACCGTCAATTATTTAGGCGGGTATAGTGAGCAAATTTATGGGTACCAACATCGTTTTCTCTATGAAAATAGGTATGATCTTCTTGGCATGTATGGATTTTATTTATAAAGTATGATTTTGGCATTGTAGTTTGGATGAAGTTCCAATTTGGTAAAAGTTTCCGTTCTCGCGATATAACACTGAAGTTTATTACAGTCTACGTACAAACAAAGACATCTTTACCTGTAGCTCTTTTGCTGACTTTCTGGCATATATGTAGCCAATTGTATTCAACGTATCAACACCTGTAAGCTGTAGAAAACAGACCATATCACTGAAATTTATATTCAAAAGCTTAGGAAATAATCATAGAAACAGCTCCATCAGATATTAATCACATTAGCATATCGTAAAATCAGTTCCTACATCTTGAGCAACGAACTACTGCTCAGCAATTTTTTCACCTTCAAAGGGCAATGAACTGTTGGGCATAGTTTGGACGATAGTCCCCATTAAACGTCTCACAGCATAATATACTATTGAAATTGGATGCAGTAACAGTATTTATTTGACTTTACAGGAATGCCATCCATGATGAAATCATAAAATGAGTAGCTAAATTACAAGCCAACAAAATTTCTTTTTCCTCAATAAGTTACTAAAAGGCACCAAGTACACTACTGACAGACAAATCTTATAAGACATGAATCAAATTGGCATGTAAGTGCAGACAGAGAAGCAGAATTTTTTTTCTTGCTTGGACAATCTATAATGAGAAGGGAAGGTAATAGATCCAGCAACAAATAACACTCTCAAACCAATTGAGGACGACAAATTTCTATTACTAACATGTAAGACAATTCAAATACCTCGCGATGTGCTCCAAGTTCTCTATGTTTCTCTATTGAATCTTGTCCACCAGAAAATGCATACCTGTTTATCTGCGTACATGCACACAAATTCTTTATTTTGTTAATCCTGAAGAATTTTTGGACCATTTGGACTGTGTGATTTCAGGTAGAAAAATTTGGCACTGTGAAACTACGGTTTGGTGGTGTGGGAAAGCTAAGAAAAGAGTAGATGATGGTTTCGGAAAAGGAAGACAGCTATATATTTGAAGAAATAGAGAAGCATGTTTTTCACTGAGAGTTTAAAAGGTTACAATTTGAAACCTTGCATCAATTGAAGACTTTGGCCCTAGAATCAGAGAATCGATAATGATTGTGCAAGAGTCTCAGTAAATAGAAAGGTTGTACAAATAAACCCAAAGCAACAGCAAACCCAAACCTTGTTCTTAATTTCCTTTGCAGAATCAGTTACATAAATGGCAGAATTTGGATCACTGGGTTAGTGAGGATAAATAAACAAAACAGTACCCGCATTTTCTCTTGCAGCTTTTTGGGATCGAACCGCTCCCCTTCTGAGAAAATATCTAGTGAAGCCATTGATGCCATGGCTAGCTGGCCAATATATTCCTCAAAAAGCTCACTACCAAAAAGCATAGCGAAGATTGCTGCAGGATCAATAATTGAGTCGCTGAAAGAAAGGGAACCATTCAAAAAATGTCAGAAACACGCAACTATGTGTTAAGCTAACACACACATACACTGTGACAAATGCAGGCAACCTATGAGGTGCGTGTCAGACACCTTTCAATCTTAGAATTCATAAATTCACAGATTAAGAGCAAGAAACTAACGTTGAGATCCCTGATTTTCCAAAAGCATCGTATGCTTGGTGTTGGCCTGGGTCACTTAAGACTTGGTAAGCTTCTCCCAAAACCTGAATCCAGGGGTACTGCCCCAAGAGTTGTGCATACCGTCATTACAATAGACAGAGGAACATCCCCTTGAGCAATTAAGGTCACCTGAAAGGCTATTTCATACAAAGCATTGAATGGAGTTGAATAAATGGGCTAGGCGGGCGCTAGGCGGGGGCTAGGCGGGCTAGGCGGGCCCTAGGCGGTCTAAGCGGGCTAGGAGGAGCTAGGCGGTCCAGGCGGGCTAGGAGGAGCTAGGCGGTCTAGGCAGGCGCTGAAGAGAGAGAGAGAGAGAGAGAGAGAGAGAGAGAGAGGAGGATGACGACGGAGTTATGTTTAGGGTTTAGAAAAGGGCCGCACGGCTATACTATTTTTTATAATAAAAAACCGTAGTATAGCCGTGCGGCTATACGATCTATTAAAATTTTGAGCCTTAATATTGCTAACTCCTAAAATTTTGATTGCCGACTTGTGAGTTGTGACCCACCGTGGGGGCATTAAAGGTAGAATGCGGGAAGGTCTCTTGTTAAGACGCGGACAACAGGTCCAGTGCTGGTGTTTGCCCCTACGGTTATAATAGGCTTCTACAAAGATGCTGAGGGGCCACGTATTTGGCTCCCAAGTTGACGGCTAATCTCAGTTGGCTGGTTGGCCTCATTGTGGAAAGGCGGTTGACTTGTCAGAGCGGCTGTGGCAGACATAACGGCATCTGATCTCTCTCTGGGCCGACTGAGATCCGCTCTTGACTTGACCAATGACCACCACCTTTTTACCTCCCTCCCACAACCCACGATGCCAACCCAAATACATCATCTATCTGATATCGAATTCATGCCCAATTTGCTTTGTAAATATTCCATGCTATCCATGGCGTCAGTTAAAGTTAATTCAGAGAACATCTTCCTAACAGATAGAGACCAAGATTAAGAAAAATTACAAAAAAAGGAAAGTCAGTGTTTGACCCGAAACAAATTTGTAGAGGCCAAGAATATTTTAACTATTAATGCAAAAGTTTCATCCTCACATGGGATAATCTCAAAAAATTCACAGGAGTTTCTGAAATTATGATCGAGATCACATGGGATTTTTGCAAGCACATCAAATATCTCAAGGGAGATGGTAAATAATCAACAACTAATGTCTAATAGCATTCAAAGGAGTATTTGACTCCCACACGCTTTGAGCAGTAAACATTATACCAAGAAGGATGTCTAAACTCGGCCATACGGTTGTGATGTATATATACTTGCACAAAGCATACACAATAAATTCTCCAAAGGCCTTCAATTCTATACGAGAAGATTACCGAACTGCTCTTAATAGAGTTTTATTGCTTTTCCTCTTCTCTCTTGAAAAAATTGTAGATCCCACATTGGAAAAGTATAATACGTGTTATGTACTTAATATTGTTAACTCCGAAAACTTTGCTCGCCGAGCTTAGTAACGTGAGTTTGTGACCCAATGTGGGGGCATTAAAGGTGGAATTTGGAACTTAGTGTTAAGACATGGACAACCTATGGCACAGTGCTCTCGGCACGGTTGCTTTGTGGGCTACTCTACAGTAGCAACCATGGTGGCTTATCATCCAATTCAAATCATGTTACCCTTCTCACTGATATGATTGAAGAGGATGAGATTCCATGTCCCCCTCCTCAACCAACACTACATATTAAGCAAACACATGGAAAACATATTACATTAACCCCTTCTTTCAAGGTCTTCTATTCTATCTTCTCAAAATACACAACAAGAAGAAATGGCTTGCCACACTCGCTCCAACAGCTTCACCTCAAGGCCACACCCGATCGTTCAAGAAGTCGATGAACATTTGTGTAGATTGAGATCTTCTGAGGCCACCTCCACATCCTCCTCATCAATCAGCCACAAACTAAGTGGCCTCCAAGACTTGCATGGCTCGAGACGCGTTGTTTCTAATTCTCCCTCTTTTTGTACCAAAAATAAAAATAAAATGAATTAAGAGATCACAAAAATCAGAAACTTTAGATCCTCTTAAAAAGAAAGACTAATCAGAAAATCTTAGGACAAGGGTTACAAATGGGAGAATAAATGACAAAATGAAGAGATCACCATTACTACTATAAATGCAACAATGCCAAAACAAAGTCCACAAGATACTTAGAAATACAGAACATATCAAATTATTCCAAAGAACAGAACCAAACCCTCTGTTTGGTCTCCTCCTAAACCAAGGAATACAAAAAATTAATAAAAATAACAATCTCAAATCCATGCTTGTTGAAGAATTCATCTCAACATAACAACAATTTTAGTGATCTCATAACAACAACAACAAAAAAACTTGAAATTCTTGTCTTCATCCACATTTTCGTTCAAGCCAACCAAACAGAGAAAACAATAGTGGAAAGGAAGTAAATTTTGAAAGAATGTACATTATTATTTCCTGAAAATTAAAAATTTGTGTGCATTTCTTTAACTTTTTCAAAACCAGAACTATTTTTATTTTCGTCTTCTCCAGACTGTTCTTGGTCTGTTTTCATGAAGAAGTCCTTTGGTATAATTGGAGTGCTACAAGCCATGATATATATATATATATATATATATATATATACGTAGCTCTCTCCCAACTTATTCCGAAGAAGTGAACAGAAGTCTTCAAACAGATGTAACACACTTGAGAAAGAAAAACAAAATTGCTGAACATCGAACCCATATAAAGGAAATGAAAATTTTAAATATATAGACAAATTCCCATCATCCCATTACTAGCACAAAACTGAAATGGTATACAAGAAACACCTCAAATATTACTCTATGTCGAGGACAAAGATTGGTTGTTTGAAGCAGAACAGGTTCAAGGTGACTTAACCTGCATGGTGCTCATTGACAGTTTGGCAGCATCTACAGGGACGTAAGTCCCTGCCAATATCTTTGTTAGTAGAGGAGTCAGGGGTACTGCCCCAAGAGTTGTGCATACCGTCATTACAATAGACAGAGGAACATCCCCTTGAGCAATTAAGGTCACCTGAAAGGCTATTTCATACAAAGCATTGAATGGAGTTGAATAAATGGCCTAGGCGGGCGCTAGGCGGGGGCTAGGCGGTCTAGGCGGGCACTGGAGAGAGAGAGAGAGAGAGAGAGAGAGACAAGGATGACGACGGAGTTATGTTTAGGGTTTAGAAAAGGGCCGAACGGCTATACTATATTTTAAAATAAAAAACCGTAGTATAGCGGCTACGATTTATTAAAAAAAAAAAACCATTCTGTTTGCATTAGTTTATACTTTATAGATATTAATTTGCTAGTTTTGATATATATACTTTATAGATTTAAATTTGTGAATATATATTATTTTTATTGAATAGTATGTGAAAACTGGGTTTATAATACGTGAATTTTATGTGTATTATTGAAGATTTTGTCAAAAACAAGTGTATTAAACATGAAAAATACATACATACGTGTAAAATGCGAGTATTAAACATGGAAATGCTAAATTTTGTATACGGCTAATAACTTTAGAAAAGTAAAAACTCAAAAGGGTTCAATAGAGACTCGTGTGAAGGCCTAATAGTAATGGAAAATGCTCTAAGCTATCGATAAACAAAAATTGTGGAAAAAAGATAATAGTATCCATGTAAAGAGTATAGCCGTACAAGGCTATACTCTTTATTTTTATGTGTAAAAATCCCCAAGTATAGCTGCTCGGCTATACTACTTTCAATAGAATAATTCAAACCATCGGCGAGGTGAAATGAGAAGTGGCCAAAACCACACCCAAAGAAGAATTTTGCATAGCAACCTGCAAGTGTCAAACATGTAAATGAAGGATTAATCTTGCATGCCCACCAAAATTTATGAAAGTTTCAACATTTCAATCTGAGCATAAAACAATGAAGATCTTCCATAGACTTACAATAGAGTTTAAGAAGAGAATTTTTATAGCTTTATTACCAATTTGACTAAAGCCGAAACAAAACTGGAACACAAGGATTCGCAGCAAGCCAGATCATGTCGTAAGGTTTACATTCTATTTGATTAATACCTCAATTGATTCTTTCACAACTTATTAGATCACCCCTGGTTCACTTCACTCCCTAAAGGCGGATTAAGACTAAGGTAGGCAAGGAAAGAGATATTCAATCAACCAAGCAAAGAACCGATAATGGATACTCTCATATTAGTTCAAAATAAAGGTCTTCCCCTGGGGGCGGGCAGACCCTCTTTTATTTTATTGCTGCCATGCGTAAGAAAGAGATAATGGTGATTGCTGAAAAAACTCAGACTTAGGGAACGAAGACAGAGAATTGCATAGATAGAAGGACGAAATGAACCAACCCACTTGTGCTGATCGGAACGATTGAAGAAAGAAAGAGAATGGTGGCCCCTTTCGCCCCACACCTCACTATGTTGAGGGTTTAAGTTGCCTAAGCAACAAGAGGGGTAAACCCGCAAACAACTGCTGATATATACCTGCAAATTAAGACTCACCTTGATCAAAAAAGACTCCTCAAGCTGCACATTTGCACCGCAAAAACTCCAAAACAAACTAAACAAAACATGCCCAGCACCACAACCTTAAAGAATATTTGTATGAGCAAAAAGTGGTGCAAAAGGTATCACAATTTTAACCACTGCAGGAAATGCACTCTGCATATAAGAACCTAAGAAAATTGGAGCAACAACGACCTACAGATGACAGAATAGAGACAATAAGCCCCAACTGATGGATAATATAATATTACTGAAGTTTCTTATATTTAACTTAACCTGCATGGTGCTCATTGACAGTTTGGCAGCATCCACAGGGAACGTAAGTCCCTGCCAATATCTTTGTTAGTAGAGGAGTCAGGGAGTACTGCCCCAAGAGTTGTGCATACCGTCATTACAATAGACAGAGGAACATCCCCTTGAGCAATTAAGGTCACCTGAAAGGCTATTTCATACAAAGCATTGAATGGAGTTGAATAAATGGCCTAGGCGCGCTCTAGGCGGGGATAGGCGGGCTAGGCCGAGCTAGGCGGGGCTAGGTGGGCGCTGGAGAGAGAGAGAGAGAGAGAGAGAGAGAGAAAGAAACGAGGATGACGACGGAGTTATGTTTAGGGTTTAGAAAAGGGCCGTACGGCTATACTATTTTTTATAATAAAAAACCTTAGTATAGCCGTGCGGATATACGATTTATTAAATAAAAAAACCATTCTATTTGCATTAGTTTATACTTTATAGATATTAATTTGCTAGTTTTTATATATATACTTTATAGATTTAAATTTTTGAATATATATTGTTTTTATTGAATCGTATGTGAAAACTGGGTTTATAATACGTGAATTTTATGTGTATTATTGAAAATTTTGTAAAAAACAAGTGTATTAAACATAAAAAATACATACGTACGTGTAAAATATGAGTATTAAACATGGAAATGCTAAAAATTTTATACAGCTAATGACTTTGGAAAAGTAAAAACTCAAAATGGTACAATAGAGACTCGTGTGAAGGCCTAATAGTAATGAAAAATGCTCTGAGCTATCGATAAACAAAAATTTTGGAAAAAAGATAATAGTATCCATGTAAAGAGTATAGCTGCGCAAGGCTATACTCTTTATTTTTTTGTCTAAAAAATCCCGAGTATAGCTGCTCGGCTATACTATTTTCAGTAGAAGAATTCAAATCTAGCTCAAAACTAAGCACCACAAGATGTGCTAGAGTAAAATAGGATGTGTGACCTCCACATCATCAACATCAATTAGCCGCAAACTAATTGGCCTTCAAGACTTGCATAATTGTGTTGACAAGTTGCTTCAGTTGCCCCTCACTCAACAAGCCTTGGCTCAAGAGCAGAATGAAAAATCGACTAATGAGCTATTAGATGGTTCTCTCAGGCTCTTGGATGTTTGTAGCAGTGCCAAGGAGCGTACAGGACCTTCAATCGATCATGCGAAGAACGCGATGAGGTGAATCTGGAGCACTCACGAGTCACAACTGAGGTCAGGAAATACTTGACCTCAAGGAAGATGGTGAAGAAGGCAATCCACAAGGCTATGGTAAATCTCAAGGGATCCAGTTTCTCATCCCTCAACAAGGACAATGAGACTATTGCCGTTGTTAGCACGTTGAGAGATATCAAGGCAGTCACTCTCTCAGTGTTTGAATCACTCCTGTCCTTCATCTTTGCTCCAAAGTCTTCTGTTCTATATTCTCACAACGCACAAAGAAGAAATGGCTTTCCACACACGCTCTAACAGCTTCCCTTCAAGGCCACACCCGATCGTTCAAGAAGTTGATGAACATTTGTGTAGACTGAGGTCTTCTGAGGCCGCCTCCACATCTTCTTCATCATCAATATGCTACAAACTAAGTGGCCTCCAAGACTTGCATGATTGTGTTGATAAGTTGCTTCAGTTGCCATTACAGAATTTCATAAGAGAATTTCCATCCTTCAGCTGCGGTAGATAAAGGAAAAAGACATTACCTCACGAACCAAAGTGGTTACCATGACAGTACAGACATTGCCATCGACATTAACTCTATGACGCCTAACTTTCTCCAGTAACTGCTGCATACACTCAGCAGGATGAAGTTTGAAATTTTTGCTACCATATTGATTATAACAAAATCTCTCCAGATGGATTCACGAACACCAGGATGCCTAACCTTTACGGCAACTACTATGGGCTTCAGCTGTTGACCAGCTCCATGCACTTGAACAATACTTCCAGATGCTACTGGTTTCTCTTCAAAATTTTCAAAAATCTTGGCGAGCTTGCGGCCAAACGTTTCGTTCGATAGTTTTCTCCGTGTAGAGCTATGTTCAGGAGCTTTGGTGTGAGGCTCTGAGAGCTTGGTGATAAAGAAAGAGCGCCAACTATAAACAATTATGCGAATTCCAGTGTATCACCACAAATTAAAGGCGGTTGAATCATCAGGAAAAAAATAATAATAAACAATAATAATTATTATTATAAAAAAAAAAATGGGCCTAGGCGGGTCTGGGCCTTTTTTGTTTTGTTTTTTTAATTTTTTTTTAATTTTTAAGATTTAAGATTTTTATTTTCGAGGTTAAATTTTAGGGAGTTTCACTAAAACACCCAAAATGGGGGCTTAAATTATAAAAAAACCCAAGCACTATTTAAACATATAAACACACCCAAAACCCATCATTACACACACTCAAAATCCATTTATAAACACACCCAAAAAGTTGACTTTGGGGTTGATTTTGGGTGTGTTTCTATGTTTAAATAGTGCTTGGGTTTTTCTATAAATACATGTCTAGGATTGGGTTTATTTATAAATTTGTATAAATTTTAATGCTTTTTTAACCCCCGTAGTAGATATTTAAAAAAATCTTTAAATGATATTCCTAGTTGAAACCATTTATTTTCTATTTGGTGGCAATTTCCGACATGACCCGACATAATTATGTTCTTAGGATTTAAATGCGTAATTTTACCTGAACAAGACAGTTCTGGGCTTTGTGCCCCAATGCCACTTGCCAATAAGCCTAAAAACCCTGGTAGAAATGGAGGTGAAGTTGAAAATGAGGAGTCCATTTCAGATGCTGACCTTGATAACATTGTTGGTGTTGGAGACAGCTCTCAGCTAGAGGTATTGTGACTTATGCAAGCATCTTTTTACATGCATGGAGATTTCTCCTGAATAGAGCTGAAAAATCACCAAGGAAGTATTGTATTTCAGGAAATGGATCCTCCGAGCACACTTCAGTGTGAACTTCGTCCATACCAGAAGCAGGCTCTCCATTGGATGATCCAACTGGAAAAGGGACAATGCATCGATGAGGGAGCAATGACTCTTCACCCTTGTTGGGAGGCATACCGTCTTGCAGACAAGTATGCTGGGCTGTTAACCTTGGATTATGCTACCTTATGATTCAATATTTATTGGGGTGTTTTGCATATAGGAGAGACCGTGTTATCTATTTGAATGCGTTTTCTGGGGATGCAACAACAGAATTTCCAAGCACACTTCAAATGGCCAGAGGAGGAGTATGTCTCAAGTTGGCTCAAACCTTAATTAAATATTTTTTTCAAACTTTATTTTTATGTGTTGATTGTATTGCCTTTATCGTGCATTTGAAGATTCTGGCTGATTCTATGGGCTTGGGGAAGACCATTATTGTTTATACCATATTTGACCAAGCAACTCTAGGCAAAGCAAAGAGTCCCACATTGGAATATTACAAGAAGTGAAGGCTCCCCCTCACCTATAAAAGGAGACCACTCTCCCCTTAGAAAAGGATCCTTGGGCTGGGCTTGATATTTAGTCATGGCCTTCTCCTTTCTTACTTTTATATTTGGGTCCAACCCCATGTACAAATGTAAATACACAATATTACAATAATGAGAATATACTTCTCCGTGGACGTAGCCCATTCATTAAGGGTGAACCACGTATATCTTGTCTTCTGTATGTTTATCGCTTGCTCAAATCCTCACACACTTGGTGAAGGTCCTTACCTTCACCCATCATCCATCACACCTCATCACTAAGTTGGCCTCAAAAGTGCCGAACCATTTTGAGAGTCAACAGTTTGGCGCCGTCTGTGGGAAGCGACACAAAAAGCTTATGTCATTCTCCCCTTCTCCAGTGCCCTTCGGCAGATGCCTTCGGCAGTGTCCTTCGGCACCCCTACAATCAGCATCACCTAACTTGCCGAATGACAATAACATAATGGAGCAACCGTGAGTGCCAAGAGAGTGACATGCAGAAGATGAATCCTTGCAATATAGTTCAAAAGAAGAGGAAATATGTGGGCCACCCTAGCTTCTCTTAACATGCCTTACCGTTCGGCACCTTTGGTGAATATTGATGAGTGGGCTCCCAAAACATAAGAGCTGCATTTCTTATCTTGCTTCTTTATTTTATTCCCATTTGCCGACATAAATGGTGCAAGCCCACTAATCTATTAGCCAACCAGAATGTAACTATCATTTGCATGGCTTGCATGGCCAAACCACCTTTTCAATTCAAAGTACCGTTCGGCACCCCGTTTGAAGAGAGAGTTTGGGAGCCCTCAGAGGCAGATCACCGCCCATTGTGCACCATTTCCAAAGAGATGAGTGATATATTCCTTCTCTTCTTTTGTTATTATTGAATTTGGAGATTGCATACCAAACTAAATTTCTGACAATACACTATTATTGGATCAGTAAAAATCTATATTGGATCTGTGTATGCTGTTTAGTTATGCTGCCGACCAATATCATACGTGGACAACATGACAAGAGCAGCCCGCTTGCAGCCCCAAGTACTGTAACAAACGGCAACAGCCCCAATTCGTCTCTGAAGCCAATTGCCACACTACACTTTCGAGATTTTCACCAAAAATCTGCATGAAAGGTCAAAATACGGAACGGCACACCCATCCAGGGGATTGATCAAGCCACCCAAAAGCCTTGAGTGGCCATCCAACTCCATGTTGCTTGACCAGCTACCGAACGGTAGCCATGCCATTGGCTTTCTCAAGGCATCCACTTAGTCAAAAATTCTGAACTTGCTGAAGTTGTTTCATCTTCAGCCCATCTCCAACATATATTGTCTAGTCTGTGTTCCGCATAAATTGCTGAACAGTAACGTTGGGCAATGATTCATCTGGGAGCCACCTTCTCAATGGCACAAATCATCCTACCGTTTGGTAAGGCAGAATTAAGCCAACTAATATTCCCAGACCTCCACCTTGCTTATTTTTCATGAGCTACCGTTTGGCACCCATGCCAATAAATTACTCAACACACCCACCATTCGGTAGGACATGATACATTATGATCACAGCTGATGACAGCCCCTGTCATGGCTCCAAAACCTTCTAAACTTGCTGGAGTTGATTCATCTTTAGCTCACTCCGTCAAGGCCCCTCTCACTTGTCTTACCGTTCGGCAAATCAAGATAATTGAGCCCATCAGACCTCCAAAACCATCGGACACCCCTACCGATCGGTAGGGTGGCGCCAGATCGTAAAGGACAAAGTTTCCATACCTGCCGAAAGCTCTCAAGACACCATGGTGTCATACATGCTGAACAACAGGTTGATAATAGTTTTCAAAAGGCACAGCCACTCCCACCTTCAGTATCACCGATCAGTAACTACCATGGGTCAACCTCCATAGCTCGAATCAGACCACGTTGCCGAAGAAGCTTCCTTTCAGCACAGCCAACACAAAGGTCTCACCAAGGCCTTGTGGCTGAAGCCACCGCAGGCTCCCAAAAGTTACTCAATCCACCCTTGCCGAACGGTAAGGGTTTTGCAGAAGCAATGGGGACTCGCAAGATGGCTCCTTCCAAAAATCAAGGTGCCTCCACGAAACCAGCCTCCTGGCCACTCTACCGGAGCTGTGCATACAAACCCTCGAGAAACTTCTCAACACCCTTGCCGAACGGCAAGGGTCGTGACGAAACAGGGAGCTTGCGAAATCTGCTCAAATCACATCGGAACCACCAAGTCTTGCCTGCCGAAGGAAAAGGGACGGTCAAGTCTCACCAGGGCCTCACCGTGACTTCACGCCGGAATCAATGGAAGACACGACCTCTTCTTCGAACCACGTCGTGCCAAAGCTGTAACCACAAAGCCTCCTCTTCACCCTTGCCGAACGGCAAGGACCAGGCTTTTCAAACTGTAAGCCCAGCTCGACAACCTTCACGGCTCCCTGGCAAAGATTAACAGCCTACTGAAGCTGTGGGCACTCACTCACCAGTCATGACTTCCCAGCTCCTCACCGAACGGCAAGGGCTTTGGGCAGCAAAGGAGCTCACGAAAACCTGATGTCGAAGGTCTAACTTCAAACCCACTCAAGTGGAAACACCAGGGAACTCGGCAAGAACCCAGCTCCAATATTTCGAAATCACCCTTGCTGATCGGCAACCTTGCTGAAAGCAACTAAGACGTTTTGCCTTCCTGTGCACAAACTGCCGAACGGCAGGTCTGATAAAGAGACTCTGCTCTCTCACCTTCTAAAAATCCTAGGCCATGCCGCCCAAGGCCTCACGCCAAAAACAAACGGGCCCAGCACCTTGACTTCACGAAGCTCCCTTATCCAAGCTGCCCTTGCCGAACGGCAATGGCCATATCAAAGTCAAGACACTTCTGGAGGACCACGAGTTGCTCCCCTGCTGAATCACTAAATCTCAAAGGCCCACTTATGGCACTTGATGTTCACGCCGACACAACCCAAAACAAAAGAAAAAAACCCAAGATTGTTAGCCGTCAGCAATAACGATTGGAAAGCTTGTTCTACAAGACGAGAGCGATGCCTTCGGCACCCCGTCATCATTTGACATAGCGATGCCTTCGGCACCCTGTCATCATTAGACGAGAGCGATGCCTTCGGCACCCCGTCATCATTTGACAAGCGATGCCTTCGGCACCCTGTCATCATTTGACAAGAGAGATGCCTTCGGCACCCTGTCATCATCCGACGAGAGTGATGCCTTCGGCACCCCGTCATCACCTTCGGCACCCTGTCATCATCCGACGAGAGCGATGCCTTCGGCACCCCGTCATCATCTGACAAAGCGTTGCCTTCGGCACCCTGTCATTATTAGACGAGAGCGATGCCTTCGGCACCCCGTCATCATTTGACAAGCGATGCCTTCGGCACCCTGTCATCATTTGACGAGAGAGATGCCTTCGGCACCCTGTCATCATCCGACGAGAGCGATGCCTTCGGCACCCCATCATCACCTTCAGCACCTTGCCATCATCCGATGAGAGCGATGCCTTCGGCACCCCGTCATCATTTGACATAGCGCTGCCTTCGGCACCCTGTCATCATCCGACGAGAGCGATGCCTTCGGCACCCTGTCATCATTAGACGAGAGCGATGCCTTCGGCATCCCGTCATCATCTGACAAAGCGTTGCCTTCGGCACCCTGTCATTATTAGACGAGAGCGATGCCTTCGGCACCCCGTCATCATTTGACAAGCGATGCCTTCGGCACCCTGTCATCATTTGACAAGAGAGATGCCTTCGGCACCCTGTCATCATCCAATGAGCGCGATGCCTTCGGCACCCCGTCATCACCTTCGGCACCCTGTCATCATTAGACGAGAGCGATGCCTTCGGCATCCTGTCATCATCTGACAAAGCGTTGCCTTCGGCACCCTGTCATTATTAGACGAGAGCGATGCCTTCAGCACCCCGTCATCATTTGACAAGCGATGCCTTCGGCACCCTGTCATCATTTGACAAGAGAGATGCCTTCGGCACCCTGTCATCATCCGACGAGAGCGATGCCTTCGGCACCCCATCATCACCTTCGGCACCCTGCCATCATCCGATGAGAGCGATGCCTTCGGCACCCCGTCATCATTTGACATAGCGCTGCCTTCGGCACCCTGTCATCATCCGACGAGAGCGATGCCTTCGGTACCCCGTCATCACCTTCGGCACCCTGCCATCATCCGACGAGAGCGACACCTTCGGCACCCCGTCATCATTCGGCACCATCGACACTACACTACTTGGAAGAAGACTAAGGTGTTGCTCGGTCAATGCACTGAAAATTGCAAGTCCTCAACCAAGGAGTACCTCCTTGCTTGAGAACTTGGGGGACTTCTGTTTATACCATATTTGACCAAGCAACTAGAAGCAACTCTAGGCAAAGCAAAGAGTCCCACATTGGAATATTACAAGAAGTGAAGGCTCCCCCTCACCTATAAAAGGAGACCACTCTCCCCTTAGAAAAGGATGCTTGGGCTGGGCTTGATATTTAGTCATGGCCTTCTCCTTTCTTACTTTTATATTTGGGTCCAACCCCATGTACAAATGTAAATACACAATATTACAATAATGAGAATATACTTCTCCGTGGACGTAGCCCATTCATTAAGGGTGAACCACGTATATCTTGTCTTCTGTATGTTTATCGCTTGCTCAAATCCTCACACACTTGGTGAAGGTCCTCACCTTCACCCATCATCCATCACACCTCATCACTAAGTTGGCCTCAAAAGTGCCGAACCATTTTTGAGCGTCAACAATTATGACAATAGCATTCCTTCTTGCTCATTCAGGACATGGATTATCAGGTAGTCACCCTACAAGCCAGTCCTCCAGTGAAGATATTGAAATTAGTGACATTTCAGACCATTCCCCATCAAACCTACCAAAGAAGGTCACAAGCTTTTCAGGATTTGATAAGTTTATGAAGCGAAAAAACACCCTTGCAGATGGTGGCAGTTTGATTATATGTTCCTATGACTCTTCTAGGCCAGTGGAAGGTAGTTTTTTGTCACTTTGAAGAACACCAATTGTAGTTCTGCATACTTACACCTGCTCTGAAAGTTGGTACTTGCGCCAGTATCAGAGTGTTACGTGCACAGTGATAAGGATTCTATATTTGGGAGTTAATATAAACATTTGAGTTTGTTGTCAGGCAGAGATTGAAACTCATGCGCAACCTGGATCTTTATAGGTATATGTTCATTATGGACAAAGTAGGCAGAAGGATGCAAAACTTTTAGCTCAAAGTGATGTTGTAATCACTTCATACGGAGTGTTAATTAGCCTCAGAATTTTCTGCAGAGGTAATCTAAACATCTCCTAATTGCATATTGTGCAAATTTTATTAGGCGGCCTAGGCTGGACTGGGCCTTTTTTAATTTTTTAATTTTTAAATTTATAGTTTATAGATTTGTATTTTCCAGGTTAAATTTTAATGCTTTTTTAACCCCCAGTAGTAGATAAAAAAATATTTCTTTAAATGATATTCCTAGTTGAAAACATTTATTTTCTATTTGTTGACAACTTCCGACATGACTCCATACACGACTCGATTGATACCCGCTCGAGATGACCCCCACTTTGGCTTAACAGGTTTTTTCTCTGCAGGCTTCTTCTCTTGAAAGACAGGAGGTGATGCCTCTGGTATCGTTTCTGGTGCAGACTCAACATGCTCTGCATGCTTAGTGAGGAGTTCCAAACCTTTCAAAGACATGATCTCTTCCTGAAGGAAGGGACCTGACTTGGCATCTGATCTGCTGGACATGACGTTACAATAATCAAACATTTCACATTAGCCATTGCTATTTACAATCAAAAGATACATATGATTACATCGGTGAAATAATTTTTAGGTAAAAGTTGTGATTCCTTTGCCGTCACCCCAGACGGGCAACCCCATAATCATAGAGAAGAGTGTCTCTATTGTGAATATTTCATTTTAAGTTATGAGACCAAAAAAGGCGGGTTGGTTCACAGGAAGGATGGAGAGAAGTTAGCACATCCAATCCAATCCAAATGTAGTTTTGATATTGTTAGGATCGCCGTACTGCTATTTAATGGCAGTAAGGTTATTTCAAATCATAGGAGTCCTCTGGATTACTCCCTTACAGTTTCTTTGTATAGATTGTTTTATGTATTTATTTAGTAACATTTGCATCACATTGTTACATTGTACCCGGGATCAAGGTTCCGCTGCCATCGCTGCAAAACATAATCAGTGAGATTTGTATAAAATCAGTTATTGATGACCACACCAACGATAATATAGAATTGGAGCAAATTGCCTCTCAGATTTGTAAATGTTGAAAATAATGCACATTTGTGCTTAAGATTTCAAGAAGGATCTAGAGAATTCAAGAGCTCACAATAAAGAAGTTGCATGGCAGCAAAGCAAAATGAATATGGTGGAATATTCTAGATAAAACCATATAGTTGTGGCTGGAGTAAGAGACCAAGTCCACTTGGTGATGTCGGCAATGAAGATTGAAGATTATTCTAGACAAAGCCAAACATATGTGGCAAGGAGAGATTGTCCAAGTCGGTGAGACTTGGGTAGTGGCGGCAATCAAAGCCTATAAATAGGCATGCTTATACTCATTCAAAGTGGAGTCTAACAAAGAACTCCCAAACCATTAGGGAGCCAAGGGCTACCTAATGCTAACTATGTTGAGAGCCAATAAGCTCATTAATCAAAGTGTAAGGGCCAAATAGCCCAAACTAATCTAAAAATAGCCCAAACTAATCTGTTGTGGCCAATAAGCCAATATGCTAAGTGTAGAAGGCCAATTAGCCACCACAATATTCTCCTCCAATCTAATAAAATCACTTTGTTTTCCCTTATAAATCTAACAGTAAAAGATATCAATTCGGCTACTCGTGGTAAACCTATTATGATACAAAAAACTATCACGTTTGTTTTTCTGAGACAATAAAATTAAATTTATAAAGAGACGAGAAAGGAGTAAAGGATATATGGCCAACAGACAAAAGCAGATAAACAAAACGAATATATTGTGAAAATTTTCTATTTATAGGGTATAGCCGATCGTCCATACTGTTACAATATTCTATTTAACGGGTATAGCCGAGCGGCTGTACAGCTTCTTCTATATATCTTCAAATATTGTATTTATAGAGTACAGCCGAGCGGCTACACTGTTATGATAGTCTATTTAACGTATATAGCCGAGCGGCTGTACTATTTGAATATAATATTTAATGAGAATAGCCGAGCGGCGGTACCATTTAAATATAATAATTAAATAATACAGCCGTGGCTATACTCTTCAAATATTAGAATGGCCGTTTCCCCAAGTGCTTAAAGCATGGAAGATAGCTTTTTCTGTATTTCTCGGACCTTCCCACGTTTGGATGCCTCCTCTTTTGCAGTCCTTCCTTTATCTAGCACATCAAAATGATTGTAATGCGACTAATAAATTCATAAAAGTGAAAAACAAAAAGAAATTTTCACCAGGTTTCTTTGCAGACCTCCCAGTTCCCCTTTCACCTGTACAACCATTTGCTGGCCATACTTTTGCAGAATGATTAGAACCACCATAGTCCTAGGAACAAAAACAAATGCAACAGCCAAAAAAATTGAAGAATAAGTTTCTAAAACAATTAGTCCAAAATGAATAAGTTAAACACAATGTGAATTGATCCGTGCAAAGAACTTCAAAAGAGGAATCTCTAGTATCACTACTTTTTCTTAAATGAGCCATGCAAAGAACTTCAACATCCATTGCACTTTGAGCACTCTGGCCAAGTACTTCTCCAGCCTGTTGTAAGGCGTCACTGCCTGTCTTTTCCTCATCATGAAGTTGTTCTTCTTCATGCATCAAACTGTCCCGATGAATGAAGTAAGCAATTAAAATATAAGAAACCAATAAGTTCTGAAGTTAATGTGAACCAACAGTTTAGTTCAGCGGCAGCAGATCCAGCACGAGCATATGTAAAATCAAAGATCCGTAGCAAAGAAATTAGATCGGTGATTACAAATTACATATACAGAAATGAAGTATCAGGTTAAGAATGCACATAATAGTGGAGTCAGTCAGCCACTCGAGGGCAACTAAGCACTAACAATTATGTACCTTTTATTCTGACCTTGTTTTTATACATATGTATTATTATAGAATACATGTAAATGAGAATGTATTTTCCATGTCGCATCTTATTTTCTATTTCTCATTTCACATGATTGTGTTTGTGCTCATAGGCAGATACATTATTTCCAAATTGACAAAAGATAGGCTTCATATTACATACCTCTCTGGAGTGCTTCAAATCTGCTTCATGATCTACTGAGCAGTTTTCAGGGGAAGTTTCTTCATAAGAACTGGTATTAGTACAAACAGAATTATTCAATTTGGTTATCAATGAGCAGCTATTTTCCACGGCAGTGATTTCCTTTGTATATTAGACTCATCCATATCCTTTTTTCTTTTATTCCTTCGGCAGAAAGTAATCAATTGGGTGGTCAACTTGTTTCACGCAAGCTGAATCACCACCGAATTTATCTAACTTATTTCTAGAGAATGAATCAGTGTCTTCTAAGTTTAATGTATTCAATCTTGGCGAGCTACCATCACATCCAGAGCTGCTTTTTCTTTCAAATGCTGCTGCTGCTGCTGATGATTTTTGTCTTACAAAATCAGCAATAATTACAGCGGAATTCATCACCAATTGAGAAACTAACCTCCCCCCAACATTATTATCATCAACCAATGCTCCAGCATTAGCATTTGAAGATGAGCCTACTTTCTTGCCACTAGACTTATTCCCATATGCATCCCTTTGGGAAGGAACCTCATCAAGACTTGTCGGAATGGTTTTAATTGGTATTTGTCTTGTGCCGGACACTTCAATGTGTTTCTTTTCCTTATTGGGCTTATCTAGGCATTGGAGATGATACGACTGAAGGCATTTTCCACAGTGCTTTAGGTTACCCCCAACACAGCACACAAAACAACATGGCATACCTGCAAGAAAAAGAGGCAGGTAAGACAGAATATGGCAATGACCTTAAAAATAAATTATAGGTCTAAGACAACTAAGAGAAGATCTTCATAGAAACCTAAATTAAAGAACCAAATCTAAATGCTCATCTCAACTAGATATGATTTCAAGGGTCGGTTGAATAGGGCACATTCTGGTGGTATCTGGTAATCCCTTAAAACCTTTTTCTTTTCAGTATTTTTTTTCAAGAACAAAATTATTAGAGGAAAAATGGGGAAGGATGGATTATTAAATTATCTACATAAAGATGATTGACATACAACATATGTCCCTACGAAACAAACTACAAAAAGTGAACTGGTTCCAACTTTCTAAAATCTCTCCGCAGAATTTCTGTTGTAATTTTCTGAGGAACGCTTATCAATCAAATGAACTTGCAAGTCTGGTGGTTTGCTTAAAGAAGTATCATTGGGAGCAACAAAAAGTGAATTACGGCACTCATGTCCCTGTACAGGATCTGTTCTTGATTGCCGCTTTCGCTTATACGTTAGCAACACTTTGCTTCCTGACATTTAAGCTTTCAAAAAGAAATCTTGCTGCAATTCCAAACACTTGGACCGCATTTTTCACATGAAATTTGTACTTATTCCACTATATGTTCAGTCTCATTTCAACACAGAAAAACCTGCAACTGTTAAGGAAGAATATCCAATTAACTAAACAGCAAGTCATGACTCATATAGTTAATACAGTTATGAGTAGCAACACAATGATAGCTGAAGGGAAAAAGACGGATTTCGACTACTCTGAAATAGTGAATCACTATTACGAGGAATGCGGCAAACAAAAATTGTACTAACATTCTCCACCTAAAACACAGGGAGTGAGGTACAAGCATAAATGCCATTTGCATATTAAAGAATAAGCAAAGCAAGAGAAGCTAAACACATGCCATTCACAGAAATGTTTAAACTTCAGAATCAACATTTAGCCTAACGCATGCCATTCACAGAACCTTGTTATTGGCAAGACCATAGAAACTCCATGATAGGACAACTTCATCATTTCCTTCCACAGAAGTCATACACCAAGTCAGCAAATTTTGTATTTTTTTCTTCTGCGCCATGTCGTCAGTGCGAAGAGAGAAGAATATAAGGCGCGAAACAAAGAGAGGAATGGAATTGGATGAATTAAGAGTCACATGATCTCTTCTTCTATGGATCTGACTTGTGCTTCACTGCTTCGGCTTCCCAATCTCAAGCTCAAATTTGCAGCTAAATTTTTTCAATTTCAGGTTTCAGACTTTCAGTCAATCGCAGTGTTTGAAAAGTCGGCCCAGGCGGGCAGCTAGGCGGCTAGGCAGTAGCTAGGCGGGCGCTAGGCGGTGGCTAGGTGGCTAGGCGGCTAGGCGGTGGCTAGGCAGCTAGGCGGTCCCTAGGCGGCTAGGCGCCTAGGCTAGGATCAGCACTTGATAAAACTTGAGCTTCATCTCTTATCAATGCATGGGTTTTTCCTGGTTTACATAGAGTTTCAGCTTCAGAAGAGGAGTCTCTAGTATCACTACTTTTTCTTAAATGATCCATGCAAAGAACTTCAACATCCATTGCACTTTGAGCACTCTGGCCAAGTACTTCTCCAGCCTGTTGTAAGGCGTCACTGCCTGTCTTTTCCTCATCATGAAGTTGTTCTTCTTCATGCATCAAACTGTCCCGATGAATGAAGTAAGCAATTAAAATATAAGAAACCAATAAGTTCTGAAGTTAATGTGAACCAACAGTTTAGTTCAGCGGCAGCAGATCCAGCACGAGCATATGTAAAATCAAAGATCCGTAGCAAAGAAATTAGATCGGTGATTACAAATTACATATACAGAAATGAAGTACAGGTTAAGAATGCACATAATAGTGGAGTCAGTCAGCCACTCGAGGGCAACTAAGCACTAACAATTATGTACCTTTTATTCTGACCTTGTTTTTATACATATGTATTATTATAGAATACATGTAAATGAGAATGTATTTTCCATGTCGCATCGTATTTTCTATTTCTCATTTCACATGATTGTGTTTGTGCTCATAGGCAGATACATTATTTCCAAAATTGACGAAAGATAGGCTTCATATTACATACCTCTCTGGAGTGCTTCAAATCTGCTTCATGATCTACTGAGCAGTTTTCAGGGGAAGTTTCTTCATAAGAACTGGTATTAGTACAAACAGAATTATTCAATTTGGTTATCAATGAGCAGCTATTTCTATATGCAAGCTGAATCACCACCGAATTTATCTAACTTATTTCTAGAGAATGAATCAGTGTCTTCTAAGTTTAATATATTCAATCTTGGCGAGCTACCATCACATTCAGAGCTGCTTTTTCTTTCAAATGCTGCTGCTGCTGCTGATGATGATTTTTGTCTTACAAAATCAGCAATAATTACAGCGGAATTCATCACCAATTGAGAAACTAACCTCCCTCCAACATTATTATCATCAACCAATGCTCCAGCATTAGCATTTGAAGATGAGCCTACTTTCTTGCCACTAGACTTATTCCCATATGCATCCCTTTGGGAAGGAACCTCATCAAGACTTGTCGGAATGGTTTTAATTGGTATTTGTCTTGTGCCAGACACTTCAATGTGTTTCTTTTCCTCATGGGGCTTATCTAGGCATTGGAGATGATACGACTGAAGGCATTTTCCACAGTGCTTCAGGTTACCTCCAACACAGCACACAAAACAACATGGCATACCTGCAAGAAAAAGAGGCAGGTGAGACAGAAAATAGCAATGACCTTAAAAATAAATTATAGATCTAAGACAACTAAGAGAAGATCTTCACAGAAACCTAAATTAAAGAATCAAATCTAAATGTTCATCTCAACTAGATATGCTTTCAAGGGTCGGTTGAATAGGGCACATTCTGGTGTTATCTGGTAATTCCTTAAAACCTTTTTTTTTCAGTATTTTTTTTCAAGAACAAAATTATTAGAGGAAAAATAGGGAAGGATGGATTATTAAATTATCTACATAAAGATGATTGACATACAACATATATTCCTATGAAACAAACTACAAAAAGTGAACAGGTTCCAACTTTCTAAAATCTCACCGCAGAATTTCTGTTGTAATTTTCTGATGAACGCTTATCAATCAAATGAACTTGCAAGTCTGGTGGTTTGCTTAAAGAAGTATCATTGGGAGCAACAAAAAGTGAATTACGGCACTCATGTCCCTGTACAGGATCTGTTCTTGATTGCCGCTTTCGCTTATACGTTAGAAACACTTTGCTTCCTGACATTTAAGCTTTCAAAAAGAAATCTTGCTGCAATTCCAAACACTTGGACCGCATTTTTCACATGAAATTTGTATTTATTCCACTATATGTTCAGTCTCATTTCAACACAGAAAAACCTGCATATGTTAAGGAAGAATATCCAATTAACTAAACAGCAAGTCATGACTCATATAGTTAATACAGTTATGAGTAGCAACACAACGATAGCTGAAGGGTGAATTTCGACTACTCTGAAATAGTGAATCACTATTACGAGGAATGCGGCAAACAAAAATTGTACTAACATTCTCCACCTAAAACACAGGCAGTGAGGTACAAGCATAAATGCCATTTGCATATTAAAGAATAAGCAAAGCAAGAGAAGCTAAACGCATGCCATTCACAGAAATGTTTAAACTTCAGAATCAATTTGAATTCAAGTAGCCTAACGCATGCCATTCACAGAACCTTGTTATTGGCAAGGCCATAGAAACTCCATGATAGGACAACTTCATCATTTCCTTCCACAGAAGACAGACACCAAATCAGCAAATTTTGTATTTTTTTCTTCTGCGCCATGTTGTCAGTGCGAAGAGAGAAGAATATAAGGCGCGAAACAGGGAGGGGAATGGAATTGGATGAATTAAGAGTCACATGATCTCTTCTTCTATGGACCTCACTTGTGCTTCACTCCTTCGGCTTCCCAATCTCAAGCTCAAATTTGCAGCTAAATTTTTTCAATTTCGAGTTTCAGACTTTCAGTCAATTGTTTGAAAAGTCGACCTAGGCGGGCTGCTAGGCGGCTAGGCGGGCGCTAGGCGGCTAGGCGGGCGCCTAGGCGGGTTGGGTCTTTTTTCGGCGCCGAACCCGGAGGACGAAGCAGTGACTGCGAGAGAAAGTTGCGTCCACTGCGAGTGCAAGCTTCGTGGTCGTAGGAATATATGTAAAGAGTATAGCCGTGCGGCGGTACGTTTAAAATATTCGAATATCGTTAGAAAGTATAGCCGTGCGGCGGTACATTTATAATTTCTATTTATACAGTCGAGCCTTGCGGCTATAACACTGATAACGTTGCAGAAGCCTCAGGAATATGATTTGATATGCCCTCATTAGAGAGTATAGCCGTCTATTTGTGCATGTATTAAAATAAATAAAAGGTGTGATACTAATAATAAGATCCAGGAAATAAATTATAATTAGTAAATAAGAAAAATCAAAATCCATCTAAGAAAAATGGATGGAAGAGATAATAAGCTGGAGAAAGACAACAATCCAAAAACGATAAAAAGATATTCAGACATATATCTTAAAAATAAATAACAAACATTCCACGAGTTCAGACTCTTAGAACATATCAGGGAAGGAAGCTGACTGTGTGTGCTAAAATAGGATCAGCAATGGACATTTCCCCAAGTGCTTTAAGTATGGAAGATAGATTTTTCTGTATTTCTCGGACCCTCTCAGGTATGGATGCCTCCTCCCTAAGCTGTAACTCACGTGCCTCCTCCTTTGCAGTCCTTCCTTTATCTAGCACATCAAAATGATTGTAATGCATGCTACTAATAAATTCATAAAGTAAAAAACAAAGAGAGATTTCCAGTGGAAAAAGTACAGATGCAACAATAACTCTCCAGGTTTCTTTGCAGAATAATTTCCTAACAATTGGTCCAAATAAATAAAAGAGAAACTGATTGGTACCGTGGCATCCTCATACATCCGAAAACGGCCCTTAGCTTGTTTTGATGTTCTTAGCAGCGGCTGACTCTTCAATGTAGACACCTTGCTCACTGGAAAGCAAGCCTTCAGGAAATCTGAAACAACATAAGTGGAAAAAAATTTGAAACAAGTTACAGAACAAAAAAAACACATTAAAAACACTAATATGTCCTAAAAAAATTATAAAACGTAAATGGAGCATAGTTATCAGGAAAATTTAAATCTCCATCGATCCTGTTACAGCCCAAGAAAACTCAAAGATAAGCAAACAGATTACTGACATTTTTCCAAGACCCAAAAGATGCAAAAAGGGCCATCATATTACGCAGGAACATAGCCTAACAACAAATGATATACCCTATATCTTTGCAAGCATCTAGAACAAATGAACACATCTAGAATAGAGGAGAACGGGAAGATTCAGGAACATCAAGGTTACCAAAAAAGAACAGAATTCTATTTTATTTCTGTCTTTTACCTCTCTACTGTTTTTACATGTGAATTGTTTTTTTTAAACAAACTAAATACCGAAGGATTGAACCTTCAAAATGTATTGCAATTTCCAAAACAAAACAAACAAACAAAATGAATAAAGATCTAAATGTTCATGTCCACTTCTTGGGATTGGTATATTTTGGATTTTATAACTGTCAAAACTGTTTAGTAATCATAGCATTAGCACTGACAAGACCTTCTTATGGAGCCATTAGCCCCTCAGTCAGCTTTGAGAAGCAGTGTTTGCATCACATTGTACCTGGGATCAAGTTTCCGCTGCCATCCCTGCAAAACATAACCAGTGATGAGATTTGTATAAGATCAGTTAATTGATGATCACACCAATGATAATATAAATTGGAGCAAATTGCCTCTCAGATTTGTATAAGATATCAGTAATTGTCTATTTCTGCTACTCATGGTAAACCTATTATATAATACAAAAAACTATCATATTTGTTTTTCTGAGACAATTAAATTAAATTTATAAAGAGAAGAGAAAGGAGTAAAGGATATATGGCCAACAGAAAAAAGCAGAAAAACAAATAAAGAAAAGACAACTTAATAATCTACGTGTGCTTTAATTTAATGTCTTTGTGCTTATAAATTTCACACGCCTATATTGCGAAGATTACAGAATTTCATAAGAGAATTTCCATGCCTTGGCTGCAATAGATAAAGGAAAAGAAATTACCTCAAGAACCAAAGTGGTTACCATGACAGTACAGACATTGCCATCGACATTGACTCTATGACGCCTAACTGTCTCCAGTACTGCTGCAGGATGGACCAGATCACCTTCTGGAGTACCACAGAAAGCAAATGCCTCCTCCACTTGCTGTAAAAAGAAGAAGATTAGACTAAAATCAAATACATAATGTAGATTATTAAGGAGGGAAACTTGTAACAGAAGCTTCCTGAGTTCATAATATCATTGAGGAACTGCATTTTGTCTACAACCATAACACACACAGTGATGAATAAACGAAAAAAGGAGTGAATACTACTACTACACACACACACACACACACACATATATATATATATTTATCACATATTTCAATTGTGCTTGACAAAATTCAGGCTTTGAGACAAGAAAGTATTACCAGAGGAAGTTGGATTGAAAAGCATTCTAATATGAAATTCTTTCTTTGCATAATCTGAGCATAAAGGAGGAATTGAAAGGGCAAATATCAAACCTGCAACTTATTTAATAAGGAACACCCAAACAAGATGAATGCAACGGATCTCCAGAACTGTTAAGGAAAAACTAATAAGGCAAAACCTTTGAAGGTGAATTACTTGCCTATTTTTAGAGAGGAGATGGTGGAAGATAGAACAATAGAGAGACAAAAAAAAATCAACCATGTAGGGATAAGATATTAGAAAGATAGTAGCTTTTTTTATATATATTTTTTTGGATTTGTTATGTATTCAGACCACATTCAGGTATATCAACTGATATAATTCACAAACTTCAAGACACAACAAGATACTTAAAAGACCTAAGCACAATTCAATCAAAATAGTCCAAAAGCATAAATGCATTGCAAGTAACATCAAAGGTATATATATGTTACCAGGTCCAGGAGCATCTTCAAAAGTGCGTGCGTCACAATGTGAGCAAGCGCAGATTGAATCCGATCATCCCCTTCAAGATCATCGACACATTCCTCTTGTTCATAAGTTTCCACCAAAACAGCAGGATCCACAAATGGGGCAGCTTCCCTTGCAATCTCAAGCTCAAATTTGCAGCTAAATTTTTTCAATTTCGGGTTTCAGACTTTCAGTCAATCGCAGTGTTTGAAAAGTCGGCCTAGGCGGGCAGCTAGGCGGCTAGGCGGCGGCTAGGCGGTGGCTAGGCGGGCGCTAGGCGGCTAGGCGGCTAGGCGGTGGCTAGGCGGCTAGGTAGTAGCTAGGCGGGCGCCTAGGCAGGTTGGGTCTTTTTTCGGCGCCGAACCCGGAGGACGAAACAGTGACTGCGAGAGAAAGTTCCGTCCACTGCGAGTGCAAGCTTCGTGTTCGTTCGAATAATATTAAAGAGTATAGCCGCACGGCTGTACGTTTAAAATATTCGAATCTAATTAGAAAGTATAGCCGTTCGGCTGTACGTTTATAATTTCTATTTATACAGTCGAGCCTGGCGGCTATAATGGTAAAATATTGTATTTAAAGCTGATCGGCTATACTGTTAATATATTGTATTTAGAGAGTATAGCCGATCGGCTGTACTGTTATAATATCTATTTGTGCATGTATTAAAATAAATAAAAGGTGTGATACTAATAATAGATTTTTCTGTATTTCTCGGACCTTCTCACGTTTGGATGCCTCCTCTTTTGCAGTCCTTCCTTTATCTAGCACATCAAAATGATTGTAATGCGACTAATAAATTCATAAAGTAAAAAACAAAAAGAAATTTCCAGTGGAAAAACAGATGCAACAATAACTCACCAAGTTTCTTTGCAGACTTCCCAGTTTCCCTTTCACCTGTACAACCATTGGCTGGCTCTACTTTTGCAGAATGATTAGAACCACCATGATCCTGGGAACAAAAACAAATGCAACGGCCAAAAAAAATTGAACAATAAGTTTCTAAAACAATTAGTCCAAATGAATAAAAGAGAAACTGATTGGTACTGTGGCATCCTCATACATCCGAAAACGGCTCTTCGCTTGTTTCATGTTCTTAGCAGCGATAGACTCTGCAATGTAGGCACCTTGCTCACTGGAAAGCAAGCCTTCATGAAATCTGAAACAACATCAGTGGAAAACAAAATTGAAACAAGTCATAGAACCAAAATAAAAAATTA